GAGAGAGGATATGATTGGGTTGATGGCGTGTATAAGGTCGAGCCACTGCTCTCTTTCCTTTCTGGGGAAAATGATTGAATCTTCTTCATCTGCAAAAAAAGGCTCTTTGGTTTGACGTAGAAACTTTCGATTTCGTCTGAAGATTCTTCCATCTTCGGTTTTTACATTATACGATCTTACACCAGCTTGCTCTATGACACATCCTTTGGTCCAGCTGTCTGTTCTGTCGGAATTTCTTGGCTTTATCCGGACTACATCATCTTTCTTTAATGCACTTAGCTCCCTTGTGCCTCTGTTATAATACTTTGATTGTATCTCTTTCCTCTTTCGAAGTTTTTCTTGGACACCAGTGACAACCTTTGGTTTAAGGAGCTTCTTCGATATGGGAAGCAGTGTTTTAGCTCGTCTGCTAAAAATACGCTGGGAAGGAGAGCTTTCCATCCCCTCAGACGGCGTGTTTCGCCATTCTAGTAGCACAAGATAGAAGTCATTGCCAGATTCAGTCGCTTTTTTCATTAGCATCTTTGCAGTTTTGACGGCATTTTCTGCTTTGCCATTACTCTGTGCGTACTCTGGCGAGCTTAGCTCTGTGGTAAATTCATATTCCTTGGCAAAATCCTGAAACTCTTTAGAGGAGAAAGGTACGTTGTCACTCATGAGCGTATCTGGTATCCCATGAGTAGAGAAGTGTCGCTTGAGCTTCTTCTTAATTTCCCCAGCAGTTTTGTAAAATAGACGATCTATCTCAAATAGTTGGAGTAGCAATCCACAGTACAGAGGAAGTCTTTGTTGTTGACTGTGAAAATGACAGCAGCAATTATTTGCCAGGGGCGGCTTGGGATTTCACGAGGAATAAGGGACTCTCTGGTCTGGTTGTTTTGAAATGTTTTACAGATTTCACATTTTGAGATGAAGTCGATAAGATCTTTGTTCATGCCAGGCCAGTAAACTGCTTCTCTGGCTCTTCTGAGGCAGCTCTGTATTCCTGTGTGTATTAAATGCAGTTTATCCCGGATCTTTTTGCGCAGTGTTTCTGGAACAACTGCTCTCTGACCCTTGAATATTACGTCATCCCGTGTTGCTAGCTCGTCTCTGATTGAGAAGTATGGATGAATACATCGAGGAAGGGTCTCTTTTCTTTCTGGCCACCCATTCAAAATTATTTCTTTCAGTGCTTGTAAAGTGCTGTCACATTTGGTTTCTCGCTGTATTTCCTTCAGCAGTGGCTCAGAGATGGGGAGATAATTTGACATGTGGATAGTTTCGACTTCTTCTTCAGTTGCGGACTTTTGTCTCTCATTTGTCGGCAGGTATGCACGAGAGAGTGTGTCTGCTAGAACAATTTCTTTGCCAGGTTTATAGCAGATTTTAACATCGTATGATTGCAATCTTAGTAGCAACCTTTGCAGTCTCTTTGGAGCAGTAGCGAGTGGTTTTCTGACGATTGAGACAAGTGGTTTGTGATCCGTCTAAAGTGTAATCTCTCTGCCATAGACATAGGTATGGTGATGTTCCACTCCAAATACTTGTGCAAGCAGCTCCTTCTCTATTTGGCTGTAATTTTGCTCTGCAGGGGTGAGGGCTCTGCTTGCATATGACACGGGACGTCCCTCTTGCATGAGCACGAAACCAAGCCCCTTTGATGATGCATCAGCCTGGCCTTCTGAACTGGTGCCTCGCAAATTGCTTTTTGTATTTCAGCAAAAAACTTGTTGTGATCTTTTCCCCATACCCATGGTGCATCTTTGTGGGTCAAATTTCTCAGAGGTTCGCATACTTCAGATAGTCTGGGAAGAAACTTGGCCAGGTGTTTTACCATGCCAATGAACCTTTGTACACCAGCGACACCTTCCGGCTTGCTCATCTTTGTGATGGCTTCAACTTTTGCGGGGTCTATATTTAGACCATTCTGTGTTAGGGTATCACCAATGAAGGAAACTTCATCGCACTTGAACTTGAATTTGTCCTTGTTCAGCTTGATGTTTTTTTGTTGACAACGTTTCAAAAGTGCCAGCATGTTCATGTCATGATTTTTGACAGCTTCTTCGTAAGTTTCTCCTCTTCCGGTAACAAGAGCATCGTCAGCGACTGCATACACTCCAGATAGGCCTTCAATGCACTGATCAAATTTGTGTTGAAAATGTTCTGAAGCTGGTTTAATTCCAAATGGCATCCTGAGGTACCTCCAACGCCCCCATGGTGTCTGGAACGTTGTGAGCATGCTTGATTCTTCATCGAGCTCTATTTGAAGGTACCCTTCCTTCAGGTTCAGATTTTGCTGAATACCTTGACACCATCTAGCTCTGGTAGCACATCCTCAATGAGCGGTAACGGATAATGACTTCTTTTCAATGCTTTGTTGATGTGTTGTGGATCGATGCACACCCTCAGTTTCCCATTTGGTTTTTCTGCAATGACGAGATTTGATACCCAATCTGTTGGACTTGTAACTTTCTGAATGACATGAAGATTTTCCAGCCTTTCCAATTCAGCCTTGAGTTTTGCTTTAAGGTTACGGTAAACGTTTGCTGGATGAAAACATCATTTTTTCGATTTTTTCACATTCAAGTAGCCGAACTTTCAAGGCACACAATGCCACCAAATTTGAAACAAACAGAAATTTTGAAAGTGGAAAAATTCCCATGTAAACGCAGGTTTCTATAATTTTTTTATCAAAACTTTTAGTTGAGGCCTGAAAATCTCTTGACCTTTTAAGCCGATTATCGTCGCTTTGCGGTTGTAGTCGCATGTCTCATTTATAATATCGCATGGCACATCCATATACCCAATGTACGGCCGTGTTTATTTAAACAGGCTTATTGATCTTAAATCTTCAAGTGACTTGACCCGGATTACACTGTGGTTTACGAGTGTATCTTGCAAGTGCGATCAGTAAAATCCCGTTTTCTCCGGACTCGAAATTCCTCTACATGCAGGTACGAAAAAGCTATTATGTACCCAAGGAACCAATCGAATGGCTCGAAAATTTGCACACGGCCAGGGCAGACGTTGGGCAAACAAAGCGTGTCTCAAAATTTTTTTATTTTTGCTGGTCCGTCTTTTATACCCAAATACAGCTGCGGGAGGGTGGAACAATTATTTGCCAATTTTTGACAGGGTATAGTTTCAAGAAGAGGAGGAATTTAAAAAATCTGAGACACACTTTGGTAGCTTAGGACCTGCACTTCCTGCTGGTCTAAGTCAGATTTTGTTACCTCAAACGCAAGGGTACATAATAGCTTTTGAAGGTGGTACACTTTTTGACCAGTAAATTCGCATGGAAAATAACATTTAACATTATTTGCCAATACTTTTTATCTGGCTAGATACGCCATAATCTTGTGCATCGGATGATATATAGTTTATCCAGATTCCTTGAACCGTTTGGCCTTTAGGAAGGAAAAACCAATTTTCGTGCTCAAAACGTTTACCGTAACCTTAACAGCGATTGGTACTCTGCGAGGCGGCATGACAACAGGGGTTTGTGACTCATCAACATCTAAGTGCAATTTGCCTGGCATGTGACCCAGACCTTCAAAGACATCTCCAAAACGGTTCTCTATATCTGCAATACTGAGTGGAGCCACTGCAGTGGTCGATAAAACTGTTTCCATGACAACCGTTGGTTGTGCCTGTTGATGTGTGCTGTTTGAAGCAATACTGTTAGAGCTAACATTATCTACATTTGCGTTAAAGATATTAGCATAATTAACAGTCAGAAGTCCCATCTTTTGTGCTGCATTAGCTCCTAATAATGGCACATAGTCACATTTTACAACAACAAATCTGACAGTGTACTCAGTCTGGATCTTTGGGTTTACTACCTTAAGTTTACAAATACCATTTATCGGTAATAAGGCTTGGCTGTACAGGCGCAAAGAGTGATCCGATTTTTCAACTTTTGTGCCTGGAGGAACGAAGTGTTCTGGAAGGACATTACAGGTAGCACCTGAGTCAATTTGAAAACTAATTTGCCTGCCTTTTATAATCATGGAGGCAAAAATTTTGTTCTTAGGAGGGGACTGGGACACAGCATTGATTGCCAGATTATTTTTGGGTGAAATTTCAACAATGAGAATTTCATCATCACTTGAAGTGTTTTCTTCCTTCACTGCATGTATTTTGGCTTTAGAAAATGTATCTCTCATACCTAGTGATGTCTTCAAGCTGCACTTCTCAACAAAATGGTTTCTCTTGCCACAACCAGAACAATATTTGCCAAAGGCTGGGCAACTCTCTTTGTTTCTTTTATGGCTACGCCCACAAAATTTGCAGTCGGAAATAAAACCTCTTGTGTCTCCAGTGGTCTTCCTTGGGCTGCTTTGCTTTCCAACATAATGGGCCATGAGGTCATGATTATCATCCTGGCCAGCCATTATTTTTGCTTGAGCAGTAGTTGTTTCTGTGACCCTGCATAAGTCAATGCATTTAGATAATGAGAGTTTTGGTTCTTGCAGTAACTTACGTCGAACAGCATTGTTGTGAATGCCACAAACAATTCGGTCACGTATCAGCTCATCATTAAGTGGTCCAAATGCACATGTGGCTGCGAGGGCACGCAAAGAAGCCGCATAAGTTTCAATTGACTCTGTAGGGCCCTGTGTACAATTATTGAATTTATACCGTTCGTAAATTACATTTGTTTCTCCAATACAGTAAGTATTCCATAATTCGAAGATTCGCTCAATGTTTTGACGTTCGCCCTCCTCCTGGTACGGAAGTGAATTGTGTATTCGAAGAGCTTCCGGTCCTATGCAAGTGATAAAAGCAGCCACTCGAAAATTGTCTGGTTTAGACTTCAAATTCGTAACAGTTTCGTACGCATCATAAATTTGCTTCCATTGCTTCCAATTCTCTGCCAAATTTCCTTCTAAGCTTAATCGTGGGGGTAATGGCACGTTAGATATGAACGCCGATGTTCCGCTATTTCCTTCAGAGGAAGCACTTGGCCCAGGCACGATTGGATCCGGATCTGTCATCGCGAAACAAGAACCAGCAAAGCAATCATTTACCTCCTAAACATCAAAGATGGGTGTTTCACCTGACACCATGTAAAATTATCCGGTATATAACAAGGATAGAACACTCGAACTCGAACTTCAATACTCCATTTTCTATTCTCACGCATAACATAAGATAACAAACCGGGCGCATGCCCAACATAACATTAATACGAGGCTAATAACGTCACACCTACCACTAAGGAAAAAACGAACGCAAGCTGAGTACAATCAAAAAATTCGTTTCATTAATTGCAAAGTAGGTGATAAAGTATGGCTGAAAGTAAAACACTATAAGACTGGCGAGATTAGAAAACTCGCACCTCGTCGCCGGGGACCGCGAACAGTCACCAAGAAACTAAAAAATCACGAATGGCCAAACAAAGGAAACTAAAATAGTCCACCATGATCGTCTGTCACCCGTAAAAGAAATTTAGTAGAGGATAGTGAATCTCGGGATATCAAAATAAATGGAAAAACAATTGTTAATGAACATTCATTCGATTACTCATATGAAAGTGATTTAGCAGACAGCCAAAGTAGCGACAGTGACGATAGCGATGACTATAGCCCTGATACGGATGACGATAATCAAGACAGAGAACATCAAGTCCAGCATAGACGATACTTGTTGGGGAGACGAGCGAGTGAAAATCTTCAGATGAGTGAGGCAACCCTCCGTCCTGGAGTCAGAGAGCATGCGTATTAATAACTTCTTTCCGTGCGCATGCTCTTCGACTCCATGACGGAGGGTTGCCTCACTTTCTCTTGCTCGTCTCCCCAACAAATACCCGTTGAGGAACAGGAGAGCTCGCCAAATTCCAGATGACATTTCGTGGTTGGCCATTCATATATAGGAGGGAGGAAATGTAGGGTTATACCCCGTGACTGGAAAATTGTTTGTTATACCATATTCGCTTATATTCCGCTGTGCTGTACTGTATGTTTTGTTATTCTGTAATAGATCTTTCTGAGAGTAAGCCACATGAAGTATTATCTTACGAGTCTCGACTACGGCTGCAAAAGCACTGCAGAGTGAATATCACCACTGGCAATTAAAAAATATCAAGCACTACAGAGTGAATACCAACATTCAGTATTAAAACTGTATCAAGCACCGATTTATGCTCTGAAGAGTGTCAGACGAAAGACACAAGTGTGTTCTAAAATGTTTGCTTTTTTCAAAGCCATTTTTAAATTCTGTACCACAAAAATATTGTTTTGAAAAAATTGTCTGTCATGTTTATCATAGAATTCTTTTATATTATAAAGTCATCCTTCTTGTTGGTTCTGTAAGACATTTCCAAAATCACAATCACTGTGAATGCATATTATTAAATTATGCTCATATGCGTTAGGAAGATTGCAACAACAGCAACACCCAACACCCACCACATTTCGGAAAATGGCGGGCAAGTTTCTTCCACCTTCGAGTGTCAAAGGTAATTTGATCTGACTGATGAATAATTTGATCTTGACTTTTTGAAAAGCTAGAGATTTTCCAACTTAAGCATCTTTCATATAAATATTTGTATTACAGACATAGAAATCAGAGGCGTTTGATTGGGCCAGAGTGCCCCCACACTGCCCTCCTCACTTGGATCGAGCCAGTATGGATTTCATGGCAGCTACACTTCCGAGAAATTTTTGTAAAATTACGAGTGCACTCTTGCAAACCCAAATAATGGACATGGATTGGGTGTGGTTTTGGGTGTGGCTTCGATTTATAGATTTTTTAAAGATCGGAACTTTGTTTGCAAAAGAGATTAAAAGAAGTATATCTTTATTTATATCTTAATTTGAGTAAGCCTCTTGAGATCAGGGCTGCCATGAAGTTTCTTAGCCCTAGAGAAAAACTGAAAGATGGGACCCTGCAAGTGAAGGAAGGAAAAAGTTTTTGTGACCACAGCCTTAAATTTAGCTTAAAATGCATTTCAGAATAAATCTTGTACCAGTAATTTTTTTGCAATCATTTAGAACGATTTACTGCTATAGGCCCTTTTTCGAGGTCCCCTGTTCTTGGTGACCAAGCTTGAGATAATCAATTAGGATTATCATCTTTTTGGCATTTTAAAATTTTTTTTCTAAAATTATTTGTTTGCTTGATAAAACAATTAGAAATTTGAATAACAGCCACTTAAAGAAGTTGAAGAAAAGTTTCAACTTTCAATCATTGAATTTCCTTGTGAGGGAAAGTTGATATAAGGGGAATAGAAATTGTATTTGATTATGAGTTGAAAATTAAGACCTCTTAATTGAAATGGCTGTAATATGTGAAAGAAATAACCAGGCCTGCCTGGAAAAGGTGTGGGATCACACACACATTGGTACACACCTCCCCACTTTGGGAAGTGTGTTTTATCACATGCCTGTTTTATTACATTTGTTTGTTTTTCACCCAAGCACAGGAAACTAATAAAACGGCAGCATGGCTTTGAAGCAAGTTATTTACTATATTTGTACTGCAGTTTTTACCCAAATTAAAATTTGTAAAATGGGCTTTTTGTACCATCATAACATTGAATTTTCCAAGTCAGTTTACTAGCCAAAGTTTGCATAAACTGTGAAGCTCTTCCTGTGTAATTGGTCCTCTCACTGATTGACAAGGCCATTTTATAATTTTTAAATCAGAAATTTCATCCCAATTTTTAAGAAAATCCTTCTTAATTCCTCCCTTTTTCCTTCCAATCGACCTAAATTCCAGAAGAAAGGATAAATTCTTCAAGAGTTAATGTAAATAAAACAATTATTCCCAAGAATACATTTTGTATATTGAGCAAAATGTGATTTCCTTGAAGGATGTGTTGAGTTATGGCAAGTAGTTCTTGTTTTATCATAATGAAAGCCTATGTGTAACAACCTAGGGATTTAAGAACCTTCTGGCAGAAATTAGCTTTTTAAATAACAGGCTTCTGTGGGAAAAATATAGCAGGCGTGCTAACCACCGCACGCCTGAAAACATCCAGGCGTAACAAAAAAAGTGATATTTCTGAAGACTTGAGCAAGTTTCTACACAAGTATAAACTGAACTCATTTAATATATCAGCAAAAAAGCAGTACTACAAGTACAGAAAAATATTTGCCATGTCATAAGCATTTTTCATCAGCTTCGATGATATGTCCTTAGCAGAGTCATTAGGGGCTTGGCGCTCATCTAGTTGGAATGACTGCTTTTGCATGTAAATCCGTGCCCCCTAGGGCCCTAGGTTATCAAGCATTATAGCTTTTTTATGTACTTCACTGGCCAGATGTGGATAATCCATTGGGAAAATGCATAAAAGATAATGATGGGCCATTTTTCATTCAATTAAATGTTGCCAAAATCTAGATTTGAAGCATAGCAAAGACTAAGGAGGGGCTGTACGGGGGTAGCGAAATTCCGCAAATATCCAATTTTTTTTCGCAAAATTGGCAAATCCACTACTTTCGCTAAATAAGCGATTGAAAATGAGAATCTTGTTCCTCTTATTGGATTTGTTCACTGAAATGCTATAAAGCTTTGAAAAGGTGTAAAATTGTGCACAAATCTCTTCTCCATTTTTTGCATCATAAAAAGTGCATGTTTGCCAATGTCTGTTTTGTCGCTGATAATTATCATTCCCCCAGAGAAACAGAGAATATACACCAGTAATAAGTAGACAAAAATAACGGTGAATATGTATAGAAAAGTTCGCCATATCGAGGAAAATCATGATGAAGGGACATACAATTTGGTTCGTATTATACAGGATTCATTATATTGAGGAAATTTGTATGGGGCTCGGCAGAATCCAAGGTGCCAGACATTTGTTATACCGGATATAGCATTTGGGAATCCACTTTAAATAAGTATTATGATTATTCAAAATCTTATATTTAATCCACAATCCTGACAAGGTTTTAAGCCTTTTTGAAGTGGCATGAAGTAATAGTACCAAGGAAAGATTTATATTTAAACCCGTCTCCAAAAACCAGCAAAACCAATCATTAAGGGAGAATTTCGCTCTCAAAATAAAAAATGGCATGTGATATTTTGCACTCCTCGAGGCATGCACCAGGGCCCGGGCGTGGGATCACATGCCTTTCCAACGAAGCCCTGAATAATCTAAAATATAAGAACTTGTTTAGCCAAAAATTTCCAACAGGTTCTTATATGTGGGGTTAAGCATTTAATTTATCTACTTATTTACTAGTTGTTACTGTATGCATTCTTAAAACTATTCACAGATATTGAATTCTTAACGTTGTTGGGTTGTTCATTCCCTTGGTTTACCACATGTTAGGAAAAGAAATTTCAAAGGTAGTTCAGTTCTGAAAGGGTGCCTAGCGGGACCTTGTTTGTATTTCTGCTGAGATTTGAGTTGTTTTTTCTTGTTGCACGAGTGTGGGTACTAGCAGAGGGCGAGAAGAATCTGTTTCTATCAATGATTTTGAATGACTCTATCCCCTCTAATATGCCTTACCTTAAGGATAGAAAAGTTTCTTTTGATTTTCTTCATAAATACCCTGCAGACCAGATACAATTCATTGTTGCACATTCTCAAGTGAATGAATATTCTGGACAAGCCATGGACTCCAGGCCTGAACACAATATTCCAATATGAGGTCGTACATACTGTATATATAACTTGGTGAAAGTGTTATGGTCTCGGTAGGTGAAGCTACGCATTAATTGACCAAGTATTTGATTTCCCTTGAGAGCTGCAGAAGCAACTTAGTTGGAGTACACCAGGTAGAGATACACTCAGATATGTTAAACTTAGGGCTGTAATGTTCTTCATCATCTCCTCTCTGGATCGAGGCTCACTAGGCAGAGCACATCTTTTTATCGTCTTATAAGAGGTGGGATGCAGACCTGGCCCTATGAATTTTGGCAGGGAAGCAGCAAATCGCTCTCGTTGTTGGAGTCATTGTTGAGTTTCACTGTTATTCACTAATCCTTGCAACATCCTCAATGCTCTAAACCCCACCAATGTGACATTTTAAAATTATTTGTTGCTGTGTTTTATAAAACAAGAAAAGAGAGACATGAAACTTCCACTTGAGACTCTTCTGAAACATTTTCTGAAAATTCCTTCCATAATGGACTTTGTGAAAATGCTATTAACACACTTACATGTGGAAGGGTGAAAAAGTGACATTTGAAAATGCTACCCTTGTTTAGTTTCAACATTAACATTCCTCTTTGAACATTAACAAACCAAAGTAAATATTTGTTGCTTGTGTATCTGATATCAAGTTTTATTTTGAAAAAATGGGATTTTAATTAAATTATGTTTTGTTCTGTCTGTGAGGTAGTCTTATTAAAAAAATGTAAATGCATGATATTTTCTCTAGATTTATCAAATGACCAAATGTCACTGCCAATGCTAGAGGTCAGGCCAGATGTAGGGCCAAAAGAGCTGAGAGTGAAGATGAGCTGGATATCTTATTTGTCTATGACAAAGGAGAGCCAGAAACTGAAAATAACAATGGATACATATTGCATATATAGTAATACTCAAGCAATGTTGTAAACAATTGTGATATCAAAATTGACAGCCAGAAATCCAGTACATTCTTTTGCATCTTTGACATATCAAAGAAAATTTTTTGTTATTTTGAAAGTCTTAAATAAATATTTAGAGATATTCCTAGTGTTTGAACTACTTTTGTTTTAAAATTTAGGTGGGATTAATTTCCCAGCTTCACCCAAAATAAATCCCACCAAATTTCCTGATAGTTGATGTAAGTTTCAGGGACAGTACATATTTATTAATCTTTCAATTTTCATTTGAAACCTCTATTTCAACTAATTGTGGTTTTTTTCCCTTTAGGCATGCAAGCATTAGACAAAGCTGCCTTTTCGTGCTCTTTTGTGGTCTCTGCTCTTCGTGTTGATGCAAAAAACTGTAACAAAGCAAGGAAGGCTCTTTCTAGGATCCTGTTAAGGCGGCCAAAATTGAAAGACATTGTTTCAGACCAAACAAATGCCAAGAAAAAATTGTTATTGTTGGACTCCATCCTTTCAAATATTGACGATTTGAAAGCCGATGAACAAATGTGTATAAAAGAAAACAATGGGGAACTGACACAGCATCAGATCATTTGTACATATGACCATTTCACAGCAGATGAAATACTTGATGCAGTTTTGCCTGACGGAATGGAAGTAACAACTGCATTTGAAACAGTTGGTCACATCGCACATATGAACTTGAGAGAATGTCATCTTCAGTTCAAAGAACTTATTGGTGAGTGCTTTTGGCAATTAACTATAAATAATTAATGGAGGTAATGAACAACGACAAAATAACAAATAGAATAGCTGATAATGATATACCTCATATGACATATGTCAGCATTTGCCTTTGTTTTGCCAAATATTTGATGACTGCCAACAGAAACTATCTACATTTGTAATAGGCTATCAAAACTACTGTAAACTTTTTAATGACTGAAAGCAACAGTGCCTATCAATGGAGATTAAGATGAGTCATAATTTTTACGAATTTGATTGGAATTCAGGATTAAATAGTTTGCATCAATGCAGTGCCAAAACATTACATCGTATTTTTGCTGCAGACAGCAAGAAAGAAGGTTCCATATATCTGAATTGATTTATGTTCAAGTAGCCCCTATTTCATCAAAAATATCACTGAACAGGGTTACTGCTCCACCAATGACTGGTACTTGTATATAAAAATTTTTGAAAATTAATAAGGCCCCCCCTGTTTTAAGGTCCGCACTAGATCATAGTCAGCTAACGTACATGACGTCATACATCTTTCAAACCAAGGATTAAGTGCAATGGCACTTTCTTACAGTTGAATCTAAAGAACTCATTTTAGTGCGTGTGCAGCTAAAAAAACTCTCTCTTACGTTTTCGCCTGAGTCAGAGTAACTGCAATTGATAATTATGTATGAAGCCGTTGCTAAAATTTCAGATAACTAGTTTTGTCGCATAAGAACATTATCAAGCATTTAAAAGAGAGTTCCCCGACAAAATTTGCTATAATCAAGCCCAAAGTCTCTTTTAAAACCATTGCGTCAGTCTTCATTATCCATAGTTTAGTGTTCAGAACATTGACTGAGCTGAGGTATTGGCAGTTGACATAGGAATTGAATTTCATGCCGCTTGCAATAAAGTCTTTCATCAAATGGTTGAATGCGATGAGGTCATACTACCACTTATGCATCAGGTTGCCATAGTTTGTATGACTTCATGTAGGTTAGCTATGATCTAGTGCCGACCCTGTATTAAGCATCCAAGAGTAGCTCTATCTTTTGTATATTCTAAAATTATCAGTCAGCTTAACACATTACTAGCTCAATCCAAAATGATCTAGTTTTTTAAATTGCCACTAGTTGCTTTGTGAAATTACAAAAGCCATTTTTCTTTGGAATATGGGGAAACATCATTTACAAATGCAAGTGTGAAATTTGCAAGTGTTGTGCATTTTGGTAGGACTAGAGCCAGATCAGATTAAGATAATCATCAGTCAAATACAACAGTACATACTCTCAAAAAAAATGTTGTTGTATCAACAAAATAAGATCTTGGTGGAAGGTTTGGAAGCATTTTAGTAATTGATAGCATCATTTTGTTTATTTGAAGCTTTTAGGATCCCAGTAAAGGGCTAGAATACAAGTGTAGTTATAAACAGGAGGAGGGGATTGCAGGCATCAAGACGACTTTAGAATGCAAATCAGTCCTTTTCGTGAGCAAAATTACGCGTGTGTGGCAAATCGCACATGTAAACAAATTTGCGCGTGCGTTCGCACTTGTAAGAAAATTTGAAGTACAAACCTGATAAAATTGGTAAAAGGAGCAAGAAGGAAAAAGCCACTCGAATACGTGCAAGAGCAAAACTAAAAAATAATCAATACATAACAGGTGTTGTTGCCCTTAGCAGCCATCTTTTAAAAGTCGTCGTCACTCTCCAACGTTACAAGAGCAAGTAAAAATTGTTTCCAACAGCTACTTGCTTTCAGGGCCTAATTACGTTTTGACAGGAAATCAGTTATTACACTTAACATGCTAATGGCGACTTAGCTGAAAGACGAGCTAAGTTGAATGGAGCACTCAGTCAAAAGCCAAACATCACTTCCGAAAATTGGAAAAATCATATTGTGGTCAAAAGTGCGAATCAAGTAACAAGGGAAAGGATAAACAATCATGAGACCATGGGAAATTGATGTTAAAGGGCCTCTCCAGCAAAAAAAAAATTTTTTTAATGACTTAAAAGTTAGCATCTGGTGCGTGTATTATGACAAAGTCATTGTTTTTGAAAAATTCCAATTAGTTTAGAAGTTGTAAGGCTTTACAGTTGCACCTTTCCGAGAAAAAAAACGACAAAAGCCGAATCAGTTTGGTGACATTCTGACGTCACAATGTGTGGCTCTCGTTCGCCATGAATTTCGTATATCTTCCACCGAAGCGTGAAGGACTCATGGTCACGCGTTGATAACTGCATCCAATTCCAGTTCCTGTTCCAGCTCTTCCCTCGCGTATAATTAATCGAAATTGTCACTTCAGTTGTTCTCCAGAAACGATGAACAACTAAAGGCTTCAGAATTGGTGTCTGAAATGCTCAAACTAAAAGCTGGTGGAACAGAACTGAGAGTACCATCACTTGCAGTGTTCAATTTGCGAATCGCCGACGTTCGATTCGGTTTGAGGCGAGACTAACGAAATACACTGTGACGTCAAAATTGCGTCACAGTGTCACCAAACCAAAAATCTTTGTCGGTTAATTCAATTAAATTATCGAAATGCAAGAGCTTATATCTCACAAACTGTAAAAAATATCGATAAACAAATAACGAATTCGTGAGCAGCAGGCTCAACTTCTTTATAAAAATTGCCAATAAAATGCAAGTGCAAAATTTGGCTGGAGAGGCCCTTTAACAGAAAACTGCAAAAACACCTGTTTGCGCGTGTGGTCAAAGCACGCGCAATTTAACTTGCGCGTGTGCAGGCGTGTGCGGGTGCGATCGCACGCGCTAAACGAAAAGGACTGCAAATATATGCTATTATATCAGAAAACCTGCTTAGGCATAAATATACCAATTACAGAAACTTTTTATTCTCAAAGGACACTGGTTCAATTTCTCACTGATATATTTCCTGTTGAGATTTTTAATTCATTTATCTCTTATTTCAGTGTGTGATGCAAAAGATTTTTAAAATAATCACTACTTTTGTTGCAAAATTATGACCACTATCCTAAAATTCAGCGAGCAGAGATCTGTTTTAACAGCTCTGTCCAATCCTTAACGCGACCCTATATGTCCCTGCCCACACTGAGGTAAAACTGTAAGCAGAAATTGCACTTATAACTTGATTTTGCAGCTTAATTGAAGTCCCCTTGCACATGGATAAAAATGTTCTGGATAGGAATTGGTTATAATTTAGGTCTGATATAATCATCATATTAAATTGAATTATTCAATGCATTTTATTGAAATATTGCACCAACGATTTGTGCAAAATATGAGGATTGTTTAAAAGAGAAAGTATGGGTTCTTGAAAGTTTTAGACAGAGTAAGCAGTTATAAGTTTCCTTTTATAAACTAGGCATGTGAAAAAATTGATTCTGTGTATATTCATGTTACCATGATTTCTTCGATTCATCTTGCACTTTTGTGTTCAAATCTTTGAAGCATTTGTGATTTTTTTAGGGACAGTTATTTTGGACAAGAACCCAAATATAAGAACAGTTGTAAATAAAACAAATACAATTGAAGAAACATTCCGATTCTTTAAAATGGAGCTACTTGCTGGTGAAAATGACACGTTTGCACATGTGAAGCAACATGGCTGTAAATTTGAGTTTGACTTTTCTAAAGTTTATTGGAATTCAAGATTACAAACAGAACACCAAAGGATTGTAGGCATTTTGGATCAGAATGATGTTGTTTGTGATGTATTTGCAGGTGTTGGTCCATTTGCTATTCCAGCTGCAAAAAAGGGATGCTTTGTGTATGCTAATGATCTAAACCCTGAATCATACAAAGCACTACTCCATAACATAAAGATAAATAAAGTCTCAAACAAAGTTGTTGCCTACAATCTAGATGGAAGAGAATTTTTAAAAAAAGTTTTGGGAATAGGATTGTTAGAGCAGCAAACAATGCAAGATGCCAACCAAACGAAAAATATCACCCACATTATAATGAATTTGCCTGCCATAGCAATAGAGTTTCTAGATGTTTTCAAATATGTTGATACACTGGCATGCAGAATTACAAGTGGTCTGACAGTTCACTGTTACTGCTTTTCAAAGATGGAGAATCCATTTCAAGATGTGGAAGGAAGGGTGAGGCAAATTTTGGGATCCAAGGTTGGTGATTGCAAAGTGCATATGGTGAGAAATGTGGCACCAAAAAAGGTTATGATGTGTATTTCATTTCACCTAACATGTTTCAATGGTAAAGATAAGGTAGAACCTAAAGGAACAGATCACAGTACAGATAAACGAGGAACTAAAAGACCAGCAGAAGATTAATAAGCAATATCATTTTATCTCAAATAAAATTTACAAAATGTAAACTGATGATTTCTACTCATGTGATTTTCTAAGTGGTATCAAGAAATTTTGAGAAAGGGTTTCATTGTTGCTATAATTTCTGATTTAAAGATGAAAAATTAATTGTAGCACATTTGAAGTTTTATTTGCAATGAAGGAATATGGGCTATCATTTAGTAGGCATACATGGTTTTAATACATCCCAAAATAATAATAAATTTTCCTTCTTGTTAAAGATGTTCATAATATCAAAATAACAACATAAAATGTGAAAATTCAATTTGACAATAAACTAGAACATCCTTCGCCATTACAGTTTAGAACTCTGCTCTCTGCTTGCAGTATGTTTTCTTTGAAAATGGTGTAAAGCCATGTTTGGAGCTCAACTTTGATGTTCTTCTTTCTTGATTCTAACTATCATGTATTGATAAAGCAATGGAGCAAAGTATTTGAAAGACACAATACAGAGAATGAATGCATAGCAAACCATCAGCCAAGACTTAAGTGACAGTCCAAAGTGTAAAGTTTCTAGAACTAAAAATATATATTATCAGAGGTAAATATTTTCTAATATACTTTTAATCCCAGGGCTTTAAAATAGATCAGCATGATGTGTGGAGGGAGTTGAGCTTTTGGTTTTTACACTGCCATTGTGAAAGTTCCACCCTGGTTTTCATATAACCTGAACATTGGGAACCTGTTCATAAAATTAGGAACAAGCACAACAACCCAGTTACAAGCAAAAATGGGAGTTGATTGCCTAACACAAGTTAATTCCTGCAGGGAGGTGTGATAAATCCAACTCCCTAAAAAAGTTTTGTTAGCAATGTGTTGTTCTTTTTTGGCAGTTTTAGGCTCATTTTTGGTATACACTATCATTTTTGCAAAGTCACTGCTTCTCAAGTGGCATATCCTTCTCAAGAGTAACTAGAATAATTACCTAAGAACACTAGCATATAAAAGCAACTTTTGCAATCCTAATAAGCCAAAATATGGTACAAACAGTATGAATAAGGTTAGCAGGGGCATTCTGTTTTGGCATGACCATCAGAAACAAATATTTTTGTACTCTTATACTCTCAAGTCCTAAACAGGTGGGGGTTTGGTTTGAAGAGGAATAAGGTGAAAATTCTTTCAAAACCAAAGAAATAGGGGTCTGGAATAAATAAGGTGGGCAGGAAATTCCCAAAATAGTAATAAACAGGGCAAAGTGCTTGCAGTCCCATTTGATTGGAGACAAAATAAATATCAACAAGACACCTGTTTCTTGAAGTAGGGGTGACCATTTTTATGAAATAACTGTATGAAAAATATATGGTTCTTAGTTTTGACTCCTTTTGGTTTTTGATTCACTTCTAAATGCTGAAGAGAGCATCAATTTATACACTGTGCAGTTTTTTAATGCACAAATTAATAAAAAGGGTGTCTGGAATAAGGATATAGATTTTTTCCAAAAACTAATAAGCAGTGGGGAGTTTATTCAAAACTCGAAGAGTAACTAGGGTCATTACCAAAGAACAATAAAAGAAACTATTGCAATCTAATAAGCTGAAACATGTCACGATTGTACAAACAGATGGATTAGATTAGCAGGGGCTAAATCTGCAGAAATTTTTTTTGAAGAGGTATATATAATCCTTCTCTCAATACAACCTATAAAAACTCGAGCTTTTAATTAAAAGAAACTTGTTTGTTAGCAGAGTAAAACAACACTAGTAAGCATTGAATACAAGCTATCTGACCCTTGCTCAGTTATGTGTAATTAATTACTAAAAATGTCAATAATAAAGAAAAACAGAAAGAAAAAAATTAAATAAAGAAAAGTAATGAAAAAATAAGATTTCCATGAAGTAAAATATTGATTAAGTAATTAAAAATCAAGAATGTTAAAACTGAGCTGAAAAACACAATAAGAACTTTTGTTATGCAAAAATTACTTTCAATTCTTTACATACCTATGTTGTACACAACTGGATCCTTGAGTCTGCGATCATCATAAGGAAACCCTGTCCTGTATGCTATGATCTCAGCAACATATCCCTTAAAAAGCATGTGGTAAATAAATGCCAATCTATCTTATCTAAGATAATCTAACATTTTTAGAATTTAACAGAGTTTTAATCCATAAAAATTTTGTATATGCCAAAGGTAAACTAAGAAGTTCTTAAAGAAAAAGTTAAAGCAAGAAACTGACATGAAATGCATGGTTAATTAAAAATATTATTTAAATATGATTAATTATTTTACCAACTACTTCGAGAAAAGAAATGGAACTGACACATAAAAAGTAAAGGGAATTTTCCATGTGAGAATTTGACAATTAACTTTTGCTATAAACAGTTACAAACCTTAGTTGTGTGATCAGTTTTGAATGTCGTTTTTTCAATGTTTAGAATTTGCCTTGACTTGATTCTTGATTGCTGATCAGGCCATAGTATGCGTATAACAAAATCTGTCGGAACCTTGTTTGAAAAGATTGAAATAAGTTGAAAACCATGTATACAAATGGCCATGTGTCTGTGACTTAGGGCTCTGGAAATGCAAATAAGGCAAAAACATCTTTCAAAACCAGCCCCCCCCCAAAGAAAAACCAAAAACTAAATATGAGACACTTAAAGGTACTGAGAAAAATCTTTAGTCTTCTATAATTGTGAGCAAATAACCTTTTTGCTAGGACAATCATTAGATGAAGTAATAACTGGTCCAGGGGCTGGGGAAGACGTCTGATAAACTGAGCGAAAACAAATTTTGTCTTTAAAGGCCTCCACCAAACACTTAAAACTCCAAGTTATGCAGATATTTATGTAAACAAATAATTTGGAATATTTGTACTTACAACAGCTGGGTAGGAAATTCTAATTTCATAGTTAGTATTTGAAAGTAGCCCATCTAGTTGATATGAAGCAGCTTCATGATTAGACAAAACCTGTAGAGAATTTACAACAAAAAGCTGGGTTAAAGTCACATTTTATCTTAGGCAAAATGACTGTGATTAATTATAGTATCAAGACTATGGCCGCGGTCACACTATGCTTTCTTAAAAGGTGTTGTACTAATGGCCTTGCTAAACATTTCTGGAATTCGGTCGGAATTTTGCATTTTCAAAGGAAATCCCCTTAATTCTTTAGGATGCTCTGTACCTTCCCAAAACCATGCTAAATACTTGTTATGCGTTCTAAATGAACAAAATCATGATGTTCTGTTTCCATAAAGGATTACTGATGTGCGTGTCCTTGACATGTGTGTCCTATGGCGGTTGCAATAAAATAAAGCGCACGCGTACAATTCTTTTCATTTATAAATTTTTCACTGAAAATTCAACAAGCAAAATTTACAAAACAATCATGTCGTACCCTTCCGGATCTGGAGGCAATTCTCAGCAAAATCCGTTTCAGTACCAAATATATTTGCAGCAAATTGAATTTGAACGCTACCAGAATGCGCGTATGAACTTGAATCCAGGGAATGAAGTTGCAAACGAAGATGAAAAGAAAAAAGGGGAAAACAATTGTCGCTGGTCCGAGATTCAAGCAAGAAGCCTGATTAAAAAGTGGAAAGAAAATGTCCCGGAGCTGGAAAGCAGTCGCAATCGGCAGGCATGGACAAAAATTATAAATAATGTTAATAGTAATGGACCTAAAAAAACTGTCAACCAGGCCAAGAAAAAACTTTCGAATTTACGAGAAACAAGATAGACGATTGTAGCTCCATCATGATAACGAATAAAGAAATTTTAAATTGGCGCGAACCAAGAAGCAAAAATAGTGAAATTTTGGCGGGAAATATACTCTGCGTGTTATAAATGTGCATGTTATTTTCTTGACCTATTAATTCCTTGAGGGTACTAAAGCATCCTTATAAAAAATCATGTGTGACCGGTCGCATGATGTAAGAACAAATACGGATTAGCAAAAAGGATGCTTGGAAAAGTACAGTGTGACCGCGGCCTATCTAGTTGGAGAAGCAATTTAACGTTTTATAATTTTTGCAAATGAATATTGGCTAAAATATTCAAAATCAACCATATTTAATATGCTTCTAACTATCCTTTTAAAGTTAATAACTGTGAAAAGTAATAGGCGAAAGTTGCCAACAAAAATTCAGAAAAGGTTTTTAGATCAGCAAATTTCACTAGAGATAACAAAAACTTTTTATTGGTAGAATGGGATGCTTGAATAGTGTTCACACACGTGCGTCAAGTCTCTGGTAATTTCATCATTCCATGAAAATCAGATATCAAACTAAAACTTATGCATAACAAAATGAACCTTCTGCCTTTATGAGCAACAACAAAAAGCAAAGCAGAAAAAAAGCAGAAAAACAATCATAATCACCTCATTGAAAATTGTTTTGTCAGGTTCAAGCCTGCAAGATAACTATGTTTTGAAGATTTTGGGAATGCAAGTACAAAAGTTTGTCTGGAGAGTAAAGTATAATCTGGTTATAACATACTTTAAGGGACCAGCGTATTAAGTACATTATATCTGAAGTACGTTGTAATAAGGGTAAGTAAAAGTTGACTAAAACCAAGCACACCTTTTGCCGGGACCAAGCACACCAGTACGTTGGATCGGAAAGTACGTAATAACTGAGTATGTTATAACGGGATTCTACTATACTAAATTTTCAAAATTGACTTTTCCATGAATAAAAACAAAGTTTCCGGTATGGTACTTATTGATAGTATGATAACACAAGGATTTTATTGCAATTTTTGTTTGAGGATGAAAATTTCTAAGGAATGTTTTGCAGTGCAGGGTATTGCTAATAAGTTTAAGATTTATATGTTTAACAAATGAAATTAATGTTTATAATAATATTGGCACTGTTTGCCAATTTCCTTGCTCTGAGTTTCACTCTTTTTCTGCTCTCTAGTTTGTCTAGGTCCCATCACCTGTGGCTCCCTTGAAAACTAGACAAAAAACCTGTATCAGAAACCATTTACAGAGCTTGGGGGCTAGCCCAAGACATGGGAGCAATGGGGGCAGCTGCCATAATGGTGCAAGGCAACCAAGTGCCTTTTCACAAAATTCATTTCCAAGCAATATTAATTAATATCAATATATAAATGCTAATGAAATCTAGGTTTTATCAAAAGATGTGTATGATCATCAGAAAATTTTGTTGTTCTTATTTAAGCTAGGATTGGGTCCAGCCTCCTCTGAGGGTTGATGTTGGGTTGAAAGAATTTTCAAGAATGAAGTTGGACTGTTATATTGATTCTGATGCATTATTTGGGCATATCCCTCTTTTCAGAGAGTCTTTACTGCTTTAGAAATTTGCAGACCACAAAATTTCAGGGCATCAGACAACCACAGACTATCTCTCACTGGACAGGGCCTTGACGTACAACCATGCCTTGGCCACTGGCTAAACAACAACTCCCAATTTGTTTTAGCAGCAAACTTTGTTACCCCCAAGGTACCCTTCCTGGGTTCCTGCCCTGTCGCATCATGAAGCTACCAGCACCTGTGACCCCGGACTAAAAGAGATTGCAACAATCAAGTACTTTTTCTGACTCAACTTATAAATCAAGGACTAATTGGCCAATTTTGCACAAACCTACATTCCTTTGCGGCTAGTCCCAAGTAATTTAACTTAAGGGTAGCTGAATTTATGTTGTTGTGATAGGCAATGTAGATCTTGTAGTGGGACAGCAGATTGGTGTTTACTTGATGACTTTCATGTTCAACTTTAAAATTTGAAGTAAAGCATACAAGTTAAGTCTTCATCAGGATTCCTTTTGCCGATCCTCAAATACAACTCAAATTGGGAGGGTAAAGCAATAGTCCCTCTTCATCCAAGGGGTATCTCCAATACAATTTCACAAGTATATCTCCAATGTTTATTATCAATTTGAGCACTTCACAGCAAATTTTTTCTTTATTTTTCTCCTTTCCGGGTTGAGTTTATCAATTTTGCCTCTTCCTATCTAAAGACCATTTAAAAAAATGGACTTCAGATTTTAAATCTTCATCTTGAAATTAGTTTAGACTGAAAACTATATGTTGTTTGGACTCTTCGGTCAAGAGTTACATCAATTTTAATATTTAGATCGTTCTATATATTGGACCAGAATTTGCTACTGTAATGAAAAAAATTTACTACAGCAAGAAATTCCATTTAAATGTATAGGAAAAGCTAAATTTTGAAAATAGCTTGAATTGTCTGATGGGCAAACAACATGAAATTTTGACACAGATTAATTTTAACATAAAGATTCCAATTCTATGATCCATTTTTGGAAAATGTAAAGACAAAAAATTGCCCAGAACAAAGAATGCTATGCTACAAATATCATCGATGGGTTGGCCATATTCAAGCTGCTTATGTTTTGATGAATATCACCCACTAACATTCCTTTTTGTTGTGAGAAGAGAAACAATCCAGCAAACTTGAACAAAGAAAGTTGAGAATTTCAACATAGTTGCATTTATGGAGAAATTACGTATCATTCATAGAGACCCTTGCTGTTAATTAAAACTCTCAAAATGAAGATAGCCTTGTTGACAAGAGGTAGTAAGAAAGGGGAAAGGTTTTTCATGTCAATGGCTTTAGATTTCTAATATTATTTTATCAGCCCTACTTAAAATTTTCCCCACAAGCCTCCATCGGTGTTTTGCATAGACAGATGTCAAAAACCAAATTAGACATCAGACACACAATTATACCAAGCTCCTGCTCATGTCAAAGACCTACACACACAAGAACCCTCTCCTATAAAGATTTTAGAAAAAATTAAATTCTTTATGATAAAACCAATATCCTTGGCCTAAACACAAGATGCTAATTATAAAAGGCATTTGCAGCTATTTTGTACATACCAGCTTAAAATAAAAGGGGGTGAAAACAATATTTTTGCAATAGAGTTTTTTTTAGAATTTTTTTCCCATAATCTGAGCATAATGAAATACCTCTAAATCTGCAAAGTCAGTTAAAGGTATTACGAATTGGCCAGATGAGATATGGCCAGATGAGCAAAAGCTCTGGCCCCATCAAACCTCTGTAATTTGGTCTCAGTTCATAACTTTATGAACTGAGCCAAAGTAACAGTAATCCGTTAGCAAACTTCAAATCTTCTATTGGCCATAGCTCACCAGATAGACAAGTTTAACTGATTCTGCATATATGGGAGTATTTTATGGTGTTCTTTCATGTTATGTGGTTTTTTGTGACGTCACACTTGAGAACTCTATTTGAACTTGATCTGAACAGTTAATAAAATATGAAGAAATATGATTTACGCATCAATAGCTATCTAATAAACACCTGTAAGATACAATATTTTTATCATGACATTACAATCATAAACGATAATACCTTCTAAAACGCCCAGTTTCCTTCAAACAGTTTGACACCAAGACAACAGGCAAAATTACAATAGCGCGAAGGAAGTTAGCGTGGATAGACAGGGACATTAATGGTTCCCAGATTGCAGCAGCACGAATAACCATCTGATTTTGATAATCCCTGCACTTTTACACTGTATGTGCTTCTAATTATACTTCTATTACATGGTTTCTAAAAAGTCTGTTTAGTAACGTTGGCGTCGCCATCTTGGACCTCGTTTTGAAAGTTTGAAATAAAACAAAACTAACAAAACACTCATGTGTAGGTGCGATTGGCGGGAAACTATAATCTAGTGATCAGGGGCGTAGCTAGAAGGGGCGGGTTCGGCTTGTAGGGGGGTTGGCACCCAATCCTTAATGAGTTTGTCGGTAAATCTTCGGTTGGCCCACAAAATCCTAATTTGACGGTAAAATCGTCTATCGGTATGTAAAGAAGGGGCCATTAATGTAAAGAAGGTTTCCTCTTATCCCCTCAAGCCCTCATTCGCTTTTTTACTTGTAGACTTTCGTTCAATTTATTTGTTGTAACCTAGAGGCTTATGTATAGAAATGAGTTGAGCTGATTTTAATCTTTTTTTAAGCGAAAATGGCGGAGGCTATGGCCTCCCTGTTGGGACAGATTTAGCGGGGGGATGTAGTAGGGGGTGCGACACCCCTAATCTTTCTGTGTCTATTTCTGTGCTGGTAAATTTTGTTCCATTTGGTGGAAATCATATTTTGGTAGTCAGTAGTAACAAAGTAACGCCAAGATTTAACTTTGTTTATCTTCTTTTCAGTATTTATCTTCTTATCGGTAGCGTAGCGGGGGAGGAGGAGTTTATATTTCAGAAAATATTAAAACTTTTTTAAAGACTGCAAGCAAACGATTGTAAGAAATATTGTGAAATGTATTTTAGGTTAATCTAAAGGGTGTGTTCGCAAAAATTTTCTGCTCGCTTCGCTCCCAAGGGCCCCTCCTCTATGCCTCTACAGAATGTTCAACAATTTTCCCTCGTTTTAGGGTTTATGTAGAAAAGTCTTTCACGTTCTTTAGACATTCCCGATAAAATTGAAAGTAAAATGCTACAGCACTTCAATCCTTAAAAAACTGGATTCTGAAATGCTTGTCGTGGATTTTGCTCCAAGGAGAACGGACTTAGTTTGAAACGTTTAAATACTTTTTACTATTTTTAGATATTTGATCACAACTTTGGAAAATCAGTTCCTCGTCTCAGACAATTAAGGATATAAACGTTAGAGGAAATAGACAGTTGTAAGATGAGGTCAGTCACAAAAAGCTACACATGACGTTGTATAAAGCGAAATTTCCACGTAAAAAGCAATAGCTTTTCCAAACGCATTTATAAAATGGGGTGTTTTCCCAAATTCGTAAGGGTCTGGTCAGCAAAAATAATTTCGTCTGTGCCCAACCAATCTCCAATCCTGGCTACCCCACTGCTTCTTATCGTCTTTACCTTGAAGTTAAAAACCAAACTTTGAAATGGGCGTTTTCATCGTTTACCAGTGACTTCCAGAGTGTGATACCAAAGTTAGTGTCTAACAACACCCAATCATAGTTGCTTACATCTGCCATTGCCCCCTGGCCACCCCTTTGGCACAGGCCCTGGGAATAGCACCTAATTTTTTTCATCTGTGTCTTCATCGGTTAATTTTACTACTGATGACCCTCCACCCCCTTAGTCTAGACAGAAGGTTCAAGATACGCCATTGCTAGAGATCATTACACTCTTTTTTTAAGAGAACCACTAAATTCAAGTTCAGGCTAAGCAGCGTGATTGCTAGTTTTTTCGCTCTAGGGAGGTGTTCAGGCCTCATTTGCCAACAAAGTCAGGGCCTAGTAGGGGGCCAAGGCTTTTTCCCCTTTACTGCAGCTTTAAAACTGTTTGCTTTGCAAAAAAGGGGGCGGCATGGCCCCTCCGCCACTCCCCCCCTCCCGGTAGCGTGGGCCCTGAAAGTGAGTGAGACATGTTACGGTACGAAGATCGAACTTCTATCACGTGCTGGTCCACGTGGTTATCAGCGTGAACATCCTTTTATTAACTTTTATGCTTTTTAACTATTGTTCTATTCTAGTATCTAATTGGCTGTTATCATGTTCTGTTTTGTTATTGGCTAGCTGTATTTTAGAAAGGGTATAAAGGAGCTTGCCTGTTTTAGAGTAGGAGGCTTTTTACTGTGGGCGTTCCCGCCTTGCCAAAAGAATCGTGGCCGCCGTTTCCCGATGAAAGTGGAAGCGTGTGTCGCTTGAAAGACTTCGCTGTTGCCATTCGAAGTATTTAATTCAGAGACGCCACAAGTCGCCAATACTAAAGCAAGCAAGCTAAAGGTCGTGAGTGCTTTGTTTTTATTGTTATTCTTAGCTTTTCTATATTCTTTATATTAAACATTTGAGACTGATTGCCTATGAAGTTATTCGTTGACTCACAAACTGTTAGACTTAGAGGCGTAGTCTAATAGACAACCTTCATGTGCCGACAAGTTTGAATATTCACCGGCAAAGCACCCACACATTGCCAAAAAATTCTTGCTTTTAAGATAAAACGTTGTTGAAAATTGCATTTTGCAGAAGCTCAGTCCAGCTTGTTCTTAATTTGTTCTCAACTTTTGACCAATTTTGAGGCATAAAAGAAAAGAGTGTAGCTTTCATGGCCAAAAATTATGGCAAAGGGTATTTAAGAAAATAAAGAGTCACAATCTATCTATATCTTCCTAAACAAATATAAAATCTGTAGACAATGTTCAGTGCACCCGTAGATTATCCAGCAAACAGTAGAAAATGCTATCTGGTGTAACACAAGAATTAATGTAAGGCCCCTTTATTTTTGGCAATTTTATAAATGATATTTTGTGAAATTTGCATCTTCCCTAATTACGTAAAAAGTTACTGTTGTGACAAAATAACTGAAAATGAAACTGAAACCTCCAAATTAATGTAAACCACTAAATAAATTGGATTAAACAGGAGGGTATGCATGTAAATTTGGAAGATTTTTGATAATTTTTTTAAAGGACGTGACACTGAAACCTCTTCTATTGAAAGCTAAGATTCCGTGATATCAGAAATGTCTCATTAAATAAATCTTCTGTATAGGATTTAGACTAAGAGACGAAGCATATAGATTCTTAGTCCAGGAATTGTTAAATCTATTACCATTGGCAATGCATTTTTTCAGTAATTAACAGTGGCGGCTCGTGGGAAAATCTTTTGGTGGGGCTGATAACGTAATATTAGCAATGATGACAGAATGTTCAGATTTTAGCTTTGACTTGTTCTGTTTAACTTTGTAATAGAAAAGTCTGCCTACAATAATGAGAAAGTATGCCTATCAACATAGTCATAATGTTTTCTATGACTATGCTATCAACAAATCATAAAAAATTTTGCCGGGGTGGCGCTCCTTGACATAGCTCGAGGGCCAAATTATTAAAAATTTATTGGCTAATAACGGGCCACAGAATTTATAACCCTTTTTCAGATGATTTTGAAACTGACATGGCGCAAAAATCTAATTAAGTGCACTCGTCGGAGTTGAGTTGAATTCGATGCGCCAATTATGAATGTGGTAAACTAGGCCCAAACGAAATACAGATTTTTTTGCCAACTCTTAAATACTGTAAGTACAGTCTTTTGCAGTTTGTCCGCAAAATGCAGTGAGGTGGAGCGCAGTTTCTTTCACAAGCATTGCCTTTCCAAAAAATGTAAGAAAGGATTAAGATAAGCTCTCTCGGCTACCCGAGGTAGGCGTTTCTGTACCATGGCTACCAGAGCCACATAAATTCAAGAGCGGAATAGAAGATAGGAGTGGCGACGTTCCTCTGCTTTTCGGCTTGGGATTGTGTTGACGCGCTCGAAATTCTGTGGCTGTGGTACCCAGGGTAGACTTTTCTCGTCAAAATATATACACGTTATACATGTATCTTTTTAATTTCAGTATTATCCTATAAAGCGAAACCAAAACTGTCCCCGAACTTTTTGCATTCCTCCGAACTGCCCCCGATTAATCTGGACACAAGATAACTCAAATTCCATAGCCATAAATGTGACAGCATCTTTGGACTCGGGCAAAGGCTGACATTCCTGAACTCGAATCACTATTTACCAAGATATAGTACAAATATATTTCAGGCAATCGGGCACGTTTTTCGTGCTACCATTGTGACCAGCAAAACATTTTGATTTCGTTAGCAACAGCAAACCCTAGAGACCAATATCAGAAAACACGAGGAGCTAGTTGATTGATATTAGAATATGGTTCTCCTTCAATGGTTCTCCTTAAAAAAGGAAATTTTTTGGGCAAAATTATACAAATTCCCATTTACATGTGTTTTCTCTAGAAAGTCTGATAAAGCTTTGCTGCTTGGCAATTAAAGGACATTTGCTCACACCTCGCGCCCTTGAATTATTCGATAATGAAAAAGTTCAGGCAAAGCCAAAGAAAATTGATAAAAAGTTGACAATACTTTGAATGATATTATAAAGCCAGTTAGAAAATATTTACATGAAAACTAAACCAAGAAAACCAAACTCTTGTCATCTTTTCTAATGTCTGTAATTCAGTAAAAATGTTTTGAGAAGTTGCACTAATCTGGCAAATACTGACATCAATTAATATATAAATATTTTCTATTTGTCTAAGAAAAATATTATTTCTTAATCACAACTCCTAGGAAACCAAAAGCGGCTAATGTTGGTTGTAATTAGGCAAAAAATACAAAAATAATCTTCTTGATGGACCAGTGAAGGGCAAGTCGCGGAATCATTGAACGCAATCGAACAAGAGAAATCTATAACAAGAGAATAAATAAATCTATGGTCCTAATAGCAGGAGAACTTCAGTAGGATGCTAAGGGTCTTAGGACATCGGTATATGCGGGGAATGGGTAGGAAAAAAATTAGTTTGAAAAAGGACCCCAGCTTTATTACAAAATCTTTACAATGAGATTTTGTGAACATCAATTCTGGGTAAAATAAAGTGACAAACTGCACACATACTGAGTACTGCTTTGCATATATCTGAGTTGCAGCAATGCTAAATTGTCCTTAACAAATATCGACAAGCAATTTTCTTCCAAAAATACAGGATTATAAAGATTATAAAAGGAATAGAGAATTCTACAAGAAAAAGGTTGCTACAAGACAAAGGCGAACAATTAATTGCTACAATGTCAGCTACTTATGGCGTTCATACTCATGACTATGTGATTTTGGAGTTCTTGCAGTTTTACTGTCATCCTCCTTTAACATGAAGTAGCATCGGGTCGATAGAGGTCCTTCAATGGACTTCCATGCTATTCTTAATCATTCTTCCAAAGAAGATTAATATTTCCCACTCATAGAGCAGTCAATCACAACAGTAAACCGAAAAGCTAGTTATAAGTACAAGTAAAAGTTTTAATCACATCACATATATCTAGATTGCAATATACATACATTCTAGAGAGCACGGAGCAATCATAGGGGGGGGAATGTAAAAACAAACGATAATCAGCAGGGGAAAGACAACACTGTAAAGTGACATCCTTTGATTCCCTTTACTAAGAGCGAATATTGAGACATTTCGAGATTAAAAGAAATTTAAACATTATTGGTGTAAAGTCGATATCAATATTCTTTGGCATTTATTCTTGGTGGTGCTGAATATCGAACTACAAATAGATATCACAATTCAAATTTAGAACTTAATGCCATATTTCAAATTTCAACAGCTTTCTAAATCCTCTGTAAATAGCTGACAGGACTATAGAATAAAATCGGCGAGTTTTGTTGCACTGGTTTTGGTAAGATCCCGGACTAATTCGTTACCATTTTCTTTAGTTGGGAGACTTCTTTAACTCTTTGCTACTGTGCTCGTTTCGTTTGTGTTTAAAAAGTATCTATCTACTTTACGCATTAATCTTCAACGAAAATTAATATTACTCATAATGTGCCAAATTTAACAAGAAGTTCAACTTTAAGTTCGTCTTTTTCCACCTTGGTTTTCAACTCCGCAATGTCTTCCGCGACGTCTGTTTCCTGCTCCGATTTCGAACCTTTGACATGCGTAACGTACAAACGTCGGTATGCTTTGCGCGGGCTCGAAGGTGACCCATCACGACTTGTTCGGCTTCTACTCCGCAGTTCCCGAAGAGGAGTGCGTGGCATAGTGGCTATTGCTCCTATTGCTGTGTATTCAACATGATCGTTACTCACATCCGCCAATACATTGTCTCGGTCAGCAGAGTCCTTGTCTAGCATCCCGCTAAACGACTGTGGAACTGTCACCAATTCAAGTTTCTTTTTATTTTTCAGTTCACCCTGGTTGTCAAATGTTACAGTCTTTTTCCCTTCTTTTGTATCTCGTTTACTCATGTGTATTTTCCCAGACTCGACACTTTGATCCTTTTGTTTGAACTTGTTGCCAGCTTGCAGATTGAAGTTGAATTGGAGTCCTTTTGGTTGAACGTGCACCTGACCCAACAACTTCGCCTCGTCCGTTTGTTTCTGTTTCTCAAATTTCTGTATTATATTTTCCTTCGACCCTGCTTTTCGAAGCACTGGAGCATCACCGTCAAGACGATTTGATATTCTGCTTTGGTATCCGTCAACCTGTGCCACTGAAAACTGGGTTTTACTTGTATCCGAGGAAGCCTTTAAATACTTCTCAGCTCTTTCTTTGACTTGTGACTCAGGGATATTCGCAGATCGGCCCAGCTTTGGCGAATTCCTTGGACTTCTTGCCTTACGTTCCAGTTCTGCTGTTTCTTGTTGTGAAGACTCGCCTTTAGCAACTTTTACAGCGTTTGCAAAGAAACTTCTGTCAATTTTCATCGCACTTGGCTGTGTGCCTTTAGGTCGAGCGACCTCGGTTTCTTTTGGCTCAGAGCCATTCCCTTCCCAATATTTCCTATTAGAAGAAACAGCTTGACCTGGCGCTTTATTCAATCTTGATAGAGGAGGAGTTTTAACCTTTTCCGCGCTTGAAGTGAATTTACTTGCCATCTGAGCTGCAATTCCTTGACGAACTCCAAGGTTTGACTTCTTAGGGTAGGCCGACTTTTCTTCTGAAGGAGTTGAGGGTTTACTCTTACACCCTAATGGTGTGGGTTTGTCTTCTTTCAGCTTTGGTTGCAAAATACTGGACGGCGTAGATGGCTGGGATCTTGCAATATCAGATGGCGCATTTCCCTTCTTTTCTACAACTGCTGTTTTAGCAAGGGATATTTTAACTTGTTCCACCTTATCATTATCCTTATCCTCGTTTATAGCTACCTTTTCAGGCTCCTCGTTGTCATGATCAACTACCACGCTTGCTGTTTCTGGCGTTGCTCTTCCAGACGATGGAGTAGTAGATCCTGAAGATTTACTTCCTCGGGACAATACATTTTTCATACCCACTTTGCCAAAATCCTTATGACTTAGTTGAGAATCCTGCTTCAAAGCACGCGTGTCCACATAATCCGTTTCGTCACCAATGGTCTTTCTGCTTGGGCTTTGAATTTGGCTTTTTGATTCAGCACCATCAACGAGATTAAGGCCTGCTTTTGTTAACTTCTCAAGATGAGCTCCCAACTTATTATTCTTTCCTACATCACTAGTCTTCCTTTCCCTTGTAAGAGACTGTCATCCACTGACTTTGCCTTTGCTAATGTAACTCTGCCCTCAATTTCTTCATTTGACTCTTTATATTTACTAACTATGGAGGTCGTAGATGCTCTTGAATTGAGCTTATTACCAAAATACCTCTGTCTTTTCGTATCAGTGACAAGTAACGCAGCGTCTTTCTGATTTTCCAATGTTTCCCTCGACGGCTCACTTGCTTGGAATTTAGTTTTTTTAGAAGCATCACTATCTGGCTCTTTTGAAATTAAATCCTCTTTCAAAACATTTTTATTTTCATCTCTTTCGATACCATTCACAACATCGTTAAGCAGAGAAAATTTAGGGCTGCCTTTTCTCTTGAGATGTCCCTCGAAATGATCATTTGGCAGCTCTACCTTCGACGAATCGTCTTCATCCTTACAAATAAGGCTGTCAATATCGAATCCACCAGTAAACAGAGCCTTTGGTTCTGGCAGTTTGGCTGGTTCCGGTAATTTGGCTGGTTCCGGTAATTTGGCTTGTTCCAGTGTTTTGGCTAGTTCCGGCAATTTGGTTGGTTCCGGTAATTTGACAGGTTCCAATAATTTTGCTGATTCCGTTAATTTGGCTGGTTCCGATAATTTTGCTGATTCCGGTAATTGGACTGGCTCTGGTGATTTGACTGGTTCCGGTGATTTGGCTTGTTCCAGTGTTTTGGCTAGTTCCGGCAATTTGGTTGGTTCCGGTAATTTGACAGGTTCCAATAATTTTGCTGATTCCGTTAATTTGGCTGGTTCCGATAATTGGACTGGCTCTGGTGATTTGGCTGGTTCCGTGTTTGACTCATCTAAGTTTTCATCATCAACAGATTCAATTTGCTCCTTGATGTGCAAGACAGAGTCAGTTGCTCCATTTAGATCAAAAACTTCTTCAACTCTGGGGGACTTTTCTTGCAAATATCCGTTGGTTTCGTTGTTATCAGCAGGGAAATCTTCCTCTTTTACATATGAATCTTCTGCATCATCGGTGGTGACATCATCTGAGTCATCACTGGGTACAGCCTGATCTTCTTCTCCTTCTGTTGAAAATACACTGTCTCCTTCGCTGTCCAATCTGGACACGCTTTCCTCTCGGAATTTTTCAAAAGCTTCTTTGGCTATAAGAGCAGCCTCTATGTCCTGTTCCTTAACGCCTTCTGACATCTGTTTCAACCAGGGATGCTCTAAGCATTCTTGGGTTGTTAGTCTTTCCCTGTGTTAAAATCAAATCAAATGATATGAAAATTCTACGGTAGATTAAGATTGTCTAGGGCATTGATAGAACCAAATTTGGTATATTTACCTTTTTATTGATTCGAAGCACTAAATAATCGGTTTCTTTAAAGTGCTTCTAAGGTCAAAAATTCGTCAGATCATTTTCCCTTGAAACAAATGTGAAATTTTCTGCTGATCTCGACTATCTAAATCGTTTCTGAAGATGGAGAAAGGAGTGATGTCAGAAGTTGTTTCTGATGTTATTCAGCTGAGCATGGAAATACAATAGGCTTAAGGAATAAGGCTATTGATTGGGCCAAAGCGGGAGTGGATTAAGCGAAAGCCAAGTTCATGACGAGGAATGTTTTGATCCAACACAACCAGGAAATAATTACGTTAATAATAAGAAACAATCTCGATATATTTGAACCAGATTTAAAAGCTGCCGTCGCAACAAATTGTCTGTTGCAATTATTTGGCCTAGCCATAGCAATGATGATAATCAAACTGAGAGCTCACAGAATGGACTTATAAGAAGAATGTATAAAGAAGAATGGACTTAGAAACTCTTTTAGACTGCAGACTTTAGTTTAATTGTAAATAGGATTTTTAGAAATTTTTATGTTTTAATAATTATACTGTAATTTCATATTTTATGCTCTAATTTAACTTTATATACTTTTTTCGTTGTGTCCCCAATTAGCTTGTAAACTAAATATTTTTTGACACATTAATAAAGTTTTTGATTTGATTGATTGATTGAGGGGGAGAGTGATCTGGAACTAGTAATTGACCTTGTTTGTATATATTTCATTTGGCTTCATTGACTAATCGAGAACATATTTCGATGAAATGGTAGTCACCACTAGTTCTGTGGCCGTTCGTGGATAAAACCACATGACTCTAGGCCCTCAATACGTCACAAATTCTTCGCTGCTTTCATGGCCTAGGTCAAACTTTGAGCGGCAAAATCAAAGAAATGGGACGCAATATAGCAACTACGAAATTAGAATTGAATCTAGATTGGTAAAACGGACATTTCAGACTCAAGTTGATCTTGGAAGCACTTTAGCTGTAAATTCTAAGGAAGTCACAAAATCTCAAGCAGTAATTCTAGCTCCGGAGCAACATTTTAACCATAAAATAAACAAATAAAACAACACTTAGAACTTACTTTGGATCTTTAATGAGAAGAGCTTCGATGAAATCCTTTGCTTCGTCTGATATGTCGTCAAACTCCTCAGCATCGAAATCAAAATCAACATTTGCTATGTTTGCATATGTTTCCATGACGTCATCTCCAGCGAAAGGGGAAATCCCACTAAGCCTAGAAGGCATAAAAACATTTGATACTGACAAAAGAAAAAAACAAGCCCTAAAAATACAACTAGCTCTCAAAATAAAATAACAAGGGCAAAGTTTTGGCTAAAAGCATTTTACGAAATCACCGATCATTTTAGTAAAGCACATTCGAAACTTTACCTCAACAATACCTCAACTGTAAATTGACTTTAAATGTACGCACGTTTGTTTGCGCGTTCGATACTGAAAGCCATATGACACATAGTCACTGCAAACTTCAGGAAAGAACAAAAAAACATTGATTGATACTTACAAAACGTAGCAAACAACGCCAATGCTCCTGTCGAAGAGTAAATTTAGTTTTTAATACAGATTCTGTTATGATCTGTTATGTTTGAAAAAATAACATTTGTCCAATATCAAATATAGAAAACAAACAGCAAATTGAAAAACATAAACGACCAAGAAAAGAGTCTTTTGTATAAGATTCTCTACAATGTTTTTAAATTTTTGGGTGCTATTCTCTTCTGTGAGATTTGAATGTCATAAATGTATCATGTAATGAAAGTCTTTTATAAAGATAATAAATAATTCATGAAAAACCAATTCTTAATTATCCACTTTTGAAGTTATTCGAGGATAGTGCTTAAATTCAATGCTTAAATTTGGTAACTGCTTAAATTCAATGATTTATGGAAAGAGCACATACCACAGGTCTGCAGAAATTTGAATTGGTTCGTATGATAGTACTTCAGGTGCTGCAACAGATAATTGTTTTGAGGTAAAATAATGAATTGTGTAACAAAAAAAGCCGAGGGACATTGCATTTGGCTCGAAATTATGCTCAAACGGGCTTCAAATGATAACAATGCTATAACAACGTAACTTGCGATAATTTCTTCTTGAAAAAAGTTTTCCTAATGTCCAACATAAAAACGGTATCCGATATGATAACCAGAAAAATATGGCACAGTATAATCTTACCTACATATTCTGGCGTACCAACAATGTCGTATTGACTGTAAGGGAGATCGACTCTTCGCGATAAACCAAAATCAATGAGGCGAATTTCAGGAAACTTCTGGTCGTTCTTTAATAATATGTTTTCGGGCTAAAATGAAGAAAAAACAGGAACGTTATCGAAATAAAACCATACTGTTGCCTGATGATTGAATTGACAGTGCAACTTAGTTTTACATCATAAAACTGCCCGGTTCTACCTACACATAAGACCGCGAACAGTTCTGTCTTTACATCAAGGCCTATAAACAGACTAATGAACGATAGTCTTCTTTACATCAAACCAGACAAAGCAAACTGTATCGAACAAACTGCTCCTTTGAGAAATCGTACTGTCTCCTAATTGAATAATTACTACGTGTAGACTAACGCTTTTAGAGTTTCAGGGACCATCTATGTTTTGGTGTCGGAGAACGTCCTGTCATGTATACATTTATATATACATGTAACATATGTGGTATTGGCTTTTTGTGATTGTGAGGTTCAAGGTTACAATAGCTCAAGCAGTTAGCAGTGCTGGTTTTTTAAAGAGCAAGGTGGATAACATATCAAAATGATACCGGGTCAAGGTGAAGACCAGAGAAGAAGAAACAAGAAAGAAATCAAAACACCGAACTCTCTTTTTACATGGAAAAAAAGTTTGTACGAAATAGTTTGACATTATTTCATGTATTCTTTTCTACACCATTAATTTTGTGCTTGGCTAGATCACGTTCCTTTCAGTCATCATAAGTTCCTTATAGCTATATACTGAGTGTAGTTATTGTTATAAACTATAGATGGAGGCAAACTTTATCAAGCAAACCTCGCTACAATGACACGGGAGGGCAATTTTATAGCAATTAAACAAGAGCCTACTTTGCAGTAGCATTTCTTTTAGGGATGTATAATATCGACAGCAGCAAGGGTAAGAAGTTATCTTAAAGGACTTAGATTAATCAGTGCTGGGTTCTATGTCCTTTAACTGGATTAATCGTGAGCTAAATGCCGATAGAACAAAGTCATAAAAGACCCACCACATTATAAAAACAAAATGGTAAACAAATCTTGAAGGCACAAAATTGATTTGAATCAGCCAGCTAATCCTTAATCCATGTTCAGAAGTGAACAAGAGGATATTCCTAAAATTGAAACTTCAAATTGCCCGAAGAATATATGTCACAGATAAGGTAGCAAGCAGCGTCTATTGAGATCCCCAAAAAAGTCTTATCATACCAAGACAACTTCGCCATTCCTTAAAACTAATTCTTCCAAGAAACAAATGGTAAAAGGTTAAAAAAGATATGAAAAAACAGCGGCACTTCTGACCATATTGCGAAATGACGTTATATGTTTCACAAATAAGGGACAGAAAGCTGGAAAACCGGTTGCACAAAACAGCAGATATTGGTTTCACCGGCGACACATGCAAGCTTCGAACAGGTCTACATTTACTTAGCCAGGAAAACTGACCAGGTAGTGTGGCACTCAGACTTTATCAAATGACTTGCCAAAGGGTCAACAATAAGTAGCAACAGCAGGACATATCACAATTTCACAAGGTTATTGAAATACCTAAAAGTATTGACTAACTGGTTCAAGTTAGAGCATATATCTCGGCTACGCTGATACAAAATATTTACCAGGTTTAAATATATAATAGTGTTTAATATGTTCTGCAATAGCATTAAGGTGTCAATAATGGAAACTTGTCACTTAAGCCACAATATGGCTTCTATAGACAAATATCTCTGCAAGACAATGATGGAAAGCATTATCCTTAACAGTGCCAACAAATGAGATGCATTATAAAAAGAGTCAATGTAGCTTGCTTTCTTAAAAATATTCGGACAGAGACATACTGAATTAAAATGGGTTAGAATGCTGAGACAGAAGTTTCTGCTGAATTCTTAAAGAATACGTGTTGACAGATGACAGTTGATCCTGATCGACGGGTTGACAGATGCATGTATGAACTGCTTGGTGGATGGACTAATTCGTAGATGGACTGATGGGTGGATGGACTGATGGGTGGATAGACGGATGGGTGGACGGCGAAATGGATGATCGGATAGATTGATGGATGGTTGGAAGGGTAGATGGACTGACTGGTGGATAGAGAGATGGATGGATTGGTGGATGGAAAATTGAGCTACAAGTTAGAGAGTCCCCTAGTTTGCTAAAAATTATTAATATGGTAGGATAAATGCCCACTTTCTGATCATGCTTAGTTCTAGATTAAACAAAATTTAGAAGATTTTGGCTCCGTCAAAATTCATAAAACAAAACTCAAAGAAAAACATGGTAAACCTAATTTTCTTTGGCGCTTTAGGAGTTAGAAAACCGATCGCTGACAAAAGAGATAGATAGGATTTAAATACTGTGGTTTGCAAAGCTTTATCGGTTAATCACATTCATCGGTAATTTTCAGCTTAGGAGTTATGGGTTTTTTATGCACAACTTTTCTGTAAATAACATTGACGTTCTTGACGATGGCGCTCTAGCTACGTCTCATAAACAGAGCAGACCACGTCTCATAAAATGACAGACAGTTCAACAGAAGGCAAATAATTATTGTAAATTCATTTACAAAAATAATGAGTATCATAAACAAAATAGGCAATAGTTATAAAGTGCAAATATGCTAATAGCTTCTCGCAAATGATTCTGGAGAATAACATAGAGTCTGAAATTCAATTTGTTGCTTTCTATCATGAACCAAATAACTAATTTTGTAAACAATTTGTAAACAAAGGGCTGTGTCTACCCAAAGGGCATTAACATATATATATACACATAAATATAAAAATAGGAAATGAAAATAAAAATACGTTACAGAAAAAAAATGGTTACGTGGTGTACATTTTAAATTGAAACAACATTCAAACTGGGTAGTATTGCGGATGAATTGTAGAGTCGAGTTGAGATTGTTTCTATTGACGCCATAAGGAAAATTTTCATTGCCATATAGTAAAAGCTGAGTTAGAGCCTTATCTGACAGGTTTGTAGGTCCAAGAGGTCGTAATATGTCAAAGACTCCAGCAAGAAGATCTTGTCATTGAGCAGCGAAAGAAGGGCAAAGAAACAAGAAATGTTCGGCATCCTCAATGCCACCATTCGAAGGGCACATTGGGTTTTTAAATATCCCTAAAACTGTGTTTGAATTTGTGAAAGTTTAATTTGCTTAGATCAACTCTAAGTTGAGTAAGACGGGATAAACCTATTGGGTCATGAATTCCGAAGACAGACTTTGCGGATAATTGACAAAAAATTTTCCTTGAAAATTAGCAACAGATGGTGCAAGTCTAAGCTCTGGTTCAAAATTGTTCCATTCAGATAAACAGTGAGGATAAAAACTAGATTTGAATTTTTCTGTTCTCAATTAACCAGACTACAACCTTTTATAATTAATACTTATATACTTGAAACATGCTACATGATTTAAACACTTTTTCCAAACACCCCAATACCCTAAATTGTTTTTCAACCCAATCAATGGATGGACAAACATGTCCCCTGTGTAGAATGGACTAAAAAGTAGTCTCAAACAACATCCTCAAACAAAAGTTTCCCTTTCAACAGAAACATGGAAATTAAGACCCCTTTCTCTCTATGCCCTCTCTAACTAACACAGCATATTACAAATCAGTGCTACAGGGTAACTGCGGATTGAAGGAAAATCCATGATTCTAGTGCATGATAAGTTACATGAAAAATTACAGAATATGTCAGAAGACTGTATCCTAAACCTGACAGTTTAATTATTTATTTATCTATTTTCAACAAACAGGTTTAAAAACCTAGGTAAATATTTAAAAAAACATTTCTCTCTTAGTAGCTTATTTTTCAAGACATTTGTTGACCCCTGGTTATAAGGCAAACAACAAACAAGTTTTGTTTAAGGATAATACAAAGAGGCACTAAGACTAGTAACCAATTATAAATGTAATCAGGCAAACAAATAAAACAAGCAAGAAAACAACCAAATAAATAAGCAAACAGGCAAGCAAACAGGCAAGCAAGCAGGCAAGCAAGCAAGCAAGCAAGCAAGCAAGCAAGCAAGCAAGCAAGCAAGAAAGCAAGCAAAAAAGCAAGCAAGCAAGCAAGAAAGCAAGCAAGCAAGCAAGCAAGCAAGCAAGCAAGCAAGCAAGCAAGCAAGCAAGCAAGCAAGCAAACAAGCAAGCAAGCAAGCAAGCAAACAAACATATACCTTCAGATCAAGGTGAACCACATGGTGATCATGCAAATACATTGCTGCTTGGACAATTTGATAAATCAAAGAGCATATTTCCTTCTCTGTACGAACAGACTCCACTTCAAGGCAGTGCTTGTGCAAATCGCCACCAGCAGCACTGCAAAGAAATTTCAAAGTGTGATATAAATCAATATTTACAATCAAAAATAATGTTGACTGGTCTGTAATACAGTGATCAATGCTGCAAAGGCAGAGCTGTACCCACTTGTAAACAAAGTCTTTGAGACCCTGAGGTTTTTCAGCCAAGCCCTGCTATGCTGCTCCTTGTTTTAACATGGTAATTTACCATCAAAATGGAGAAATATGACCACATATTTTAGTCATCAAAATATCTTTCTTGAACAATCTAATCTGCATATCAGCATTTCACCTACCCTTTTTAGATCCTATAAGACTTCATTTGAAGGGAGCAAAGAATATCCTGGCCTTTCAGCAAGTTTATTCATTAAGATATATCTTATACATGTAATATGTTTTATATAATATATATATATACATATATATATATATATATATACTTATTATATATATATATATATATATATATATATTATAATATATATAGTATATATATAACATATAATATATATATCAGTTTCTTCTGTGGTATGTTGTCTTGTGTACTTCTTGCTGCTTTTTATTATGAGTTGAAGAAAACTTGGTGCTTCTGTTGTACATATATATATAATTTATTCTATTTAAATAAAAAAATGACCCAAGAACACCAATTTTAGGTGAAAGCACCAATATTTGATGGACTTTTTTCATGATATTATTAGCATGTTTGGCTATTTCTCCAACTCACATGACAGATTAACAGTTACATATACAATTTCATAATTTGGGATATTCAAATATTCAAAAATAAAGGTTCTCCTGTGTAGATTTTTATAGATTTTTATTTTTATAGAATTCATACTTAAGTGTGGATCATAAATATGAATATATAGTGACTTTAAAGGCAGACAATCATTGCTTTACACTCATGTCCAGTAATTTAGAAAAGAATGCAATATAAATTACTTTTAACTATGCAGACAGTCAACCAAGTTTTCTTCTTGGGTCACTTGCCTTAATCAAGCAAAATATACAATTTATAGAAAGAAAGGACTTTAACAATATCCAGATAAAGAATCTGAGTGAGTGACACCATAAGAGCAGGAGACCAGTTGCAGTGCATGTGCTTTTGCACTACTAACGTAGCTGCCAGATTAAAACATCATTTTAGGTTTCATTGCAAAACCCCTAAAGAGCATTCTTCATTTTGGAATTACAGAGCAATTGGCCTGAATTAGAATGTGATATTATTTAAGAGCAGCAAATGTTGAATAAATTAATAAATGACAAAAATAGTAACTATTATAATGAAAATGACAATAAAGTTTAGAGCATTAAACTCAAAGAGCACATACTCTTTAGCCATGGGAATTGGAGGTCCTGGCAGATTGTTTACAAATTATAAATATATATATATATTGAATATATATTTTAATGTATCAAAGAGAAAACTTAGAAAGTGGTGAGATTTAAATATAAGTTTCACCACTTTCTGCATTTTCTCTTTACATTTAAAAGGGAAAACTGGAGTTTAAAAGAACACAATCAAGACAACCATAGGCATAGGGGACATAGGGGCTTGGGGCTGCAGTCCCCAAATCAGGTTGAATTCTATCAAATTTGAGGTCCACTCAGGCAATTTTATCTAAAGGAAGCAGCAATATTCAAGGCAAGACCCATACTAGGCCCCCCCCCCCTTAACGTTTAGCCTCCGCTATACCTAACTGCCAAAGTCACAAATATTGTAAAGTCTAAAAAACTTACTACTCCAAAATAAGTATCATTTCACTTCTTGTTTCAAAAACATCATAGAGTTTCACCATTTTTGGGTGATCTGAAGTATGCAGTATGTCTATTTCTAATAACAACTGCTCTCTGCCTCTGCGACCAGCTCTTGCCTTTCGTATGCACTTTGCTGCAAACACTTCTCCAGTAGAGATTTTTAAACATCTTTTCACAACTGCAAACCTTCCTCTACAAAGTAGAATTTTTCAAATTAATTTTGAACATAACAATACTGGGTAACAAGTAACAATTTCTTTGTGCTCAAGGCTGAAAAGAAAATCTAACTGGTATGATTTTTAGGGTTAACAGATCTTGCCTTCAAACCTTTTTTGAACCTGTCTTAAATGAGTGAGTGCCAGCCAAGGGTTACTGATATACATCACACTTTTTGACAGGGAGAAGCAAATAAAAAGCCCCCACCCCCCTTGAATTAGATAATGGTCAATTTCAAATTTCCAAAATTTCAAAAAAGTCTGGGCAAAAGCTACTACACAAGAAGGTTCAGGTCTGTACTTTTGTACTCTTTCTTCTGTGTGACACTAATCATCATTCCTATTTGATCTTGTCATGATTGAGCTCAGGTATGAGTTTTAAGCTTCTAATGCTTAAAAGCCTTAGGTTCCCCTCAAAAATGAACCTTTTGTTTCCCCTTTTCACCACATGAATTCCCTGCTTTCCACACAACAAGGTCTCTTGTCCCTTCCTCAAAAAAATTTGTCATACATTCTAATATTGTTTATGTATTCCTTTTGATTTGCAAGTGGTTCCAACTTATCCATGCATCACCCCAAAATGGTTGCTCCATTGTTGACTGATGTATTCCACACCCTTTTTCATTATGAGCAATAAAGTTGGAGATTTTCAGAGTCTTTGTTGATGGAAATGAACAATCCAGTCCCTTAAAGCACCAAGCGTGTGTTTTAGCAGTAAAAGAGGGAGTGCTTTTTTATTTAGGATAACTGAAATTGTTAAAGTGTTGTTGATTTAGGATAAGATTTGAGATAACCAAAAGATTCAATAGAAAAGAAGTTGAAGTGCAATGGTGTCCAAATATTGTAGACAAAGTCTAAAGAACATCTCTACGTGAATATCTGGCTTTGTTAAAAAAGCTTTCATTTCATCATCTTTTTAGGATGAAAAAACGTCCTCAATTTTATTTCTAACAACGCCCATTATGCTTGGGACACACCCATTTTATCAAGTGTGGTTGAAACTTCCCAAATTTTCTCTGATGCGCAGTTGCCATTTTTTCCATACAGGGTCGTGGTATTCAAGTTGAAAGGTCAGTATCATTATCTCGGTATCATGTTCTACTCCCCCTGAAAGACAAGAGATCTACGCGACCTAATCTCGAAAACGCACAAAAGACGGAGGTTATATGATTTATAATGGACTGTTTGTTTCCTTGTTTGTTTAAAAGAATTTGGCTTAGGCCATATAATCCTTTCTTCTGTCTCAATGAATAATCACTACCCACTACCTAAAAATTCACAGCTAGGAATTAAAAAAAAGTTTATAAAACCTTTTCTCCTAGCAGAGATTTCTCAAGGGATAATGAGTATAAAAATACCAACGCCCGATCTCTGATTGGAAATTCCATCTGTGGTTCAGGGTCAAAACCTGCATCGCGAGAATTAAAAAATATCAAGCTGTCTTACTAAAAGAATCTGAGCTTTTATTTTGGTAAAGCTATTTAAATTGTTTTCGCACTCGTCAATCAAAATTTGGTCAATCAAATCGGCAAATGCACCCTCCCTATCTGTTGAAAGAAGTTTGATGTTATGGAAGCATTTTACAGCAGACCTCAGTTCGTTACAGTGATGGAAGGAAATCATGGAAAAAACATGCCAAAATCTTGACGAAATATTGGCAAAATCGAACTAGGTTGAGATTATGATGAAACTAGCTCTGGGTTGGACGAAGGCTTACAAAATTTTAAGCCAATGGCGTGGCTAAACCTACCTCCCTAACTCTTCTTTGACTTCGTAATAGTCTGTGAGTGGCTCTGTTCTGATCAGTGCCATTTCAAATGCTCAAACAGTCAACGATCCATGGTTAAATCTGATGGGCATTACCTTGAATGGGTGTTCTACTGTACAGATCGGCCTAAACGCTTTCGATAGTCATTTCCGACTTTCCTCTACGGAGCAGGACGAAATGGAGTCGATATGATTGATAATAAATCCTGCTGTGCCCTGTGTTTGAAGTGATCGAAATTCAATACAAAACAAAAGAGCCATGTCAAGTTGATTAACTTTATTTCTATCAGCACATAGTCATACTTCAACCATTTAAACAAAGAAGTCTGTCTTGATGCTCATTCTATGGTAATCACCTTTCATTTTTGTGGCTTCCTCGTCCGACTCCTCCTTTCTAAGGACAATGTACGCTAATGTTTGTCCAAAGCCATGAAGGAGACAAGGGCCTGGGCGTAACAATCCATTAAAGGCAATAAAAAGAAACACATCCATTCTTTCTAGTGTAAAACATTGACGTTTGAAACTTGCAACATTTTTATTACCTAAGGCACAAGCTCGTTTGTAAATCAAATGAAAAAGGGTAAATTTCATAGCCAAAAATTAACTCGCTAGATTTAGTCGGGGGAATCTACTGGGGTTGTTGGGACATCATCAACCCCCTATCCCCCCTACAAGCAAGAATGATGCAGTTATCGAGACATTTCGAAACTCTGTTCGGGCAATCATGGGCTCCGACAAAGGTTGAAATATGGAGGGGGGCAAGGGAAAACTTAACACCCATAGCAAAAGATTTTGAAAAAAAGCTCTATTGTTTTGCAAAAAAGTGGGGGGGGGAGCCAAGTCCCCCCGCCCCCCCTTCGTTGGAGGCCCTGGCAATACCTTTGGTCGACTTCTAACTTTCAAAATGGATAGTAGCTTTCTGTAAATAAAAGCATTGCAGTAGCTGCGAACAGGGGTGCAAATTAAATCATTTTCGGGGGCTCCACACTTTTCTATAAGAATACTTAATTTCTTGCTGAGCCTCGCTTATTTCAAAACATTACACACTTTTTTACAGGAATACCCGAGCCTCGATATTCTTAAATGTTTTTTATTTTGAGCCGAAAATTATTCCTAAATTATTCTTATAGACTATATTCTTATAAAAAGTGTGTATGTGTCAGGAAAAGTTAGAGCAAGTCGGATACGAAAAGGAACGACTCTTAAAAACGAATCTAAGCAGACAAGCAAAATGAAAATGTCTCAAGAATACATATGAGGAAATGACAAGACACCCCAGTGGATCACTTGAACTTTTTATATTAATCATGGTACATCTGATAATCATGGGTAAGAACTTTCCTTGGGTACTTGCAGTGCTGAGGAGAGGGGGGTCAGGGGATCACTGACCCGGGGGCCCTTGGCTATAGGGCCCATAATTAATGACTCAATTTAAAAAATTTCTAAGTAATAAGCCAGCCTCTCCATTACCACAAACTGTCATTATTAAAGACAATAATGACAAAAGTCTATGAATGAATTAAGGTAGAAGCAGTTTGAGTCTTTCATTACCTGAGTGTTGAAAATATTTTTGTTAATAATTTCTCATCTTTGTGAGCTTGGGCTAAAGAAGTTGAAAAGCTTCTGAATGTTGCCAAAAAATGTGATTGCAACAGGCAACCTACAGCAATATGCATGCTATGCAAATTTACACTATTGCATGCGCATCTATTTGCAACAGTGTGTCGGTTGTGATAAATTAGTTAACAAATTAATCATTTTCCATTTTATAAGACTTTAAAATTTCTAAGAAATTTTCATTTTTATGCATTATGGTGTTTAAATATCAGTTATGCTTAAATTTTATAAAATAGAAACAGAAGTAAAAGCCACCAGACAATGGCCTAGATAGAAAAATTCATAGGAGGGGTGAGAAACTTTAACAGGCATTAATACTATTTTCATAAATTTTAATATGACATAACGACATCGGAACAGAAATAAATAAATGTTTTGATATATTCAGATATTCATATGTTTATTCAACCTTAAATTCTTTCCTATCAAAACATAGCAATTGAAGAAACATAGAACAACCATCTTAAATTTCCGACAAGACCAGAGGATTTCCGAAAAAATAGCAGTTTAGCTCTACAGGGGGGTTTTTGCCCCCTCTGACTCCCTTCTATCTACGCCACTGCCACCAGAGCAGTTTAGTCACCACAGCAACTTTAGCAACCGAAATAGCCGCCAAGCCAATTTTAGCAACCAAAATAGCCACCATGGCAATTTAAGCAACCATCATTTTCAAAAATTCCTGGGGGAGCATTCCCCATGCCCCTAGAAACATATGCCTTAGACAAGTTTTCCCATTTATCTTTCGTCCTGACCCGGGGCCCATAAATCCTCTCCGCAGCTCTGGGTACTTGACTCAACAATATACCATTTTGCTACTGATAGGTTCCACCGACACAAAACAAAATCAAAAACACGAAGAAAAGGGTGAGTATTTTTCATCAGAAGCAAACCGAATGCATCTACGGGATCTGCATACGTTCATGCATCTCTCTTCTTACTCTGGGCATCAGACCAGTGCCACATAACTTCTAGCGAGGAGATAGAAGTGGAGAAGCGGAAGATCATAGGACGCATACGTCCCCCAAATACGTCCCCCACATACGTCCCCCACATACGTCCTCCACATACGTCCTCCACAGATAAACATTTTAAGATCTCACGCTGTGATAAAGTGAGGAATTCATTCTATTTGAAACTGAAACTGAAACGATGTTCAGGAGGCTGGGGGCAGCCCCACTTGTTAAATATTCAAAAAACGAATTTTTTAAAATTTTATCGGCAGTTTAAGCTTGTTTTATGGTATTATGTTTCATTTGCAAATATATTTTCACAATAAAAAACATAGAAGCAAGAATTTAAACTTCTCTCACAATTCTTTCCAAATCTACACGTCATGTTGATTTAGAATTATTTTAGAATTAAGGCTCAGAATAAAAGGGTGCTCGGGCTATTCACAAACTATTCAGTTTGAACGAATGATAAGTAAAAGCATCAAATAGCTCGTTTTGATTGGATCAAAATAGAGTTATGTATTCTTTAAAAGCTAGATGCTGAAACGCTTGACAAGGATTTTGAAGATTTATTTCTAGGAGAATGGACTTAGTTTGAAGCTTTTGAATACTGTTCTTCATTTTTTAAATATTTGCTTACCACAAAAAAGCCAACCACAAAATGATAGCTAATTTCAAACACATTTAAAAATGGTGCGTTTTCCCAAAATCTTTATGGTGTGGTATGAAAAAATTGTCCCCGGGGGGTACAACCCCAGATCCACTCATGTCGTTCTTTGCCCCTCTGATCATCCCATCCTGGGCATGCATCCTGGACACGCATCATGGGTACGCATCCTGGGTACGCATCCTGGGTACGCGATTAAACCATGATAGATGAAGTTTTTACACCTGAGTCGAATGAAATTCTAAAGTCTGGAGTAATACACAACAGCTTAAGTGATCATGCATTGGTTTCTTGCATTATACCAACCAAGATCCCAAAGCCAAAGGCAGTGTACAATTATGCACGCTCATTTTGTTACCTAAACTTGAACAAGTATAAGGAGAATATTTTAAAAGCTAATTGCAAAGAAATTTATAAGAAACAAATATCACTCAAGCTGTGACTTGCTGGAATAAGACATTCCTTGACATCTTAGACAAGCGTGTACCACTGAAAAATGTAAAGATTGAGAAAACATCCAAACCATGGTTTAACGATTCACTAAAACTATTGATGAATCACAGAGACCAACTGCAAAGCAAGGGGAAAACATCAGGCCTAGGCAATGACTGGGAAACATACAAAACCTGGAACCTAAAAGTGAAAAAAGCTGTAAAAGATACCAAAGATGCTTTTTTTCCAAACCTGATAAATGAAAACGTAAAATGATGATTTAATGAAATTTAATCAGAGTTGATTTCTCGAGGGGCTTTTGCATTGGCTGTTACTCCTGAGTTGATTATTGACTGTTATTCATATTTTTGGTCTCATGTGCCACGCTTTCTCGTGGTTCTCTTGCATTTGCGTTACTCGTTTATTGGTATTGCGAAGTAGTCTTGGCCTCCGGGGGATTTGTTTAGTAATGCTAGGGCAAGATTTATGGCTCATGGCGGTTTTCATTCCCTAGGTTATTCTTGGGGGTATTTAAGGTTTTTGGCGTAGTGTTGGTTTCTCTTTGCTTAGTGAAAGGCGACATATAGTGTGCTGTTTATTTTCCCGCCCCCCTCCCTTTTTCTTTTATCTTGATGCCTTCAATAAAATTTCTCGTACCTTTAGGCATTCCTTTATGCTGTTAGCATTTATTTGGATGCTATTAGGTAGGACTGGTGCATCGGCTGTTAGTGGGGAAAAGAGTCTTTTCTTGTCCATTCCCTCCCCTTTATCAATTAAATTTGGGGGTTACTATGGGAAATTCCAAAGTAACCTCTTCCTGTTTAAATCATGGCAAATCAATAAACAGTTATGGAAAACAATCTCCAGAATACTACCCAAGAAGAAACAAGCTAACCTTCCATCATACTCGAACAAAATAAATCTTGCAAATGAGTTTAACAATCATTTTGCATGCATCGGTACACAAACAAAACGCAAAGTCAACTTAGAAAAGCCAAGAAGAGCCTTATAATTTATTTTCAATGGATCCAAAGACGACATTGCTAATTACAGGCCTATCTCACTACTTTCATTGCTCTCCAAGATACAAGAGAAAGCCGTCTGTTATCAGATTATGAAGTACCTTCAGAGCAACAGTCTGATTAATAACTTTTCTGGGTATAAAGATTTCATTCCACCACAACTGCCTTAATTAAGATCACAGATGGCATTCTAAGGAATATGGAAAGAGGTCTTGTTACTTCACTTATACTCACAGACCTTAGTAAAGCTTTTGATACAGTTGACCACAACAAATTGCTTATCAAACTATCAAAGTACGGTTTTGATTACCATTCATTTTTCTGGTTCAAAATGAAAGATTAGGTTATCTATCATGTCGAGTTTAACATGTTAAGATGGATGGCACACCTTTTAGGGAATCACACTTACAATGTGGTGTCCCCCAAGGAGCTGTTCTAGGTCCAGTTCTTTTTATGATTTATCTCAATGACTTACCATTAGCACTTGCGGAAAAATACAAGGCCTTCAACATTTCCAACCCATCTCCATGGATATGCTGATGATACCCAGTTGTACAATGCTGAACCTGCAGATCTGATTTCGGCAGCACATAAGCAGATCCAGGATGATGTACAATGCCTGCCAAAAGTACTTGGAACACCCACCAATTTACGCTGCATTTGATATCTTTCATTCCTTTCATGAAAAAAATGCTACTTCCGCCCCTTTCCCCCTAAAACAATGTTGATGATTTAGAGAGATATCATAAAAGAAGCGCAAAAGAAAGTGCTTCCTAAAATCCTAACCCGTTTGATAGTAAACCAACATTGTTCCGTGGGGGAGAGGGGGATGATTGGTTTTGACCTTGGAAATTGATGTCAGTGTTCCAAGACTTTTGGCAGGCATTGTACATATTCTCATATAATGGCTTACTCACAACAAGTTAAAAGCCAATTCAGAGAAGTTTAAGTACATGCTGATCGGTACAACAGCCATGCTAAGGAAAATTCCTAAAGAGTTTTCCAAACTTGAAACAGATAGCGACATTTTGACCAGGGCAAAAGTAGTAAAAAACCTGGGACTTACTGTTCATCAGAAACTTAAATAGGATACACACATAAAAAGTATAACAAACAAATGTGATGGAAAGCTCATACAATTGACTAAGATTAAGAAATGCATGAATCTGGAAACAGTTAAAGTATCCTTTTCATCAACACTTGGCTATTGTGAAATAGTTTATGGAAATGCCAGCAAGAATGAGCTTCAACGAGTACAAAGATCTCAGAACTTTACTGTCAGAGTTGTCACAAAGAAGCGAAAGTATGATAGTATTTCATCAACTATCAGTGAACTGGGCTGGCTATGGATAAGAGGCAATTTGTACAGAGTAAATCAGATTCACAAATTCTTGCAAGGAAACGCTCCACAACATCTTACGGAAACTCTAATAATAAATAGCAACGTTCATGAATATTGTTCACGTCAGTCCAACGAGTTACACTTACCATCAGCTAAAACTAACAGCATGAAGAGAACATTTCAGTACATGGGATCTGCGGACTTTAATTCTCTGCCTACCTTAGCTCAACGTACAACTAATATAAATAGATTTTTAGCCCAAGTTAATTCCTTACTTTGACACTTTTTCAAACTAACTATTTTCTTTACCTCCAAAAGTTATAAGGTTTCATGTAATAAGGTATTATGTAACAATCTTATCATTTGTATTTAAAAAAATATTTTCAATGCGTTATTTTAAATTGTAGATTTAGATACCATTATGAAAAACCATGTAAATTGATAGTGTCTTATTATCATATTATCATATAACTGCATCTTTTCCTTTTCCCGGCACAGGTATACCCATTGAAGATACTTTTTCAGGGCAGGTTAGATTTTCAATGAAAATGAAATTTTATTGCAAAATCTACAAAATGTATAATCATTGAAATTACTTTTAGGCGAACCATCTGTTTTTTAATTGGATTCTGATTTGAAAGAACAAGTATCCTTTTTGAGAATTTTACTTATACTTTCATGTTTTCATAGTTTTATCCCAGAACTGGGTCGAAAGTGTTTTAGCAGGCATTTCCACGATCTCAAATCAATTTAAATGCTTTTAGTACACAATAAAAGGGTTATTATGTATAAATAATCATCACCAAATCAAATCGAAATGAAGCCTTCAGTCCGTCTGGGCATTCCAAAATTGTCATTTTTCTTAAAACGCAGCCGATGTTTCACGTGTTTTGTTTTTTGGTAATGGCTCTCATGCTTTCGTACCCATGTACCTAACCCTCGTGTTCTGTGGCACTTCTATCAACTCCAAGGTATCCGTTGACCAAAGCATTTTTGGCCTCGAGCTCTGCATGAAGGAATTCGCTGGGTAGCATTACTATAAGTATGTTTACTGGTATGTTTTTCGTACAAAAAGTATAGTACCATCAATGCTGTTTACTGTGACAAAATTCAGTTTTCTAAATTTGGAAGTTATGCATAGACAGGCGATAATTATACCATTCCAACTTTTCTCTCTCATACTTCAATAGTAACCCTCGTTTTACGATATTCCCTCGGTTTTAAAATTTGCAATTTTTAGTAACTCATGGCTATTTCTTAATAGAAATCAAGAGTTTCTACAAAACATGTGTCGAGTACCTTTGACGAGTCGGTTTTGCATCAATGTCTGATTTTCATGAGAGTTCTGATGGCATTACGTCCCGACGCATTTTGCTGGCCATTCAATTTACCTATTGGTTGAACTACACAATAGACCTATTTTTACGTATCCAATCGGCGAATTCTTAAGTTTTATCAGTAATAAAACATTGCCATGTCTATTTTTTACTCTGAACGGTTGACTCAAGGGGCATAAATTAAGTACCAAGAAATCCGGTGCCAAAAACTTCAATAGATTAATTTTCGGTGGAAAAAATGTTTATATTTTTAAAATTCCGGTGTAAACTTCGATGAGAATTTGAAAAATTTGGATGAAAGAAAACATTTCGGCGAGTGAGTACAGAAATGAAACACTTTTTGTAAGTTATTTTTATCTTTAACATAAATTATCTGGAACAAAATCATGAAAGTTATAAAAATTGAATATCACCCCAAAAATGTCTTTTTTATTACATTTTTCATAACCTATGAGGAAAATTGATTGGAAAAGTTTACAGTTAGCAATATTTTTTTTTTCAGAAATTATCTGGAACGTTAAATAGAAATCTTCGGCACTCAATGTAGTGCCTTTAAATTGAATTATCACTTAATCGGACATGCCTGTAAGTTTGGAAAGATACGGGACCACGGAGTTCTAATTGATTTTTAAATCTAAAAATTCAACCTTAATCCCGAAATTGAATGCCCAGAGTATTGCTTTCCAAGCGGTGCGTGCAGGCAAATAAGATTATTATTATTATTTTATTATTCTCGAATATTTATACAGGATAATACTTCAGTGGTGATATGCATATATACATATTTACACTGTTTTCCTAGTAGTCCTGGTAAAATAAACAAACAAACAAAGATAAGATTAAAAAATCATTTACAATCAGCATTTATAAAATACAATTTGAAAGCGGAAAACAACTCGGACAAAGGGGAGGAAGTAGAATTGTATAAAAGAGAATAAGAAAACACATTGATGTTCTTTTTCATACTAAGTAATCACAAATTAACTTTTGAAAAAATGAAACAGGAATTAAACTTGACATGTCAGTACAATTGAGCGTCTTTCCTGCAGTGGGGAAGCTTTGCCATTCTGAAGATGACGAGGAATCTCAGCTGCAAGGCAATGTGGATCGTACTTTTGCGAGCTGCAATGTTTTTTCGTCTCTTCCACCAACTGTCCAGTGCTTTTTATTTAACCAGAATAACAGAATAACATAATCTTGCTATTATTTTAAAATTACTGTCTGCTGATTGGTTCTAATCAAATCGACGACCTATAGAAGCTCTACACGTAAACAAAGCTAGGGGTCTAAGACTTAAAGTTCTAGATAAGATACCTGCTTTGTCGATGGCTCTCAATATTTCCAAGACGGATCTTTGACAGGAAATCTGAAGATGAAATTATAAGTTATAAAAAATAACTGAACTTACATTACTTTAGAAACTAGCCATGGATCGTCGATATTAAGGAAGGGGGACTTCGGAGCATGCTGTCTACTAAATAAATAGTTCACTTGGTTCACTTAAAACGTATCAACTTCTATAGCAATGCTGTGACACAGCTTCGGCAATGGAAAATCAATGAGACCTTTGAAACGTGAAGACACAAGGGTAAAAAAGAATCGATGAAAAAAGATGGGGATGGGTATTTGCGAGTGAGAATACTGGGCAAGGTATCAAGGGTCGAGAGCGTTTACACCTTTTCATGGAAGTACTGGAGGATCATCAAGCCTTAATACTGTATATGTCTCAATCGCGTTCAAAATTCCCAATTGTTAATGGCCAACAGTAGTGTGTTTTTGGTCTTCACAACAGCTGGTATAGCAGTTGTTAAGGCACTGCGTCCTTATAGCAATGGGAAGACCGTCTAGCGACTATCACTAACATATTATATTAGAAAAATACCATCAAGACTACTGGATTCTCCTTTCAACGTTTCCTATGCTCCTCAGAGCTATTTCAATGTTACCTCGATGCAAACTTACGCAATGAAGATTCTCCTACTGCTACTTACGTAAACGGAATACTGCAAACTAACTACACAAGAGAGTGAATTATTTAAATGAAACCGAGATGTTTTAGAGCATGGTCCGGAGTGCAGAGGTTGCCATGAAATGATAGTTACCAATTTAAGCACATAAAATCATTTTTATCAAGTCAGGAAAACCACTTTACTAAATTTTGAACAGGAAATAAGGGCTATGGGTAGGGGAGGTGAGGGGAAACGAAAACTAATTCACGATCCCTGGCTAGTTCTGATGAGAATATTAAAAGCTGTAATAACTAAAGAAACTCCGTAATTAAATGTGTAACGCAAAATTACATTTGTAGTACGTAGTTTAACAATACACAAGCAAAATGCGTAACTTAAATGTTACTGAAAAAATATCAGAAGGGTAAAGGGTATTCAAAACATAGAAACATTTCATTGCATGTTGAACAAAACTAAACTGAGCTTATTAATATGGAAAAATTAATTATAAATTACAGATAACCTAGTACAACGGAATGCAACTGTTTAGTCAAGGAGAACAAACAGTATTGGACTGCTCAAGACTATTTGATTTTTAAATACTGCTCGCAAAAAGAGGTGTAAAAAATGTTAGGCAAAGAAAGGGCCATAGAGAGATTTTTAAAGGTACTGGGCTTGCTATCTTATACGACGACCACATAACCATAAAAAAGAGAACCCTCTCTGCATTTCATTACCTTCTACGTTGCCATGGCAAAGAAACATGGCTCGTAATGATTGATGATTACGCATAATTTTGAGGCAGGAAAGAACTACATGGAAAAAAAACAAACGCATACGGAAAAAATCAAGTGAAAAGTCTGGTGTATCAAGTTTAGCATACATTTAAAGGAAGAAATTAAAGAAAGCATTGCTATCAATCGTAGTCAAAATAGTTTGAGACGAACAAGGCATTGGGTCTCTGCCTGGAGCAATATCATGCTTGAAGATGTAGAATGTCTGTTTCACACAAACCTCCGGAAAAGTTTCATAGGCATTATTGAATATCTTAACAAATTGGATTTTGCGATACAAATGTTAATTTAAGTGGACATATAGCAAGAGCTGAGAGTAAACATGTTTACACGTTTTAATAGGTTCCTAAACCTTTATAATTAAAAAAACGCCTTAGGAAACTAAAATATCACCAGAATGGAACGAGTACAGTTCGAATGGCACAAATTTACTACCTTTCAAATTACATTAATTTTTAGATTTAAAAAGTGTCAGCCGTTGAAAAAAATACCAATTTTTCAAAACATAATCGAAAATATTCAAGTTTAAATACACATGTATTTTGAACTCGATAATCCATTTGCTAGAGCTGAAATTCAATTAATGATCTAAACATGAGTGGAAAGCGTCACCGTTTTAGGTGGCTCAGCATGATTATGAATGGTAACAGGATTTGAGGATATTAAAACAAAATATTACATCAGTATAAAGTGTGAACTCTTCCCTGCAATCAAACGTAGGCTAAAACTGAAAATGCCTTGTGACGCAAAATTAGTATTATCAGCTAATATTATCTAAACTTAGCATTAAGTATTCTAGCGAAATGGCTAAAAGGAAAAGAAGGCTAAAATGAAATTGATTTACTGGATCATCAGTCAAAGGTATAAAACCACACAGATTCACCCTTCACTTTTGCGTTTCTATCTCCTCAGGAAAAACCCATCAAATCGAACAAATTTCCTACAATTTAAGAAGCCTTACACAGTCTAGAAATACTGGCAGCATCGACCTCTCAACCCTAACCCGAGCAAGCACATGTCGGTCGGACCTACTATCTGTGTTGCAGTTGATGTCTTTCTGCTACTATGCACGAAAAGCAATTATTTTTATCTTATCTATTCAACTTGAAAACGTATCATTTTGATTGTACATTACAAATTACTATACATGGTTTAAAAAGCTAGGCTAATTAGGCTAGGCTAGGTTTAATAAGTAAAAAGAGTGATCATTTTATGTCATAGACAGGTCTAAACGATAAAAATAAGCTTAAAATAATCATGTTATACTAGATACAGATCAGTTACAAAAAGACACACGGCTGCACTTATCAGAAGATTTCCAAAATATTTTGTTTAGGTAGGGCAGAGCATGTATGGGATAAATATCCTCAAAAATGCTTTGCTGAATACAACCGTATAAACGTAATATGTTTGGTCCAAATTCAAACAAACATGAAACTGAATAATGGATATGTGAAAACCATCATTTGTGTAAGTATGCTAACTACATCGAATCCTAATTCAAACGGAGTTTAACCGGATAACGGCCTTAGAATAGAAACGGTAAACAATGGGCAATCTAAAAACTTAAAAAACAAGAATTTTTTTTGAAGCATCCATAAAAAAGGTATCCGAATCGCTGAGTAGCGCAGAGCCATTAATATCGCAAAGTTTATTCATAGGGCCGTAGCGTTTGACAGAATATGAAAAATGTATTTCCACAGTCACCTACCGTTTAAAAATATCAAACGAATAGACTGAATGTTTATTATTTTAGAGGCCAAAATTAGGGAGTTTTCTCGGTTGTTTAAACACTTATGGATGACTGAACAAAGCAAACTATCCAGGAATATTGGCTAGCTAAATTAGGCAGTTACAGTCCATTAATTTAGCACTAATAATACTCACTGGCTTTCATAATAATCCTGACTATGCAGGTGGCAAAGCATACTCATTTATCTACAGTTTTTAGGTTAACATTTCATAAATTATATTGGCAAATGTTTATTATCACACGAAAAGCAATAGAGATCAGTCAACTGTACAGTAAGACGAACAACATAAACAATGCATATAAAACACACAAAGGACTAAATTGCAAAGCACCTATCGCCCCTTTCAGTTACCTTGATACAAATTGCAAAAATTCGCAGCTCTATGTCTCCATTTAGATATGGAAAGGAAGGACAGAGCCACTCACATATTTCAACGAAAAACTAAGATTTAACTTCCTATTGCTTAAGATTTATAGAATTTTTCTAAAAAAGGCATAACTTACAATAGAATAAATTGCCTGGAAATATTCATACTTTGAGTTGAGATGATGCTGATAATGTTATCTGTACGATCATTGTGATATTTAGAACTGCAGAGATTTAAAGGCCACACCAGGGATTACGAACGCTTGGAGATGATTCACCCCATTATTAAAGAATCTAAAAATTCTCCTTTAAATTATTTGCAATTCACGATTACGTTTCCCACTTTTGATGTAAAACTATTTGTTTAAATGAAAAAGCAGAAGGCAACATAAGTCAAGTTTACTTAAAAATAAACAAGAACGTCGGTGTGTGTGTATAGACCCCTACAATCGCCAAAGGATTATAATAGTGTAAGGTTACTAACGTATCTTAAAAAGCAATATTTTATCTAGCAATTCACATGAACTCAAAAAGCTCTTATCACCATTGAGACAAGAAGCTTTTACAAACTAAAATGGCAACTCATTTGACGATCTTTAACAACTTTCTGATCTTTAACAAATTATATGAAAACAACATAAGAAACACCACCAATTTTTTGGTAATTGTACACTGAATATAACTGGGCTATTCATAAACTGTGAATAATGCATTGTCGAACAAATAATAGCTGAATTAGGTGCAGGAGTTCAATGTATTTTTCGGACATTACATGCTTGCTGGGACCATATTCCAAATCTGATGCATAAATGTTTTTCCATCAAAACAGATTAAACTAATGATGTATTTTAATATTACATCAGTGGTGTACATCTTAAATTCGCGAAAGTACAGTCATTTGTAGAACAAACTTTAAAAGGAATCGCAACAGCTACCAAGACGATAAAGCGAATCAGGGTTACTGGACCAGATCTAATAAGTATTGATTGCAGATAATTTATCCAAGAAAAAGAGAAAGCCATACTCTACGAATCTGCAAATGTTTCGTTAGTCAACACAAGTAGCAAAAAGAGGGGCTTTACCAGTTACAAAAAATCACCAAAAGGACCCTCCGATTCTTAATTACTAAAATGTTATCATTTTGTCAATTGGCTTAAAAGACTTCAAACAAAACCTATGACGATATATAAACAACAAGATGAATTGGTTTTCTGTAACATATTTAAAGACATAAAGTGTTAACTCTTTATCTAACAAATACTTCCAATAGATCGTTGTCTATGGACAATCTAGGAGAAACTCGCAAGAACTTTGCCACTAAATGATGAGCACATTCATCTGTACATTAACTTTATGCACTAGCTCTGTCTTTAATAAACTATATTTTCATGTAAACTAGGTCAAGTAATTTATAGATAACTTAGCTACTGGAGGAACTTAAGACTATTATTAAAACCTTAACTTAACCGTAGTGACTTTATAAATTGGAACCCTAAAAGGGGAATTTTTATCGTGAAACAAATTTTTCTTTCTCGATAAGCTTTAAGCAATGCTATTCGTCTATCACGGAAAATTATTTTGGATGCAAACAAACACCATTCGAAAATATCTATTTATGCAAAGATCCTTTTCTATTGTCGAAGGATATCTAGAGGGGTGGTGTGCGTCCATGCCATTCTAAAAAGTGGTACCCTTTGCCTTTGAAAAACAAAACAAAACTTAACTGTTTTTAACCCCTTTAAGGGTGATGTATATCCCTATAAATATTTTCCCAGGACTTGAAAATGGAACCCAGGACGCTTGAAGCTTAAGTTAAGGGACTCAAGAGTCGTGTCGAGATCTCGCCCTTTATCGCAAGATTAAGTCACCAATTTTGAATAGTGCTTTTGGATTTTAATTTGGAATCATCAATCGACAAACATAACCTCTGATATTTGCGCGTTTTAACCTCGAATACGGGCACCAACGAATCCTCTGCTAAAGCAAGATTCAATCATTGGATTCAAAATAATTCATTATGGCCAATCAGCGGAAAGTAACCTTAAAAAGAAACAACTGCCAGCGGCTCAATTGTGAAAAGCAGAAAATGAAAGATAAGCTGACAAGTTTAAAATAAAAAGTTTTTGTAGTGAAAATCAAACATTGCAATCATAATCTTTCCATCTCTAGGCGTTGCAACACAAGCAAAGGCGATAAGAAAAATGAACAATCAGTACGCCCTACAGGCAAAGTGTAAGCATGAAACAAGCCGACAGGCGTTTGAGTAGATGTCAATACACTTAAATCGCTTACCTTAGAACGAAAGGCTGCATCTATCAAACAGCTCAATGGCAATTTGAAACTACCAGACCATACCATATCCTATCAATCCTAAACATAAACTGTTCTGGAGCTCTCTAAACCATGCAATTCGCAATGCAAAATATCAAACCATCAAAAGCTTTTGACGTACCTTTAGCAGCTCTTCATCACACGAACTCTACAGTTATTTCATTTTCATCCACAACGGTTCTACAACAAAATTGCAACATAATTTAATCTAATTATACAACAAAACATAGTGCAAAAATGTTTTTTATGCGCGCGCATGCTGACGTGATTTACCTGCCCGCGAAAATTGTGTCGTTCTGTCCCGGATGCGATTGATATAAAAATATATGAGAAAACAAACTTTGAATTTTAACCTTACCTCTGCTTTATTTTTATGGAGTCAAATAGATAAATTATCTACTTAAGATACATTTATATCATTAAATTATGGCTTTAAAACCTTATTAATCTCTTCGTGGCCTATGCTTTACTGCCAAACTAAAGTATCCTATGCCTAGGCCTACTATTAGGCAAGAAGGGAAATATGAACAATTTAAAAAGTAAATTTTCAAGCGTTACCCAATTTTCCGCCTCTGAAGGAGACAATATACAAAAAAATTGAACTTTTGACTACAAGTATACAAAAATTCAGGATGCGGCATGGTGGAAATTTTTCACGATCGTTAATTCAAATATCGAACAAAACGTCCCATGTTGACCTTTCAAAATTTCGCTTTTGTTTGGTTTCCTACTCTTATAGAAAAATACCGAAGCGATTTCAAAATCGCGTTAAAAACAGCTACTTACATTCGTGACCAATCTATTTTAATGAAAAACTTCCATGAATATACCGCATATCCCAAAAAGTATGGCGGTTTTAAATCATCATTCAATCGCACCCATAAATTGACAATCCTAAAGTTAGGTATCTTTGCGGTGAAATTATGAACGTGACCCAATTTTCCAAATATGCCAACCAATATAATCTTATTTTTCGGGGCATGAAGATGAATCAATAAAAAAATCAGCGTGCGGCATGGTGCCGTTTTTGAGATAAAATAAATTTGAATTTTGAACTTTTTCTCCGTGGAACTGACAATATTTTAGGCATACTCACATGGTAAAATTTTGTATATAAAATGAGCCGATCAGGCTTTAAGTTCACTCCGCCATGCTCAGGTCTTTTGTGGTTGTGGTGACACAAAACCCTATAACATTGCACCTCCCAGGAGGCCTGGATCGGAATCAAAGTGTCACATGGTCGGTTGGCGGGAAAAATTTTGCGCGTCGCCATTTGGCCGCAGCTTGCAGGCGCAAAAGCTCTTTGCACAGCGGCTGCAAACATTTTTGCTCTATGTTATACAACAATACAACTAGAAAGGTGATACACAAATCCTAATGTTGTATCAATTGATATCGCGAATTTGTTGCCAAAATCAAATGGCAATGGTCCAACTTCTCTGGTGGGTTAATATCATGAAGAGAATCTGGGGATCGTTCATAACAGAAACAAAAAAAATAATTGATAAGAAGAAACACCGCAAAACGAGGGGAAGCAGTTTAATATAAGGGAAATAAATGAATAAAAATAGCAAAATGTAAGTTAACTCATGTTTCACCCCCCGTATACGGGGGGCTTCTTCAGAGCAAATGCAACGAACTTGCAAACAATTTAAAATGTTGGGTGAAGGTGGCGGATTGGTGGATACGGAGAGGTTTAAATGCAGCGCACCAACGAAGAGGTAGATTATGGAAGGAGATTAGGGAGGGGTGGTCTGTAATGTGGAGGAGTGTTGGTGTAGGTGCTGGAGTGTTTTGAATGTCACAAAACAGAGGGTGCAAAGTACGAATGGAAATGATGTTGTTGGTGTAGATGAGGGGGTCCAGATAGAGTTAGCTAATATGAATTATATAAAAATAACGATAATAAAAATAAAAATGGCCGAGAAATGATCAGGTTAATAATAATAATAATAATAATAATGATAGCGGTAAGGGTGATAATGATGACAATGAAAATAACAGTGATTATGATGATGCATAAAATAATTGAATGCCATTGCTGATGGCCTGCCGACTGAGTCGAGCTAGGCACAACAATTTCACTTGCATTTGTTTGTTCTTCAGCTATTGAAGTTGCATTCAACTGTCACTTAAATCATGAGAATATCTTCAAATCGTTCTAGCGAGGTTTTTAAGCGTGAGACCACTATACTGCTAGACACTCAAGTTTTTAGTTCTCCACAACATGCTTATATTACAAAAAGAAAAAAGTTGATTGGTGATACCTGTTGAAGCGTTTCTTACAGGCCATCGCATGCTCGGGTTTGAAATAAGTGACCAGTGCTTTATGCCGTGATCTTGAAATCTTCAAAAGCTAGATTAACAGAATTAAAGAGCATGTCAGGTTTGAGAGCAATAAAAGTTGCAGGACAGATTTTCATATCTTACAACAAGTTGACCAGGAGTCAAAACAACAAAAGGTTTGACCCCTGACTGATGAAGCAATCAAAGCAATGAAGACAAGATTTAAAGGAATTTCTACCTCAATCTTCCCAATTTCCGCCATAAGTGTTTTAAGCTTTCTCTCAGTTGTTGAAGATGATACGTTGGATATCATAACTCTGTTCTTTTCAGCTCTTGGCGTGGTAGCTGCATTGGCTTGGCGTTCACTGCTTTTCCTTGAATCACGTCGAGGCCGCCTTTGAGCTGAATCGGGGCTCGTTGTTCTTTGCTGAAGATTGAAAGAATTTTGATTAACATATTTGCAATACCATTTGTCACATATAATACATTTGCCTCCTCAACGGAGTATTATGGACCAAAATGACAGGATTCGAATAGAAATTGAATAAACCCCAACACAAATGATGGCAAACTTTTGAATAGACCCAAACAAAAAAGAGGAAAAACATTTGAATAAACTCAAATAAAAAAGTTAGAAAGGTTACATTATCTGCTGCACAATTATTAAGTGAAGAAAAAATCCAAGAATTAACATGTGACTGATAGTGATTAATGAGAAAACTAGTCGGGGAAAATGTGCACGTAATAAGAACAGGCATTTAGACAAACTGAGTGTGCTCCAGAAAACTCAAACGCTGCTTTTTGGATCTTCAATGAAACAGAATGCTCACTGTACATGTGACATTGATGAATACAAGTGATGTTGCTATTCTCTGATTCAACAAGTGTAGAAATGAGCTTGCTAAGAAACTAACCCTTGACGTGCTTGCTCTTGTTTCCTCTTCAAGCTCACCTTGCTCTCGGTCACGCTCATTACGACGCCTTTTTGTGGGTCGATCTTTCTCTATATCTTTTTCCATCCTTCTGTCATACTCTCTTTTTTCTTTCATGCCTCTGTTTTCTCTTGATGCTCTTTGATCACGTACATAGTCTCGCTGGTCTCTCTGCTCCCGTTGGTCTCTAGGCTCGCGCTGGTCTCTAGGCTCGCGCTGGTCTCTAGGCTCACGCTGGTCTCTAGGCTCGCGCTGGTCTCTCTGCTCCCGCTGGTCTCTTGGCTCCCGTTGCTCCCGCTGTTCTCTAGGTTCTCTCTGATCCCTTGCCTCTTTTTGTTCTCTCGGTTCCCTCTGATCACGAAACTCTCTTTGCTCTCTTGGTTCCCTTTGATCTCTTGGTTCTCTCTGATCTCTTGGTTCTCTCTGTTCTCTAAAGGCTCTCGGTTCTTTTAACTCTCTTGATTCGCGACGGTCCCTTGAAGACCCTTGGTGCTGCAGTCTTTGCCGATTATCTTCCCTTGGTGTTCTATCTTCACGAGGTCGACCCCGTGATCTTTCACGATCCCTGTCTCTACTTGCAGCCCGTTCTCTTTCTTTGTAGCCAGCTCTTTCTCTTGGACGCTCACGTGTTCTCTCTACTGAAGATCTGCTCATTTGAGGTCTATTCTCTCGATACCTTTCCCCTACTGGTTGGGGACGAACTTTCCCTCTTTGATCCCCGTCTCTATTTCCTCCAGGGGAAAACGACCTGGACCTAGATCTTGAACCAGAACGGGAAGCCCATGAACGAGAGGGTGACCTTGAAGCTGATCGGGATAAAGATCGGGAGACTGATCGAGACAACGACCGTGACTGTGACCGGGAGCGGGTCCAGGATCTTGAACGAGACCTTGAAACAGATCTTGACCTGCTACTGTATGGACTACCACTATCATCACTATACCGACGTCGTTTCTCTTTATGGAGGGCAGATGTGGTCTACAAGGTAGGTATCAACATTCTTAAAGGCAAACATTGGACAGCGAAGAGAAGAAACAACTACGATTTAATTTGATTTAAAACTTGAAGAATTAGCAAAATTGACCGTTTCTCCATCATCATTATCACTGTTTCTAAACTCCATGGCATACAAGTGTAGGTTGGTGTCAAATATGAGTTAAGTTGAAGTAATTCTAAATTATACTGAAAATTTACTCAGGATATAACTTCAATTTAGGCTTTGACCCCCCCCCCCTGAAATAGCAATAGAAAAAGTGAAACAGGAACAAAAACCCACGCACAATCTTTTACTTGAGATAAATTTAATGTTGGAAATATCGAAGAATAGATTTGATTTGAGTCTTTCTTGCAACTTTGGATGATGCTTTTGATTAGAAGTGTCGCTTTTTTCCTCTCCTGAGAAGACGCAGTATTCCATGTCACTTATTTCAGTTTTATCATATGAAACTGGAAAAAGTCTAAATTCTTCTGTAGATAGTTCCTCAAAACGATATTATTTTCTTCTCTAATATTTAGCAACTGTTTTTGAAGAGTAAGACAGGAAGAAAAATAGTCCCCGCTAAGGGCAAACTGGTTGACTAGGAAGGACACATTCCACTCCCCCAAAAGTTTGAAATAAAAAATGTTGCCCAGCTCATTAGCAATACGAGTTAAAGTGAGATAACATTCAAAGATACTTCTTCGTGAGCGTCCTCACTAAGGGATAACTTCTTACCCATCTCAGATCATAGAAATAACTGAAATCAATTAGTCTTAACTCTGGGCATGCTAAAAATAACAGCCAACCAGCATCGATTTTGAGATCTTGATTACTTGCTGAACTTTGTGCTGTTACTTTTTCAAACGACAGAGCAATTATTTGTGGGATATTAGGCGCCGTCTCACGATTCGATGAACACCGCAATACAATGGAGTAGGATTGTATAGCAACTCACAATTGCACGTTAGCAGTGTTTTTTGGAAGTTTCAACAACTGAGCTACTTTTAAAAAACTTGGCCTCGTAACCACCGTCATGTGTATTTAATAAAGATAGAAAAATTCCTACCGCTTTCTGCACAAGCATTTGTCTCGAGGGATCTTGCTGATGTTGCTGTTGTTGTTGCTGCTGCTGCCTCATTAGCTGTGCTTCGTACAATTTCCTTTGTTGTTGCTGTTGCTGTTGCTGTTGGGCTGCAGCAGCAGCAATCAAATCAGTTCCCTGCCCTGGGAAACCTGGCCTTATTTGCATATTGTTGGCAACTACATTTCCAGCATAAAGCATTCTTTGTTGTCCTTGAGGGACAGACTGAATTCCAGCCCCAGGACGCACAGTTGCTGCTTGAGCCATGGAGCCTAACTGAGAAGCTTGTAAGGCGGCCTGATCTGAGCCCTGCATGCCGGCTGCAGCTAATAACTGACCCGGTTGCTGCATAATTACTTGCCCATTTGGGCCGCGAACCATTTGTAACTGGGTGCCTGCCAGTGGCGCTGCCTGACGTTGAACCATTGCCTGGTTTGGCAACTGTGATTGCACCATTGCAGCCTGCGTCTGGTTGGGAAGGCCTTGCTGAAGCTGCAATGCCTGGACAGCTTGCTGTTGTCGTTGCTGTTGTTGCAGCTGCTGCAGTCGCAGCATCTGAAGTTGCTGTTGTTGCTGAGCTTGTTGCTGTTGAGCATGTTGCTGCTGAGCTTGTTGCTGCTGCAGGGCCTGTTGTGCGCGAATGATTTGCTGTTGTTGAAGTTGCTGTTGCTGCAATTGCTGCTGTTGAAGTTGTTGTTGCTGCATTTGATGGGGTGATATCTGAGCCTATGAAAAGAGTCAATATCACGTATGCAGTGTAGGCTTTGCTTAACATTAATTTATACGATCTTAACTTAACACTGATTTGTGGCACTTTAAAGTAATCAGTGAAATTTTTTCAATCTAACTACAATTAACAGTTGCAAATGGGTTGGTTAGAAGAAACTTACTCTGGCGTTGGCACCAATCATTTGAGCACCAGGCGCTACAGCAGATTGATGTACAATACCAGGCTGTCGTACCATTGTCATTGCTGACGGGTTTTGATGTAATCCAGAATTTGAAACCATCGATACTCCAGGGCGCTGAGCGAGACCTAGTTGTTCTGGAGTCATAGGAGCGACTTGGGGTGGAAGCCCTGGTCGGAGAGGCGTGCCAGCCATTTGCATTTGAGTAGGCCCTATACCTGTGGGGCCAGGAGGGTGTTGTCGCAGTATCTGGCCTGCAACGAAACAACAATATAAATCTATAGTAGCTTTGTTATATTCGTTTTATTAGGGAGGCCATTTAGAATTTCTTTGGAGACTTGAAGGTATTCTGAATAAAAATTATATTTTTGCCATTATGTCTGGTTACTTCTACGGACCTTATCCAATTAATGTTGAATAACTTTATTTAATGCATTGTTCATAACTTAAATCAGGCTAAATCCCTTATCCAATCAAGTAAGTATGCATTAAAAACCCTGAGACACGTGACAAATTTGCATCTTAGCATTCTGCGGACCAACACTATTCCTTATATGCTCGATCATATACACTGCCTAGAGTATCATTCATATCCTGTGGGCCTGTTTAGATACGATGCAAAAAAGTAAACAAAAAATTGAATAACAGAAATCTACAATCCCCTTTATGACGTTGTTTGTGCATCAAGACAAATCAGGATTTTTAGACAATGTACATTTCATTTTAAGAAAACCTTGGCAGGGCAATAATAGAGCGAGTGAACGAGTGGAATACATGGTGGCGTGCGAAAATCTAAATTCTCCCGTGCATTATGGATGTGCCCTTCCAGATATCGAAAGTCATTCGGCTCTCCCCTGAATCGATTGAGAAATCTCAGAATCGAATCTAGGAAAGGATCACTCACACTGAAAAAGTTATTCAAGACACGTTCCAGCTTTAGCTTTGATACCGTTCGAACTGATGACAGGTATTTTTACACAATGAGGCTTCTGAAACAACCCATCTCGTCATAAGACTCATCATTTAAGACAAGAATAATAACGACAATGCAAAGTGTTGGCAAGAGACTGCCAATTTGTTAATGCAGTATTTGTAAGACTTTACAGGAGCAATAAATTCTGAGATGTGATAATTTACAACCAAATTGCAGAAAGAAGATGGCACTAAAGAAAATTGTTCTAGAAGTTCATAATCTGATGCTCCAGAGCCTTATTATTCTATTCTTTCCACAAATTTACAAACTATTGATACTTTTTAATACTATTAATACGTTTTTCTCCTAGTAAATGTTGCATCGAAAGAAAGATCATGTTCGAAACTGATAAAGACATATCTAAGATCTTCGATGTCACAGAAGAGATTGATGATATAGCAATGTTGTCAATTAAGATGAGGAAGCATGTAAAATTGATAAAACAAAGCTTATATTGGACTGAACAAGAGAACAGACTAGCATACTGTGACATTACTCTATGTTTCAGATTCTGCTTATAAACTACCGTCTTTGTTTACATAGACAGCCATCATCTTTATAGGGAGAACCCTTTACTGCCCATGCACCTCTTGCACTAACCTTATCGGCAGAAACTTTAAACATAGTTTTTAAGCCGAAGAACCTGCAATGGATGACATTTTTCTTCCGTACAGGACGGTGCCTTCAGAACCTTCTAAACGACAATACTATCAGCATACTATCATATTTCGTTAAGTCTTTTCTTCAGACATCATATGATTCAATACTCAAGGCAAGAACCTCATCTTACTAAATTATTTGGAACTGAATTAGCAAAAGATGCTTTTCGAATCATATCAAAACGGGTTTACATTTTTTCTTAATGACATACATAAAACTAACATGAAAAATCTTCAATATCAAATATTTGATACTTACCAGGAAGTGCTTGCATGCCGGGGGGAGGGATTCCTTGCGGTATCCCACCCATAGGTAACGGTGGCCTTTGCAGGTCCATTCTAGGAGGTTGTGTCATCATCTGAGGTCGCATTTGAGCCCTTTGCGCTTGTTGATTCGGAATTTGACCGAACTGCTGCGCAGGCACGATAAATCTTTGCTGGTCAGGGGGTGGCATCCTTTGCATCCCACCAGGTCCAAGAAAAGGCGGTCTTTGTGCCATGTTATTTGGCGGCATGCCTGGAGGCATCCCCATTGGTCTGTGCATACCAGGAGCACCAGCCTGTCTGGGCTGGAAGTCTTGGCGTCCCGAATGCATAGAGACTTGAGGCCTACCGGGAATGCGCGAGATCACAAATGATTAATTACAACTTAAAGAGCAATTCCGTCCCTTTTGAATGAATAGAAAGCAAAATTAATGCCGCAACTGATTTTGACTAACTTTATTCTGATTAATACACTCAAATACTTTTAGAAATTTTATTTAGTTAAATTTTTGACAAATTTGTGGAGATTTGACAAGTTGGGTAACATGGAGATTATACGATAATATAACAACACAAAAATTAAAAAAACATTTGGAGAAAATAGCTTTAAGGAAGTTGAGGGGAACCACCATAAGTTTCACCTGCAGAACAAAGGGGAGGTTAAATTTTAGATAAATTTACTAAAACGAACAATCTATTTAAAATTCTTTCTATATATACATATGAAACATGTGTTTTTTTCATAATGCAATGAAACATAAGATGAAGGACTGAGGGGTTTTACAAAACCGCTATTTTGAGAATGTTCAAAGATGTTATATATATATATATATATATATATATATATACCTTATATCTCCGGGCCCTCTTGCCTGAGCTACAAAGTAGAAAAAAGCATCGACGTCATCCAATATTTTTTCAAATTGTATTAATATTTTAAACACGACAAAGAAGTTTAACAAGACTGTCAATCGGATGGATAAGTATGATTTCGGCTCCGCTCGATTTGGAAGAGAAATTCTAAACAAAAAACTCCATGTGTAGCATCAAAATTCACTAGTAAGAGAACAGAACTCTACAACTAGTTTCTTGACATAAAAACATAATGGTTCCATCAACAGAGATGACTGACTACAGACGTATCATATTTTCTTAAAAATACGTATTAGGTAATGTTCTATTTAAATACTAACGGGAAAAATATATAAATATTCGACTAATTGGAAAAACACACAATCGAGAGCTTTCATACATGAAAAGTGAGTGTAACACTTACATCCCATCTTTTCCCCATTTTCCTTTCTTCCTTGTTTATTGTCTTTCTCTTTTCCAGCCTCGCTCGTATCTGTGCTTTCGTCTTCGTCATCGTCGTCGTCTTCTTCCCCAGAATCATCTTCATCTAAAGAGTATTTACAGGACCAATTTATAATAACTTTTGTTAATTTCAAAAAAATATCTGGCCAGTCACTTGTGATGAATGTGCAATCGATAATCTGAATATTTCAACTGATAGTTTAGTTCTTTTATAATAAAAAAAGTGGATGGCCATGACCTCCCTGCTTATTGCCAGATCCTGCCGCCTATTCCCAAACTAGAGTATGAGTTATTGGAAGCAAATATACCTTCATCTTCCTCGCCTGATTCTTCTTCTCCAGATTCTTCTTCTTCATCTCCCTCTTCGTCCCCCTCTTCGTCACTAAGCCACAACAAGAAACACCACTGTTAATCCATGTATTTAAAGAGTTGTAACAGGAGAAAGTTCAAACGAAGAAAAACTGAATTAAAAGATTTGATTTTCAAAACAAGAAGTGGTTGATTGATATAAAAAGGAGCATACCTTTGTTCTTCCTCAGCCTCCTGAAAGAAATTAACAAAATTTCAACGCTTGGAAAAATTATTGAAACCATTAATAGGGTTATGTCTAAATCAGCACAAGTTTTTAGATACGAATAAACTAAGCATTGAAATCTTTGATCGAAGCTGTTGCCTGACGTATAAGCAAGTCAAAAGAAAGTAACTTCAACAGAGACTTTTGCTTTGTCAACAAATCTAATAAATTTGAATAAAAGAAATAAAAACTACTAACAGTTTTACACTGGAAGATTCTACTATTTCTATCCACTGGCGTAAACTATTGAGCCAGGGGAAATTTCCTGTAACTACTTTCTGTAACTAAAACGATTTCTTGTAGCTACTTAATAAGTTCTTCTGTAGGAATGAAAAGCCTTTGTTAACTTTAAAATGTTCTTAGTTTTCTAAAACATTCGAAGTTAGTTTATTATTCCAAGATCATCATGTTTCAAAAATCATAAAAAGCAGAAAACAAAAAATAATCTATGAAATTCAGAACTGTAGAAATAAACATATGGTGGTGAAATATACCCCTTCTTTTACATTGCAGAATAAGCAATAGAAAATTGTAGGCAACAAAACTTTATAGGTGGTAAAGGTGTTACCTCATCGGCTTTAGCATTCAAACCATCATCCTAAAAGAGACAAAATAAAGATACAATACCGAAGTTGCGTAAAATTATAGTTTTCGTAAAATTAACAGCATTAACAGCATAATGTATACGGAAGCAGTCTCGACGCACCGTGGTTGCATTTTCTGCTTCATCTTCTGGCTTGTCTTTGCTCTCTTTGTCCTCATCGACCACCTTCTTCACTTGCCTAAAAAGCATGAAGAATAAAAAATAGAACCAAAAGCCACTCGGCCATTTACAAAAATATTAAAAGTTTAAATACGAAATATTAGGCAGCTTTGGCAATTAGCATGAAAAGGAAAGAAACAAACATGGAAAGGTACAAACAAGGACAAATTCCTAGAAGAACTTGGCAGGAAAACGCTCAGTAGCAGAAGATGGTAGAACAGGTGATTTTTATAAACTAGTAAATAATCAAACTCCCAAATGTTTGCGTGAAAGTATCCCCGACAAGAAAGAGAATAATTATCAATTACGGCAGACTAATATTTTAAGCACAACAATTTTTCCTCACAAAGGTACTCGAAAAACTTCTTTCTCTTCTACGTGAACGAATGGAAAAAACTTGATTTTTAAACCGTCAAATAAATATTTAACATGGAATGTCTAACAGGCGTCATTCAGCATTTACAACAAGGCTTCGAGCTTATTCCAGCGATTTAAATTAGCATAGGCACGACCATAACTTTTCCCGTGAAAGTCCCCTTTATAATTATAAAGAAGGAGTAAATCCAAAGTTTATTTTTTCCTGCCCACTCTACTTGATCCAGAAGAATAACCTGCTTTGTGAAGTATCAGATATACTTAAAAATGAATGCAACTTTAAATGTAACTGTAAATATACTTTTCATTTAGTTTAAATCTATTCCTTTAAATTAAAATGTTGTGTTGAAATGACTATATAACGCATGTTTTTCACCTCTAATCCGTCATATTAATATTCAACTTTTACTTAATGTTTTTTTTGTTATATACTTTATCATGAAAAAAATTGTTTGCGAAATTTGTTAACATCAACGTCATCATAAGTGCATATAACAGCAACAGTACACCTGGTTGCATTGTGTATAACTGCTAGAAATGATATAAATATCACATGCTCTGCACTTCCATTACTACTTGAGTGCAGAACTTCTACGTCCCAAGACAAAGAGATGTTAGTAAAGTAGAACCATGGAATTGGACTTTCCACAAATTAACATCAGTTTCTCTGTATGAATAGAGCACTTATAGCTGAATGTTTCTTAAATAGATACGCACTGACAACTATATGTAGAAACTTACGCTGACTTTCCCTTCTTTTTCTTTGATGTTTTCTGCTTTTGCTGTTTTGTCGATTTTCCTTTCTGGTTCTTATCTTTCTGTATGAAACCAGATGGATGTTGATCGTTGGCAGCTCCAAACTGACGGCCTCTCATTTCTCTGTCATGTGGTCTACGCCTGTCACCTCGCTGAGGACCACGCATGTCAGGAGGACCATGAAAGTTATCTGGAGGACCAAACATATCAGGGGGAGGGCCACGTGGTGGGCCCCTCATTCTAGAACCACGGAACATATCTGGTGGCCCTCTCATGTCAAAAGGAGGTCCCCGCATATCAGGTGGAGGCCCCCTCATGTCGAATGGAGGACCCCTTCTCATGTCTGGTGGACCGAATTCGTCATCCATACCGTATCCATCATCTGGACCAAATCCATCATCAGGACCATAGCCGTCATCAAACATATCTCGAGGAGGCCCACGCATTCCTCTTGGTCGACCCCTCATGTCAGGGGGTGGTCCGAAATCATCATCTGGGCCAAACATGTAATCTGGAGGAGGTCCGCGGAAAGGTGGTCCCCTCATATCTCTTGGTGGCCCACGCATATGCGGTGGTCCTCTCATATCACGGGGCGGACCGCGCATGTCTGGTGGTGGTCCGCGAAACGGACCAGGGCCATGGCGCCCAAAAGGCATAGGATTTTTTTGCATGAGAGGCTCAGGTCCTTGGCCTCTGGACATTTTCCCGCTTGATTACTTGTTGCTTTCCGTTTTATAATCTAAAAAAAGGTGTGTTCTAATTCATTTTTTCCAGAAAACTATAAAAAGTCAAAGTTTATCTAACAAATAATTATCTGCACAGGTCTTGCGGAGAACATTGAGCACCATTTACTTTTCAGGGAACAGTTGAATTCGGAGGGAAACTTTTTGTCTCCATTCAATAGCTTAACAGTTTAATCAGTCGTCAAAAGGTCATTCCATGTCAAATCACCAAGGCCAAGAAAGTTACCATTTTGGATTTTCCAACTTTCAAACACTGTAAAGTAATTAATTAGAGAAAAGAGATTCTGAAAATTTTCGATCATTGTCTTTAATGTTTTGTGAGAATATTAAAGAATTCAGAGGTCAAAAATCTAAAAATTCGACAGTTTGAATTTTCATAAACATAAAGACAACAAGACAATATCTGAAAAGTAAATGACTAGAAAGAGCATGTCAAATTTGAAATAGAGAAATGAATTCAGCTACGGAAACTGACAATGAAATCAAATACATGCAAGCCAAAGAATTAAGATTCTACTAATAGAAAGAACACCGGAGGTTGTAAAACTGCAAGACTCTGACAAGACATTGGTGTCCCAGTCATTTTGTCATTTCGCTATGCAATTTGCTTTGAGACTTTTAAGTTCCAAAAATTTTGAATTTGTGTTTCTACTCATTCCAGGGTTATAAGAATTTAAATGAATGCACAATATTGTAAATTTCTAGATGTCAATTTATTTATAAATGTTATCTGTTTTACTACATTAAAACTGACAGTATTTGACGTTTAACAAATACCATAAATTCTATTTTAAGCCCCTCTTTCAATTAAGCCCCCTGTTATAACCCCCTTTTTAGAAGGTAAACTAAAGTAATAAGCTCCCCACTCAATGTAGCCCCTTCCAAAATTTCGCTAATGCCAAAATAATAAACTTGAGAAAAAACCATGAGAGATTTTCATATACTTCTCATCAAATCAAAATTCAAAGCATGTTTCTTTCGGTCTCGACGGTTTCGAAGACCAAGTTTTAATGTGCACGTTTACGTTAGGGTTATGGTAAACGTTTTTGACACAATATTGGGTTTTCTCTCCCTGAAAGCCAAATTAATAATGGAATCAGATAAAACTATATATATATATATCATTTGATGCACAAGATTGTGGTGATTCCAACCAAATCAAAATAATTGGCAAATATTGAAGAATGATACTTTCATGGCAAATTTATTGCTCCAATGAGTTCACCACCTTCAAAAGCTATTTTGTATCCTTGCGTTTGAGGTAACAAAATCTGACTTATTTCAGCAGAAAGCGCAGATCCTTAGCTACCAAAGTATATATGTTTCAGATTTTTCAAATTCTTCCTTCCCTAGAAACTATATCCTATCAAGAATTAGCAAACAATTTTTCTTCCTTCTCATAGCTTCCTTCTCAAAAAAAGACGGATCAGAGCAAATACAAAAATTTTGTGACACCCTTTGCTTACCCGACATCTGCACTGGTAGTGTGCAAATTTTTGAGCCATTTGATTGGCTCCTTGGGTACAAAATAGCTTTTTCCTAACTGTATGTAGAGGAATTTTGAGTCTGGAGAAAACGGGACTTTACTGATTGCACTTGCAAGGTACACTCGTAAACCACAGTGTAAGTCACTTGAAGCTTCAAGATCAATAATCCTGTTTAAATAAACAGCCCTAGTGGCCCTAGACGTACTGATTTCTGACATAAAACTCAATATCTTTGTCAAAGTGGAAAATCCATAATACTTTTTCAAGTTTGAAAAAGATAATCCGATTTCTGTTTGAAGTTCGAGCCTGCTGCAGTTTGTCTGTGAAGTGGTTGTTTGCTGTTAGGCTAATGTAATGTGATTTGACTTTGGGTATTCTGTGGCACCAGAAAAATGCGTTAATTGCAAATCATTTCCTTTTTCCAGAGCTGGTCCTGGCAGGTCCACGCAACATTTTAAGGATTAGTGAATTTGGTACAGTAGCAATTTGGGTGGCCGCAATGGAAAATCAGCATTTGCTTACTGACAGACTTAACCCCTTTTCTCTATGAACAATAGAGATTAAGTGTATCAGAAGTTCTTCCTGAAATCTTGTTAGGTGCAACCCGCAAAGTAACGATAATCAGCTTAACAGGTCAAGAAATTTTCAGACCTTGACTAAAAGTTTTGATAAAGAAATTATGGAAACCTTCGTTCACATGGGATTTTTTCCATTTCAAAATTTTTCGTTAGTTTCGAATTTGGTAATATTGTGTGCCTTGAAAGTTTGGCTACTGGAATGTGAAAAAATCGAAAAATGAATGGTTTAATCCAGAAAACATTTACCGTAACCTTAAGCACAAGCCATGCGAGAGTCTTTTACCAAAATTACAGGTCGTTGATACTCAGAGGGATGAAGTTGACCTTTTCAAAGGCTCAACTTCAGAAGACGACATGGGCCAAGAACATATTTTAAAATTAATAATTCATTACAATGATAATATTGCTGAGGTAGAAGCTTGATTTGATGTTCTTTTATTGGCAAATAACACTGAAAATAGTTTTTTATTGCAACATATTTTTTGTTACATATCACTTTTCACAGTGGATAATGACCAGACCTACTTAGGGTCTTACTAAACTATTCATGAAAAAGAGATAAAAATTTAATATTTTATCATTTATCTTTTGGTGACTGTTGAAGGTAGATATCTTGTAGAGAAAGACATAAATTTCTAGTACAAGGAAATTTTCTCTCAAATGAATAAGCAAAACAAAATAAGGAAAAGGTACATCTATAAAAGGAAAAGATATGCCTAATTAGCAAACCCTAGCTGAAATTCAATTAGCCAAAAGTTTTATCCCAAGACTCATTCTCGTGGTTGGTTGTTTTAGTTTCCCTCATATGCCATCACAAGGTGACTTGGCAGGACTTGTGCCAAAAAAAACCAACTGCATCTAAACCTAAAACATTCTTCATGATTACAAATTTTAAAGAAGTTTTTGAATTTTTTTAATTGTGCCACAAAAGTTTTCCTAATACTGGCAGGAAGATCTTGTTGAACACAAATTTTGTTTTTTCACAATATTGAACTTAAACTCTTTTTCAGGATTTAAATCATATGATATATATAAAACATATAATTTAATCAAATGGTTACTTGAATTGCTGATTTAAAATTTTGAAAATGGAATATTTGAATTTATGCTTCATTGAATTTGCAGTTTTATTGGTGCGCCATTGGCTGATTAAACAATAGCTTAATCAGACAATAAGAAAATTTATTGCGTGCTCCACCATTAATCCCCTTTGCAGGTGTTCCAAAATTTTTGTCCTGGTAGCATACATTCAAAAGTAAATATGTTTTGTGGTCACCCCATTGCCCAAATGGTTTTTTAGGACCGAAGTTTTGATCGAAGATTTCTAGGATCAAAGACCTGAGTGATTAGCAATTAACGCATTTTTCTGGTGCCACAGAATACCCAAAGTCAAATCATTCTTTGTTTTAAACCACATTACATTAGCCTAACAGCAAAAAACCACTTCACACACGAACTGCAGCCTGCTCGAACTTCCAAACAGAAATTGGATTATCTTTTTCAAACTTGAAAAAGTATTATGGATTTTCCACTTTGACAAAGATATTGAGTTTTATGTCAGAAATCTTTCTATTGTTTATTGGCATATGGCTGGCGTGTCCACACTGGCTGTGAAAGCACTACAATTTAGCCAATGAAAAATGATTGATTTTGAAAAGCTATTTAGTAAAACTAAGTGAATCCAAAAGCAACAGAAAACATTGAAACCTTGATTTGTACCTATTTATGATATTCAGAACATTTAGGTAGGCAATACATTTATGTGAAATTTTAAAGCTTTATTGCAAAGTCTGAGAACGTACCTTTCTTGTCAAAAAATATATTGTTGCAAAATATACTTTTTAAGGTTTGACATTCAAATGGTATTATTACTTTGTCAAACAACTAGGAATGACAATAATGAACTTTAGTAAGTGGAATGAGTGGTACTGTAACGGAACCATCGTTCCTTATTCAATGCCTTTCTCCATGAAGTCATAATTCTCAAACTTGGGACAACACCTTCTTGGCAGCATTAACTAGATTGAACAGGTTCTGCCTTGTGCAGTTTTAGGTAGATAAGAATGAAGCGAATGGGTAAATGCACGGGGCAATTTAACAACAAACAGACAAAAGACAAAACAAAGCCAATTTACAAAAATATCTGTTTGCAGACAAATACACTGTATTATATTCTTATGCGAAGGGAAATTCCCTGAAAGAACGCAGATTCCCTGGCAGGTCGACAACAATCCAGAAATTTCACTCTCATAATGTTCTTTCCTTCCTGATAACATACAGCACTTTGTAACGTTCACACACGGCTAGGCCTTGTGGGATCATACGTACGTTTTTCAAATGCTGAACTATGGATTTGCATTTCCCTTCGACAGTCACAGTTAATTAGTGAAAGAAAACAGCACAAGGTTAAAAAAGCATGTCCCGAACTTACCCTCAGCTGTCTGTAAACGAAGTCTATCGTAGTCGGCCTACTAGCACCACACTTTCACCTTCATGCGGGCGAGCTATTCGTAATTACCCACAATGCACCATCAAATTAAATTGATTGCTGTTGTCGTTGTCGCACTTTCTTGCAGTTGCAGTTGTTCTATTGCTTGGGTGTAAACAATCTATCGTATCTGCGGGAGTAATTGATCCCGATAAAACTGTAAATAACAAAAATCTTTAAAAGTGATTTAATTCACCTGTATCTTTGTATAATATAGCACAACGTGAATATGAATTTAGACTTTAAGTAGGCCTTCAGCTGGGGTGCGGTCCTACAATGTTTAGAAAGGGATGGGTCATACTGTAGGCAACTTCTAAAAGCCTCACCCAATGCCACACTTATGGGCACATCCTACAAAACAGCATTAAGATTATTTCTTGTGTATGTAGAATCATTTGAAACTATCTAACAGCTCTCAAAGGTTAAATGCTCACATTGAAGATCAATACCATAATAAAAAGCTTGTACACTTTGCCAAGAAAGGTACGTATTAGCAACCAAACATATACTGACTTGTTACATGAGGCTAACCTAGAATCCCCTAAAATCTCTCTAAATTTTGACAAGGGGGCTTAGTTCCTATACTCTCCTCCGACTCGGAGGAGGCTTCGACTCCGATTGCTATCGAGATTTGCAGATTAGAACTCCAAATTTTGGAAAGGCAACGAACTGCGAACCACAATTTGTTTACAGAACATATTTTGCTGAGAACAACTTGATATTAAAAAGGGGAGAAAGAAAACGCAATTCTGTAAAAAAGGATACAGTTACATTAAGATTTAACCAGTTTCAATCAGTGGCGTACCCAGGGCTGCAGCAGTGTAGGGGTCTTGGGCACAGCCCCAAGAAATTTTTCAGACCACGCCCTTCAGACACTCGCAAATGCGGGGAAACGCCCTTTTTGCAAAATTTACCCCTATTATTTGAATCATGTTAGCTACGGTAAATAGCAAAGTATTTTACAATTGTTATTGACACAAGCATACAGTATACTACACCCCTCCAATGAATTTTACATCGTTTTTGGACAAATCTCGATGATCATATTTTAGAAAACTAGGGGGTCCGGACCCCCCCCCTTATTTCCCCCCCTTGGGTACGCCACTTGTTTCAATACATTCAACTGCTTCCCATTACAGATCCTTGAAGACATGCTTGACAGTGAAGATTGCAGATATTTTGCAGTAGGTAAAATATTTGGATGGTCTGGTTCCTAAGACTGGCCAAGGCAAATTGGTCAAACCATGCCTGTTTAGACACAAGAAAAAAAAGTTTTGCAAAGAATTGAAATGCACCGTGTTTCTGTGAAAATAGACTCTCAACTTTCCATATTGATATTTTTTGGATTTAGATGAAATCATGAAAATTGTACAGGTTCCATGACGCAAAATGCATTTTGAAAGAAAATGGGAATGGAATAAGCTTTTCTAATCACTTATCAACTTTTTAAGAAAAGAAATCATGGAGTCTAAAAGTGTAAGCTCTTTTTCTTAATCAGAAAATGTAATGCGTGTTTAAAATTTATTTCTAAGTTGATCGAAAATATAGACTTTTAGCCTGTGGCAGTTTTGTGGATTAGGGTGCGGACTAAAAGTCCCTGCCTCTTTAGATACTATTTAGTACATAATTAGTCAAAAAGAACGATTCTTTTTGAACGACGATTCTTATTTAAAGAAGTATACATATTAGAGAGAATGGTAGATAGCAAGCAACATGGATGGAAAGAGTTACAGGTGTGAAAGTAGTTGATGATACTGAATGACGTGCCCCCATGTTGTGTATTTCGAATTATCCTAGTTGAAGACTACATTGCTTTGAAAATACTACATTGCTTTAAGATAAAACTATCTTATAATTACTTGCTGTCTGTTATATTTTCAGCTTAACAACTAACATTTAATGGCTCAAAATTTCAAAGACTTCGATATGACGTATCATTGAAAGAATGTGCTAAAATGACTTCAAGGCAGGACGCAAGGGAAGTAGAGACCCGGAAACTAATATCTTGTTTGACGTCATATTATTGCTTAAACCTGAGCACATTTTTTACCAGACGAAGGATCTTCTTGCAAGATAGACAATGCCTATTGCTCCAGATAATTGTTTGTTTTCAGGCAAACAGATCTGCCAAAATATAATGTCAGTAACAACAGAAACAAAAATTTTTGTCTCCGGGATTGTTGCTGGAGCTGTTGGGGCCAGTCTTTACTATGCAATTAGAAGTTACCACGGCGGGAAGCATATCGATAGAAGAGTCTCCATTATTGAACCAAAGGATGTTCAGACTGAAGAGGACTCAGCTGAAAATTTAAAAATCGATTTGCAGTCTTTGGCTAGTGAATCAGAAGCAAGCATACCATCAAAGCAAAATAGAGAGCAGTTTTGTGACTCTACAGACTTGTTCAATGTAATAGAGATGCCTCTAGATATAAAAGCGCTATTAGAAAATAATCAGAAAATTGTATTGCAGATCAGAGCTATTGAAATGAAAAGTGGTTTACAACCAAATAAATCAATACATAGTAAACTGTCTTATGATGGTTACCACCGACAGCAAAGCATTGCATCAGAAATGTTCCCAACTGGTGGTCTACGAAATCAGTCTTTAAATCAGTTTATTGAAGGAATTGGTGCAGACGGTAATGAGATGTTCGAATCAGAATCAATTCGCCGCCTTGATGGAGCAATTGGTGAGGTTAACTACATGTTGCAAAGACTCGGAAGCATGCTTGAACGAACAAGAATTGACATTTCAAGTAGAAGGTCAAGTGTTGACGCAAGCACACATGGTACAGATAAGCGACCCAGCATGTGAAATAGCAGATACAAACTTCATTTCAATAACCTTGCAATAGTGTAATTTTGAAAAATGTATTATCTTACTGTATTAACGGAATTCCAAGTATTCATAAAAGATATCTAAAACCATTGAAGCGTCTTGATTTTTGGTTAACTTTTACAGCTTTGAATAAGAATTAATTGAAATAAAAATAAAGCTAAACTTTGCATCAAATGTTCCCCACAAATGTACTCCCCATTCTAATAAACATGATAATAGTAACGAAGCATAACTTTGCATTCTTTATAAGCATTTTACATAGTGTAATGTTTATATAAATAAAGAAATAAGAACAGTGTTGAGCATTGATTTACTTCTAGATATTCTATCTTTAAGATATAAGATATAGTTTTTCAAGGCTACTGTCGTCCTTTACGACCTCTTAGCCAGGTGCAAATACAGAAAGTCGTCTTAACATCGCTCAAAAAGGCGATTCAAAAATATTAGGAAACTTGTCCCTCAACTTGTCAATTTTTTAAAAGAATTTGACAGGTTATTTCTGACCATTTGTGTGCAGACCATCTACTCTAAACAATAGCAGTCCCAATTCTTGAATTAAGAAAATGATCGATTTGCTTATATAATCACTTAATCACCCAAGCTTTGAAAAATTAAGGAATAGAATCAAGGGAGGTTTGAAATTGTCTTAAATGATCTTTGCAATAGAAATTTTGATATCTGAAAAAACACACCCATGTGCAAACAAGCATTTGTGCAAACAATCATTTAAGCCCTGATTGGAACGGAATTTCCTGGAAAGGATTAGAGCGAAAGAATACCCATACAATGTTAAACCCACCAAAGCCAGCAAATGGAAGACCAAATCCAGCCCTCGTAAAAAATTTTCTTATTGACGGTTTCTTTAACCTGACAACACACTAGCTCATTACGTACTGAGACAAGGGCAAGTAACTGAATTTATAGAAATATTCACGAATGGAAGTTTTGGTGAACAAATGTGAAAGTTAGATTGTCTTTCGCTACTAGCGAAACAAATTTGTCCAAAAAAGTATTTAATTGTTAATAATTATTTAGGATGTTCTGGGTTAGCATACTTGGACCTCTATGGACCTAAAAGCAAAATCGATTAGTCGACACTGCGCACAGTGCTTTGCGTAAACTCTTTTTGAATGCAGGAACTGACACTGCAAGATAGCAGAATATGTCTGATAGAACAATGGTATTCCATATTACAGCACTGCAATGAATAGTTAAGAAAAGCGAAATGAGAAATTTCCTAAGAATATGATAGTGTCAATGCTCCAAAGTAAAGGCTCATTAGCAAAGCATTAACTAAACGTAGCTTTCAGTTGATAAAAACGTCTATAGCAGAGAAAGACTTTTTTCTATCATCCTGTAATGCTATCAAACTTTAGTTGTTGCAAACGGAGGAAATCCCACAAAACATGCTGAAATTGCCGCTAGACAGTTTGAGTAGGATTATAAGACAACATTTGCAACCAGATCTTCTTTTTACTTTGTCTTCAATTTCATTACAAAGTATATCTCCCTTTTTCTTCTATGATTTGATTTTTATTCTATGGATTTTTTCCCCGATGGTTCTGCAACGTTTCATTCCTTCGCCTCTCAAGAAAACAATCATTCGCCGGTTGAACAGGAATAGAATCTTGCACGACAGAGCAATCAACGATGGGTTTCAAACTGATTTTCACATCGAGGATCTTCGTAACCCATAAGTTGAAAGCTTTTACACTAAACACACCAACAAGTGTATCAACTTTTCATAATTATGTAAGACAACCGACGGTTAGCGCATAGCAGTGCATAAAAAGTAGGATACCTTATAGAAGATTTTGAAGATTTTGTCCTCTTTTATGTTTACCGACCTATCTGGTACTTTTTCTAAGCCCTTTACCCCAGTAATCATCAAACATTATCAAAAGATCAAGCTAAAAATTATGAATCATTTTGGCAGTGTCATTTCCCAATATCCACCATTAATTTCTGTATTTTATCAGAATCAACGCTTTCAAAATAAAGACAGATTGCTTCTCGAGGAATGCATATTGTGCTGTATTCAGTGTCACAAAAACCTAAACCTCATTTTTATTCTTTATGACTACATTTTGATGCATCATAAAACTATGACTGTGTCTCTACAGCGTTCTATTTTCCTTTTTCTCAACTTTGAAATATCATCGTGCGGTTTGTCGCATGAAACACATCAACACAGCTGTTTATTCAGCAATAGAAAATTTTGAGATCGTTCCTATCCTACCATCTACCGTCTTTGCCAAAGTTTTCATTATATGAAAGTTTGGATAAGAATTTTTCACAAATTATTTGATGCGAATTAAATTTCTAGTGCAAGATAGGACTACATTATATTTTATCTGAACGCTAAGGTTTGATTAAGTTTCAAAGTTATCTGAATTTCAAAATTATCTAGATATTAATCTTTGCTCCAAAATGTTTAAGGGCAAGCAGTCTTTTTGTAAAGCCTGAACCATTCAATGCATTCTTTGTGCATTCTTTGATGAAATCTAATAAAATAATAATCTTGTTAGCAGAAATAGATATTGTACTGTCACCTGAAAAATTGTAGAGGGACCCATTACTTTTACAAAGATATTAAACAGATGAGGAATAAGTATCAATCCTTGTGATACACCTTATTCTAAGCTTGTCCAGTAGCTATAACCTCCTTTAAATTTGACTTTTTGTTTTTTGATTGGCAATTATTGTGCATAAATAGAAAGGATTTAGTGAAATTAGAGCTGGACTTAAGGATTTGCTAGACAATTGTTTGCTAGACAGTCGATTGGAAGATGGGGATAAGAATAGCTATAATGAGTTTATTATTTCTTAATCCATTTTCCACTCTTTGATGCGCCTCACAATAGCATTTTAGCAAGATACATCTTTCTAATAAGCACCTAAATACTTTGAGGACTTCTGTTCTAAGAATGAAGAAAGCTATTTTTCAATGGCCTTTCCAAAAAAATTGGGAAGATGATAAGTGAACTTATGATTCTATAGCGTTTCTTGTTGAAAATACCTTTTTCTTGTGATAATGAATTACTACTGTTTTTAAAAAAAAACGCTCAAACGCAGGGCCACGGAAAGGATTTCTGGGCCCCGGGTCAAAACGAAAGATAAAAGCAAGGCACACCGGAGGTGACCCTGCAAAGGGGCCCGGGGAAAATTTTTGGGACGATGGTTACTAAAATTGCATTATTTTTGATTGCTGAAATTGCGATGGTGGCTATTAATTCTCTAGTCTTTTCAATATAGTCTAAATATTACTATTATACTATTGTCATAATGCATGCATATTTCTTAACTATAAAATATGCAGTTCTTCACATTTAAAAAAATCTTAGGAAGTGAAAAGCGTTTGAATACTAAACTTGATCAAAACGGACATGCTGCAACAAAAAAATGGTCACTATTCGAATAATTTGGAAAACTTCACACCTAGCAATCAGAATGCAACCTTTCATACCAATAAAAAACTAGTTGATTCGATCTTGGAAGAAGCTCGTTTAGACGAGGACCAAGAGAAAAAAGCTTTGTTTGACAAACATAATGGGGCTATAATACTGTTGCTACTTCTACCTTATTTCATTTAAAGGCTTTTTCCATTATTTTTACTATTATTGACAGGTTTTGTTAATGGAGAGGCTAAACTGCTAATTATTAATTATTTAGTTAAGTTATTACCTATGGGCCCCAAAAGTCATGGGCTCCCGGGTCAGTGACCCCCCTGGCCCCCCCTCTCCTCAGCACTGCTCAAACGTAATAGCTGAAACGATGCATTTGTTTAACTTGGTCGACAAAGTCTGCAAAACTATCATTAATGAACAGTTTTTCAAAAATGAAGCACGGGTTTTGTTTTTGTAGGCTTTCAGAGGGAAATTTGTTAACTCCCCCTCTCCCTCTCTCTTGCATGCGACATTGTTCAAGTGTTATTTAATTAAAGAGCAGCTAATTTAGGATATGAAGCTTCAAATTTGAATGCTTTCCACGGCCTATTGTTCTGCAAATAAATCATTTTGGCAAGCATTACAAACATATTTGTTCTTGGCTGCAGAAAGTTGGGTAAGTGCAATGTTTCAAAACCATTGAAAAAGCCTTTATCTTATTTTCTTTATGAGATGTTACATCTTCAAGACCAATCATACTGGAGTTGAGAAGCGAGTTCCTTAACAAATTATTGAGTTCCATATCCTGATTATGTGATGCTCCAAAGCTCCTTCTCTCTTGTGGACAAGGATGTTGCGCATGAAGTTGAAAACAATCAGTTGAATTCCAGCTCACAAGACAAATTAATAATAAGTTTTAAAAATAAAATGCAAATTTATTGCATCAATTTTTCAAGCTTCGTACTTGCTTTGCACATAAATTAATAAAAAGCTTTGCATTTTCGAAACGGTGTGGCAATACCCTGATACTAGAGATGATGCTAGTTGTTTTCATACTTGCTCGTGGTAGAAGTTGTCATAGATGCCGTCATACAGCAGCCGTCTAAAACGCGATCTAGTACCTTCATCGCATTCAACTATCAACAAATGAAGCCTAGCTAACAATCACCTTATTTCAATTTTATATTGTTGTACCTTTTCCCGTTTTGATGCTTCCCTTTTCATAGAGATCATATAGACAGAGAGAAGTGGCGATTAAATCAAACATAGGCCCAGACTTAATTTTTTTCCAGGCGGGGGAGGAGGGCTTGAAATTTAATTGCAACCGCTAATGGAGGCTGCCGACGGCAGAGGGTAGAAAGAGGCCTATTTAAGGGTTCTAAGGAGATCTTCTTTTATATTCTTTTTTCATTATCGTTATCATTTGTTCTTGACCAAATCTTTTAGAATGATTTTTATGCGTGAAACCAAGAATATGAAATATTACTCTAACAAATCGATATCCAACTTTCCTATTTGCCGGGGGGGGGGGGGGGGGCTGAGCCCCCAAATCTACATCATTTAGGGCTCAAATACAAGAGCCCCTTCACCCTCTAATTCTGCGCCTATGAAACCAAGCAGACTCTAGTATAACACATTTTAGTGGCTGGAATTGGCTGGAAATTCAGTTTAAGTTTTTATAACAATATATTAGTGGCGAATGTGTATATTAGAAACGCTGGTCAGACTGTAAAGTTCAGTAGAAACGTTGATTATCTCAGACATAAAACAGCAAACGCAAAACAGTTTTCGTTGCAACGACGGACAATCTACTTATTAAAGCTCATTTGTTCTTCTCGTGAGCTCGAGCCCTCCCTGCTAACCATACCATACCTAGGCCCATACCTAGCTGCGCGCCCGTGTCATATTCGTTTCTGCAATCATTGAAGTGATAAGTTCCAGACAATGGAAAAGTATATATTTCCAAATAAAAAAGGATAGGCCATGTCAAAACTTTCCTACCCGAGTTTTTCCATGTAAAATTTCAAGGGGCGCCAAACCAGAGCTGAAGATTTCAGATCAAAATATGATAAAAACGGCATTGTTTAGCACTTCAGTTCACTACTACTTAAAACTATCATTCTCACCTATGAAAAGTCCTTTTTATTGAAAACTACTACAAGAAGATACAATAGCCATACTATTATTACTGACAGTTGTATTACAAACACCAAAAGTAGTTGCTTGCAGGATAGAGAAAAGAACATCTAGAACATCATCAAGGTCTACTTCTCAGGTAGAGACTAAACAGTGTAAAAACAAGACAACATGATCACATCCGTATGTCAGCCTTCAGCAAATATTTTACAAAACTGTTGTAATAAAATTCAAAGCTAACCGAAAAAATTATAATCTTTAGGCAGCGACTACTTTTACATAAAATGCGTATTTCACGATATACTAAACTACAAGAACAACGCATAACCGAAAACAGCGTAGCCACTAGCTCTTGGGTCCCGCTAAGAAAAACCTAAGTTTCAAGGGACGGTTCATAGTTTTTGTCCTAAAGATGCGCATAGTCAATTCAAGGCCAAAGGTTCATATTCCAAGTAGGATATAAATGGCGGGTCTAGGGTTGTGTAAAGGGTGAAAACCCTTGCATCTGGGAAGTTTTAAAAATACTTCAAGTCAATGTTTTATTTAAGACACAAAATTGTTTACAGATAAAAAGTTTTCAGGGGATATAAGACTACAATTACAAATAGTATTTTAGTAGAGTGAAGAACTTCGTGAAAATACCTGATATATTAAGTACCATATATATTCTCAATCTAGAAACGGTTTTTAAATCAAAGATGCTTTACTGAAGGAAGGTGGCCACCGGGGGAGGGGGGGGGGCGTGGGGCCATGGCCCCCACTCTTTTGCGAACAAGTAGTTTTAAAGCTGCAGTAACAGGGGTAAGAAGCCTTGGCCCCCTACTTTTTAGCCTTGGCCCTCACCCCCATTTTCAAATTCGTGGCGCGGGCCCTGATATTATAAGTTATTAGGGGCATCTTTACGGGGATTAACTGTTGCACGGCTTAATTGGCCATGACACATATAACTGATATTTCATGGAAGACAATGGGCAAAATTAGGCTGGCTATTTGACATCGAAATATTGTTTAGGCTGGAAACGCTACACGATGGCTATGGTTCTCGTGCGATTGAATTTGGGTTAATCTATTAAACAGCATGATGACCTTCATGTACAAGTGCGCACTGCCTAGGGGTGAGGGGGGCGCCAAATAGGTGGTGAGGGAGCAACGGACCCTGCACACGTGTGTCTGGTACGGTGCCTTAATCATTTATAAACAAACACCATCTAACTTTTGATCAATTCACGTTGAGGCCCACGTATAATTCGCAGCTACTGCTAAAAAAGTAATAATAAGCTAATCAATTGACGCGAAAAAATTAAGATGGTACTTAACGTTTACTTTTTAACAAAATTGTCAGCTTTATTACCTGCATCTGCTGTACCCATGCCTGAAGCAATTTTACCAAGAATCTTTCGGTTCCAAACATGAGATTTCTTGTCTTTTGAGCTTTTCTTTGCTTCAAGAACAGGCCTATTCGATCGCACAACTGATCCAACTGATAATGGGTTTGAAACTGTCTGGTGAATTGATGGATGAGAGCCCTTGCCATAGCGTGAGTTGCTAGCAAAAGCTAAAGACGCTGCTTTCATTTTCATATCGTCAAGAAGAGATTTTGGGAAAAGAGTTTTTTCATCATGCCTTTGCTGTAGTGTATCGACAATTGGCGGTAAACACGGGATTTCCTCTGACTTGGACTTTTCGTTATCTCCTGTGAAATACCGCTCTGGATGTAAAACAAAATCAGGTTTCAGTAACGTTGGAACATCACTTAGATCTTTACAGTTCAATGCTTGAAAAGCACTTATTGACATCTGCCCTCGCTCTACATTTAAAAATGGTAAAGAATAGGGTTGTTTTCGTTCCCTTTTTTCACTGCCTCGCTCTTGATAAGACCTGCCCAATATAGTATTATCCCACGTTTGGTGTCGTGTCTCTACATCCACTTTAATATCACTTGGTGCTTTTCCAGCGGCTTCCAAATCATTATCGGGGACATGTTGGACCCTTCCATCTTCCTTCATGTCAATATCTCTCTCTAATAAACCCTGTTCTGCATCAGGAATAAGTTGAGAACTTTCACTTTTGCTTACGGAGAATTCCTTTTCACTGTTTAATACCTTGTCAATGTTCCAATGGTGCTCTTGTCCAAAAACTCCAATACGTGTTCCATTGATTGTACTGAGTGACAAACAACAATCACTTGAAGCAGTGATGATAAGATATATATCACTTCGATGAATGACAGTTATAGAGTTGATTGCGTCTGTATGAGGGGTAAACGTTTTGCAAAGCTTTGGAGGCGATTTGAGGGGTGTATCTGAACATACCATACAATAATCCTCAATCAACCACACCCTGCAAACGCCATCAGAATCACCAGTAACAAGAAACTTATTTCTGTTATCTGTTGCCATGGTCATTGAACTGGTCTGTTCATGTGCAACAAATTCTGCAGCAACCTGTGACGAATAGACATTCCAGAAGATCACCAAACCTGCACAGGTGGCTGAAATGAGATTTGATGGGCCACTGGAAGTGATTGGATTGGCTCTTGCACACAAAGAAAGTAGACATGTCATAGCATATGAGCTTGTGTTTGTTTGAGATTCTTCAAAATGTCCTGTTGGGCTGGGGAGAAGAAAAGGATTACTTTGCAAGTACCTCTTCTTTGCTGACAGCTTCCCTGCACTAGAGGCTGGAGTAAGCAATTTCATGTGTCCACTGCTCCGCCTGTCTTTGACTGCAGGGGCCTTTTTTGCACCAAGATGTCTGTATGCATGCTCTGTTATCACATTCCACAACACTATGTCCCCATCAAAGCCACCAGATGCAAGAGTCCTTGGCGGAATGAATGTTGTGGACAATATGTCATCTTGATGCTCAAGCCTTCCCTTCCAGTCAACTGGATAAACATAAAATGTCTTTAGATGTCCAATAGGAAAACATGTTATGGCTTTGTCCCATCCTATACTGATAATTGATGACTTAAGGTACATTATCTGTCCTATTTCACATGGATTTCCATTTCCCGCCATTAAGATATGGTGACATTGACCATTGAAATCCCAGATTTTGATTGTTCCATCTGTACTTCCAGTCAGTATCCTCATTCCTGATGGATCCTGATTCAGGCAGGTAATTTCTGCAGTTCCATGTGCATTTGTAAATTGTTTTACCTTTTGACCAGAATCAAGCATCCACATTGTAATTACAGAACCTGTACAGACACTGACAGCTTGATTGAAGTTCTTACTATATATTGCATCAGTAACTGCATGCTCATGACTAATAACCCTATCTTTAATTTCTGCTTTCATCGACAGAACAGTTAATTGGTTATTGAATGAGCAAAATAATTTTGATCTCTCTTGATCAAAATACATTGTGACTGCAGCATCATTAATCTTTGGAAATATACCTGACAGTCTTTGCAAACAAACTTGTAAATGAGTATCCCATATTCTCAATACCTTCTCTTTTGACAAACTGATTAACTGATTTTTGTTCTCAACAAATGTAACAGAAATGACACTTTGCATGTGGCCTTGTAACACTCCAACAGGTTTTGATATGACATATGGATTCCACAAACAGACCTGAGTATTTATGCCTGCTGTTGCAATCAGATTTGCTTTAGCATTAAAGTCAAAGGAGTTCAAGCCCTGAAGCACACTGAAACAAGTTGTCCTCATGTCAATTTTTCCTTTTTCAGTCCAACCCAGAGTCATAGAGTTTGTATTTGTGGTAGAACATGAGATAAAACAATCCAGTGATGGCAAATACTGGGTTTTTCTTACCCACTCCTGATGACAGTCATGAGTATAATATCTGGCATGCTGATAAAAACATTTAGCAACATCATTGATATCAATTTGCAGACAGGTTTCTTGCTTTGATCCAGCAGGTTGCAATGGCCTTTCAAACAAAGCAATGGTAGCATTAGTAAAAACAATGGCATGCACATTTCCACCAGTATCACCAAATGAGAGAATGGAATGACTTGATTTGTTAGGATCGCTCCAGTAATCCATGGTGATTGGAGTGTTTTTCAAACCAAAAATGCGATATTGACAATTAAACTCAGTTTTTGAACTTAGATCATAGATAGCAATTTCTTTACTAGTAAGAGACAATGCCAACTTGTTGATGTGCCCCATAGGGGTAAAATGAGTCACCCAGAGATCTCTTGGTTTAATCTCCTCTGGGTTTGTTTGCACATGAAATGACCTTGTTAGTCTCAAATCCAGATTCCAAAATGCAACATTTCCCTCTCTTGATACAGACGTATAATATTTTATTGGACTACCAACTCCCTGAAACCTGTTGATAACATCTTTGTGGGGGCAAGTAATTGATTTAAGTTCTTGCCATTGTGGAACTTGAGTTGATTTGATTCGATCATCTTTTTCGTAATATTGCAGTAATAAATGAGAACAAAGTTTATCCCAATCGATCAAACCTTCCTTGTTTACATCAACTTTTTCGAATAATTCAGAAAACTCCTCCCTTGACCCTTTTGAAAGAACGATAGAAAGAAGTTCACAGAACTGTTCTTGATCTAAGGTGAGTTCCGTTTCTTCGCGTTCCTTTCGCAAGAAAAAAGCTTCCTGGACTGCCTGTAAATCTTGTATTGTAAGTCTGTTGATAAGCCTGGCCTTACCGAAAGTTGCAACCTCTGTGGTAGCAGTACCATTTTGCAAACTGCTATCCAAATTATTGGTCGCAGCAGCTACCGAAAGCTCTGTTGTTTCATTCATCTCCTACATAGAATCAAACTGACATACGTTAACATTTTTGTAAGATTCAAAAAGACTCTTAAATTTTACAACTCCGACAGCACTGCAAAGTGAACAGCCACTTCGACATGATTCCTAATCCTTTGCATGTTGTCATGGAGATGAATCAAATCGAGACTTATTCAAAATGAATGTTCTGCTCTTCCGTCTTCATGTAACGCGATGTAAACAGCCGATCCAAACGAATGTGAGCGGTTAGGATTTACAAATCAAGACAGGAATAATATTTTGAGACCCATGCTTATCAATTAAGAAAGGTAGATTTTACATTAAACTGTTTCGAGGCCTTGTGTTAAGTTTCAGGTGGCGTTAAAAGTTTATAAACGATCAATCGTAAAAATTGTTTTGCCTTGAAACGAAAACATCAGTGTTCGGGAAAAAACAATTCACATGAAACGTTTGATTTTTACAAATATGATGCAAAAGTTGACAAAAGATTGCAACAGTTGACTGCAGCTTTCGCAAAAAAAAATTTCTCCGAACTTCACCACAAGTCATGTACACTAGGCAGGGCCGCAGAGAGGATGTTTAGGCCCCGGGTTAGGACGAAAGATATATAGTAAAGACAGACGCTTCTAGGGGGTACACACTATTTGGTAACATTCAGAAGCTTTTCAACTTCTTTAGACCAAGCCAACAAAGTTTGGAAATTGATAACAGCAGTCAAAGACTCAAACTGCTTCTACCTTACTTCTTTCATAGACTTTAGTCATTATTGTTTCTTTAAAAGAAATTTTGTGATAATGGAAAGGCTGGACTGTCACTTAAAATATTTTTAAGTGAGTTATTATTTGTGGGCCCCTAAGGCCAAGGGCCCCCTGGTCAGTGACCTCCCTGACCCCTCTCTCCTCAGCACTGACACTAGGTGAGCAAAAATTCAATAGGTGAGCAAAATTATTGCACCACCCCCTACAAAATGGCTGCACCGCCGCGATTTTTTATACAGTAGCAAACCGAAATTCAAATACTTAAAGTAAGTCAAAGTTTTAAGATGACCGCTAGAGTGGGAAATAACGGGAAATTTATCAAGATATACAAAAGAAAATGAAAAATGCAAATAGATCATTAGTTTCATCTTATTTTTGAGCCATATCGACCACTGCCAAAATACGAAAGCCGAGTTATGATGATAGGAGTATGTACCTGTAATATATTTGCAGCAAAAAAGAGTTTTCTTTGCTCAAACCTGTAAGATTTCATTAATGCGAACCTGGAAATACTTTGCTTGGTTACCCAAAACTGTTAATTTTTCTGACCGTTAGTAAAGTATCATTCAATTCAAAAGTTTTGGTTGCACGTTTTTCGTACTGCAAAAGGCCTAATTTTGGATGTCATTTCGTAACGTGTTGCAACAGAATGCGAATAAGTTGTGAGCAATCCAAGAAGCTCTAAGAATTTTTTTTAAAAATACAGTAAAGACTCACTTGTAAAGACTTATCCTATGTAAAGACTTACTTGTGCGACTTAGAAGTCAGGCGAAATTTGTTTTGAAAATGCTCAAGGGTTATCAATTTATTCTTGTGATGCCGATGAAGATGAGGACCTTTTAATTGATTTATTAAACTTTAATTAATTAATTAAATTAATTAATTCAAACTGCTAACAAAGTCTTTTGATAACGTTTGTATGATATTTTCATAACAGAAAATGGCCAAGGACATTTTTAAAACACGTTTGCTTAAAATTTTCAATAAGCCCCTCTTTCTAACAATATAGTGAATTGATACCACATGCACTTTTGACGCAAACTGGGATTTTAAGGAAGACAACAAATTCAACAGCAAGTGACTGGAGAGAATTGTTCTCTGAAGACTGTGGATTGATTGAGAGCTGTCAAGCTCAGATTTTGAGATTAAAGGACTTTGTTTATAGAATTTTTTTTCCAAAATAAAGCTTTGCTGCTTTCTTTTCTTCTTTCATCTTTCAATTCTAGGCCTTTGGCATAATTTTTCAACTATTTTTCGCGCATTTTGAATTTATTGTAAATGAAATGTAACCAAATGTAAACAAATGATATAACATCATTCTTTGGTACCCATAAAACCTCGAGTCTAAAATTTCCTAAAATTATTTTTTCGTCTCTCGGATTCACTGGAAGCGGATTCACCTTTAAACGAATTCACTGGAAACTTTCTCTGTATAAATGTCGTCTATACGGTCTTTCTGAAAATTGGCAAATGTTCTGTTGTTTATGCTGTTGGCTGTCATGTTCATCCTCAGCCAAAAGTTAACACGCCGCATTGTGCTAAAAGTACGTTCTGCAGGTGTAGATGAACGTGCTGATGAATTGTACAATTACAACAACTTGTGTAGCTTCGACAGGCATTTTTCATGGCATCTCTTTAGGTCATGATTGAACAAGGGGTTTCCATCTTTGTTATCTTTTTTCGTGGCACAATACTGCCCCCACTGCTCTTGTAGAGCCAGGGCAGATAAGACTGCTGTCTCTGCTGCCCCCGTACTTCCGGCGCCCCCTGAATGTAACATTAAGCAAACATCCACCTTGGTAACTGGAGACACCAAATTTCCGAATTGCATAAACAGGTTGAGATTTTATTTCAATTTTGCACTCTATTATCAGAGTTTGAAGGCATACGAGAAGCTGTTAAATCATCGTTTATTGAAGTTTGCCATCTTTCAGGTGTATTAATAAAAGTCCATTTCATGCGATGTTTCGACAGGATTGTGCTTTATGTAAAGGCTTGTTTTTTACCTAATTATAAAACATAATTGTTTGCTGCCATGAATTTGATTTGTATAGTGAGGTACAGTTTCATCATCAAACAGTACCTCATTCAGACTTCTGAAAACAGCCACCACAAAACTCCCTATTGCTAAATGAGATATTTCTAAAACTCCCACTGTTTACCCTAAAATACATTTCATGTTGACAAGTGTTCTTAGCCTTTTCCCTTTGAAGCTGTCTTTTCTTTCTAAGATGCACGAATGTAAAAAATATAAACAGTACTTTCCCTTTCTACTGTAGTATTTTATAACAACAGGAAAACAATCTTTTTTCATTCCAATCTACACCAGTAATTGGTACCTTCATGCTCTTTCTTCCTTTCTTCGGAGATTTACAAGTCATATTCTTTAATCATATTTCAAATTTGACCAAAATCCTAAACTATGAACCAGCTAGTTAAAGAAAATATTCGCTACTTCCACTAGCTTGGTATGTAATTTGACGTAGTAGGTTGTTTGAACTTTGATAATGATTATGATAATCCGACTCACCTAAGTGCAATCATGAATCATTTGTTACAACCTGCTGAATGATAAAACTTCTTCTACAGAAGAACTCCGGTTGTTTTTGTTTCAAACTTCAAGTTAAAACCAGCCTGACGTTGCTAATTACAAGGATCATTAGATGTACTGTTTTTTCTCTTTTGCAGCTAACTTTTGCAGCAGTGGTTAGCCAAAGATTAAGCTTTTTCTGAAAAATTTCATCTCGTTCACTAAATGTCAATTCGAAGGAACTGATTTTTGCTTTCCTACCATGCTAAGTTAGTATTTGAAACCCTAACAAGATGCTAAGGCTACGAAATCGAATGTAATTTTGAAATCTCCATTTTTTTTAATCTGTGGCGACACCTCTGCACTGTGCAGCCTAATCAATGTAGATTATTCTACGCAGCTTTGCGAAGATACCTGCCCGTTGTAGTAGCTATGCCTGTAGCATCCTTAAAAAAATGTTTCCTAAAGGCATGTAACAATCATTACAACAATAGACTGTAATCCTTTACAAAAACGGCACTTGATTAGGGCAACTGGGTGTATGGGTTATTCTGCCCCTACCAACCCTATTGCCCCCACTAGCCTAAAGCATAAGCCGTATCCAGAGTGCCTTTGGTTGAAAGGGGGCATGTAAACCCTTTGTTTGGTCTGTGTTTTGAGTGTGAATTGGGCGTATTCATGCATGGATACGGAACTAATTATTAGTCTGTAACAATACGTCAATTTTGGTCTGTAGCAATACGTTAATTTTGTTCTTTCTGGGCTTCTGCATTTTATAAAAAACATGACCCTTTAGCAAAGTTATATTTGCAAGCTATGGATGCGATCCCATACCTTGCCCCACGCCAAGAACCTGGAAATGTTGAACAAATTCTTGAATATAAGTTGAAGTATCCACTTTTAGACTGTTACCATTTGAGTAGTCTGAGCCATCAAAGACAGAAAACCCACATCATGCAAATATTTTCTCTTGCTCAACCTTTGCATCTTACCAAGATAGAAAAATTCTTACCCAGACAAGGCTTAGAGCGATTAAAGAATCTTTGGTGAAAATGAATCCTTAAACAGCTTTTTGTTGACCTCAAGAAGATAACAACGTAATTCTTCTGATTTATTTTTTCGTTTGATTGGTAATATTGGTAAAAAGAGATAAAGTTACGACTTGGAATCCGCTAAAGACTATTTAATATTAAACACTAGTTAAAATACTAAATATCATCCTTGTTAATCAAATCTTTTAGTAAATATAGCGAAAAATAGTTTTGTCAGAGCCATACAACTTCCATAATGTTTCCGTAGAACTTTGCTCTGAATTCCTCAACAGCATTCTTTTTATTTTAGACTAAAACCCAAATATTGTACAATTCCTTCAGCATTTCAAAAATTTCAAGCATTATTTCAATTTGGTTTATCGTTTAAGTCAATCAAACTTGATCAAAGTGTATATGATTTCTCAGCATTTTACTGCGCTCCAAAACATAATTTCAAGTATGCATCTATTTCTCATTTGATGTTCGTATTTTGAAAAATGGTCTTTTCTAAAAGATTCATCTGTTTTCTGGTATTGATTTTAATTGTTAAGCCCTGTTAACAATATCTAAAACGTATTAACAACAAAATAATATTGAATAATTTGAATTAAAAGAAAGAACCTGCAGTCTCTAAATGGCATGTTTTTTCTGTGAATGTCTATAAAAAGAAGTGCACATGCTCTTTCTTCAGTGTATTATCTGTCCTTATGCTTTAGTATATCCACTTAGAGAAAATGTCACTGACACATTTAGTTGTATATTGCAACTGCAACATTGACACAATAATACACTCTAATCTGATCCAAGATCTTGTAATTTAGATAGGCATATAACTTCCTGTTCGTAGCCATTTGAGCCTTAATCTCAGTTCATGGTGAACATATAGCTTGAATTTAAGGAAAGAAGGAAAGCTTCGGTAAATAAGTTAGATTGTTGTGTATAAGATATGCCTTTTTTTCGAAACAGAGAAAAAATATATGTGCACCCGGAGATTCAAAATGGGGTTTTACAGTTGTGACTTTTGCTTGGTGCTCACTAAATCACGTTGCTTTCACTATCCAATGGCGTTCGAGTGTTGCCCTTGGCAAGATATTCTTATCTTTTCCTGACGTAATGAGCTTGATATGAAAAATACAAATTGTAAGCATCTTCTTGTTTAAGATTACAGGTTGTTTTTCCAATCGATTTACTAATATATATTCTTACCAAGGAAGATTCAAGCAAAGTAGAGTCGGGGGTCTCCTTCTGGGAATGCTCAATTGAATAAGCGCCTGCCGCTGTCCTAGCAATATCATATAGCCACCAGAGAATTGAACACCAGTAAAAAATTACAAGCATCATACGGATAGCTGCAACCCAACTCACCACAGTATGAGAAGAAGCTACAGGCTATGTAAAAATAACTATGAAATAATGATCGTCGATTTAGTAGATAACAGTAAAATTTGATAATAAAATTTTTCGTGTGAAAACAGACCCATTGCAGGGCTTGAAGTGGGCTTCTGTCTTCTTTATAAAGGACCATATTTTCTACCAAACAAAGGGGTCAAACCTCTTTTTTGGTGTTGTGAATCCTGATCTACTTTGATTTTTTTATGAAACGTGAATCAACTCATGAAACAACAGCACACATCCCATGAAACGGGGAAAAATTGCTTTTTAATAGAAAAGTGAACTTCATTTCAGCAAACGAATGCAAAACGTGCTCCAACTGCCTGAAAACAAAACTTTGTTTTGAATATTTAGTGAACCTTTAATTATCCTAATTGCATTGAGTTTTTGCTTATTTCAAAATAAACAAGAACAAATTTGCTTTATACGTTGCAAGCAGGGAAATTTTGCCTCAAGCCTCAAAGGCAAAAAAGGCTCAAAACACAATCAAATTATTGTTAGAAATTCATACTTCTGAATTCTCGTTTTAGTTGCCTGAAAGATGTTTAATAATTTACCAGGTAGCCCCGTAGTGCATTTTTGAATTAATACCATGACACTCATTCGGCAATAAGACAACGAGGTTTATTTGACAAGAACAATTGGAGCAAACAAGGCATCTTGCAGAGAAAGGTCAATCGCTAACCCCGGCGCTGCAGTCCACCCACAGTGCCACGCCCAGAAATGCATAGATTAGCAAAATAATCATACTGGTACTCGATACATAATATCCTGAAAGACTTGGGAAAATCATCTTTAACTCTTGTTCTATCTGATGAGCATGTGGTATTCATCAAGGCATGAAGATTGAGGCTATTTTCAGCGCTGTTGTCATATGAGGTAAGTTTTGATTGCTTGATAATTTTGATAGGTTTTGATTAAATCTACTGTAAAATGGTAGGCAGAAACTGTTAAGCAGATGCAGCGACACAAAGCTGTTTCCTATATTTTCCTTTCTGCCTTTCCCAAGACTTCCCTACAGCTTAATCTGCTTTTTGTTCTGAAACTTTCAGACAAATCTTTTACTGTTTGTGTCTAAATGTATCTATCTAAAGAGACGAAGTAACGGCTGAGGTGACAAATACTTTTTCAAACATTTTGTTCCTAGAACGATGCACAGCTTACTTTCCTTGATGTTTCTTATCCATGGCTGTTTTACTAGACTGTGTCTATTGGGGCTTTATGTATACAGCCTATGTAATCAGCCTACTTTGATAACACATTGGATGGGGCTGATATGTGATTATCTAAAAGGTCAAATTGCTGCAAAAGAACGATTAAGCGCTTATTTAGGCTTACTGTCCGGATAACCACCACATTGCGCCCTTGGGCGCTTATTTCAACAGGGATGCTTGTTCGGACATGGGTTATATTAAAACATTTGTGTCTAATGGTGACCAATTATTTGAACTGGGCTCTTGTAAGTTGTGGGCGCTAATTTATTTAATTTTTTAGCATGTTAAAGATTAGATGAATTGCTCATCACAGACATTCTTCAAGCAAACGTTCTAAATGATTGCATCTTCTACCCCCGAATTAAATTAGTTTTAATTCTTTCTTCAGTCCGTCCTGTTGGACAATTAACATATACCTTACAGTGAATCTTTTTTAATACTTTAATAATCAGAATCTAAATATTTTTCTCCAAACCTAGCCAACAACCAACAAACTTTTTCGTTCAATAAATACGTTGACGTAATACCCAAAGCTCTAAAGTTTTCAAGCAATTTCTGTGACCGTGAAAATTTGCAAAGAAAAAATAAGAAAGTTAGCAGAGACTTACCCTTGTTGCATAAAAAAAGTCACTGCCATTTGTAAAATGTGGCTTTTTTTCTTTTGTATAGTAGCTTTCAAGCCCTGATAACATATTGTAAGTTTTTTTATGAAAATCATAGCCTGTAAATCATCAATGTCACAGCATTAAAGTTTTCCGAGAACATTGCAAATTGGCATGGATGTACCGTCGATTATGAGGTGATGTTTCTTATCTTCCAGTAATATTGATTTGATAAATATTAAACATTATTACTGTTTGCTTTCCTGGTAGACAAGGTAACAGCTGTCAAAATCTTGTTTCCCACCTTACCAAAATGATCTCGATAGTTTTACACTTTCGAGCATAGAGCCATCGATACTAAAGGAATATTTTTTATCGTAACTTAAATTCTGAATCTTCGGGCTCAAAAATAATAGAAAAAAAAGATAATAGTAACAAACAACTAAATCAACATCTTAAACGAAGAGCCTTGATAATTTTTTAACTTTGCAGCAAGTTCAGAAGACAAGGAACTTCAATACTGTTCATGCTTTGTCCAACTAAATGTTATCTAAAGTTTGAAAATGCCAAGAATCTGAAAAATGAAACCTGGTGTCATTGCTTGTCAGGTCACAGTATATTAGACATTTGATGACTGCTTTCACAATTTCATAACTGACTAAGAATATTTCAAAAGATTATTAGTAAAGGCAATAAATCGTGTTAATTTGTTATCTACAAGAATGTTTATAATTTAGAATTAGTTGGGCCGTATTAATTATATATTCAGTTGCAAAAAAACACATATTTGACAGAAATATTTCTTACTAGAATTTTGGCCTTGTTCAAAATACTGACAAACTCCAATGGACTATTTCTTCGCCTCCCTTGCCTGGTGCATGCAGATTTCACGATATTTGAAGTTGATTGGTCCCTACAAGGAAGCCTGTTGGCAACAATACAAGGTATCCATGATGCAGACTGCACGTTGGAATGTGTAAAGCATCCTAAATGCAAATCATACAATATACAGAATGTCACTGCAGTTTGTGAGCTGAACAGTAAGATTGCTGGTGAAAATGGAAGTAGTCTTGTTCAAAGACCTGGCTGGGTTTACAAGTCAACAGATTACAACCAGACAGAGGTTGGTTAGATGCTAAATCTAAGCGATTTAATAAATTTTTTTTGTGTTGGAGATTCAAACGATGTTATATTGAAGTTAGATATTGACATCTCACATGTAAGATTATGCTGAATTCTAACAAATTTCGAATGTTCATAAAGAAATAACGTTTGTGGACATTTGCATTGCGATATTTTTATCTTTTGCCAGGTTGGAGAAACCTGCCAGAAGCTTCATCCATGCCCGCGTGGCATTCTTTGCAAAGAAACATGTCACCATCCTTACTACGAATGCGTCCATTGCGATAGTCAACACTATGGGTTATATTGTGACAATCTCAAAGGTTTGCTGGCCTTATCACTCTGTAAATCATAAATCGACGTGTCATGTTAAAATTAATAAATTGAATGGATATATCTTGTATAATAGCAAAAACCCCTGACAATCTTTAAACTAAAAGCAGTTTCTGCTTGTGTACAAGAATCTTAGTGTCTTATTTGAGTAAAAACAGTATGAGAATGACAATGAGAATTAGCAAGAATGACCGATTGTTTACCTCGCTGGTATAAATCATGTAGGTACTTTTTTATTTCACAAAGCAAAGCACAATAAAACATTGTCTCTTGCATCTTTGCAACATTTTACAAAGTTTCAAACTGCGTCATAAGTAAGATATTGGTCTCTCGTAATCCAAGTTTATGGACCTTTTTCTGTACTTAAGTTTGTGTATCTTTTTCTTGAATCTCGAATGGGTTGTTTCAGGGGCAGCGGAAAGTGCTATTATTGCGATTACTTTAATAGCAAATTTAAGAAAAATGTAAAATGCCGAGAAAGGATTTGTGATGGATATCTTGTATCATTTTGCAAGAAAGCTTTGATTCTTTTTTTACCCAGAAGATAGCTGGGTATTACTCTATGATAAACTAATTTTCTAATAACTCATATTGTTTGAGATGTGCCAAACGCTGTTAGGCATTTGAAATTATATCTAATATTCCAGAGTTGAATTCTTCCATCTCTCCTTCAATACCGCCATTAGTTATTTCAATTTGTCCGAGATGTTTGAGATCGGAAACTGCAAACCTTGAAATAGATACCAAAGTGCCCCTAATTTAATTTATATTGAAAAAATTACATTTGCAGAACTGGACAACTGCAAAAGTTTTCCTTGTAAAAACGGTGGGAACTGCAGAAGTGTTGGGCCAACTTTCAAATGTGAGTGTTTTCCTGGCTATAAAGAAAAGACATGCGAGATTGGTAAGTAAAAAATTGAAATTAGGGGGAATGAAGAGTATTCAATCATACATATAATGCATAATGAAAGCAGACGCAGTTTTAAGTGTCGACGAACTTTTGCAACACTGAAGAATGATAAGACACATAAAAATTGTTAAGATCAATTCTACAATGACTGATTCGTTTTCGGTTCGTTTATAGATATTGATGAATGCAACTCCCTTCCATGCTTTAATAGTGCAACCTGTCAAGATTTGATAAACGATTTTCAATGCACATGCGTACCTGGCTACACAGGAAGACATTGTGAGACAAGTGAGTTAAAGTCATTTGATTCGAAGACATTATATATTGCAAATTATGTTCGCCTCAGGTAGCAAGAACAGCAAAATGAAAGTAGCAATTTCACCATGTTATTGGTATTCTAAAAGCACTCGCTCTATATAAAATATCAGATCTGATTGTTTAATCAGATGAAACTCTTGCATTTACATCAAAAGATTCAATGAATGGAGAGTTAACGATGAAGAGTTAACGATGTCCCATTTTTGCAAACTATGCTCGCCTCAGGTGGCAAGAACAGCAAAATGAAAGGAGCAATTTCACTATGTTATTGGTATTCTGAAAGCACTCACTCTATATAAAATATCAGATCTGATTGTTTAATCAGATGAAACTCTTGCATTCACATCAAAAGATACAATGAATGGAGAGTTAACGATGAAGAGTTGACGATGTCCCATTTTCAGTTTCTTTGAGAAATTATTATTACAGTAAATGAATTATTCAGTATAAATTAACTCTGTGATATTGTAACTTTGATGAATTATAAGTAAATAAACAAGATTGTTCTTTCTTAGACATCGATGAATGTGCTAGTGTTCCTTGCAAAAATGGAGCTACTTGTATTGACAGAGTCAATGGATATTTATGTCAATGTGCACCTGGATACGAAGGAGCCTTTTGTGCAATAAGTAAGAATTTAGTCACAGCATACTGTTCATGTGCTAATTTTCTAATAAACTGAAAATGCAATGCTTTAAGCTACAGTGCATGCATAGCTGGACAATATCAATGAAAAACATTTTCAAACCGGGAATTTAGAATTTTTGACGTCATAATTAGAAGTCCATCGCATGTGCATTGAGAAGAAGTACAAAGTACTCTGTTCTTTGTCAGATAATTGGCTAGCATCATGACAATGAACACGGCATGTGAAAAATGGTTCTTTGCCACATTTTTATGAACAAAAAGCTGCTACCATATTAGTTAACTTTTTATATTCAATCTTACTCTTCATTTTCATCCCATGGCATTTAAGAATGGGTTGTTAGATTAGATCTGAATAGCTCTTAAAACTAAATTGCAAACAAACCGGTTTGTTACTTTTCAGATATCGACGAATGCATGAGCAGTCCATGTCAAAATGGTGGAACATGCCATGACGAAATAAACAGATTCCGTTGCCAGTGTTCTCCTGGATATACCGGCGCTCTCTGCTCTACAGGTATGCAAACGACTTGATATAAAAACTGTATTCTTGAAACCTCGCTTGAGCAGTAGCTTTCAAAATTACCCAAAGTAACTTTAACTAAAGATGATTTTCATTGGCAGATAGCAATCCTTTTTTGACTTATACTCTCTTTCAACAGCTCTGAAAGGCTCAGTGTATTATCAAAAGATAAATATGTTCTCTTCTATTTGTGCAGAAATCAACGAATGTGATAGCAATCCTTGTCAAAACGGAGGGAAGTGCAGCGACCATCTAAATTATTTCTCCTGCCAATGCATTCCCGGATTTACAGGAACAGCATGTGAAATAAGTAAAGTACTTCTAAATATTACTTCTAAATATTACAAATCCAAATCCAAATCCAAATTGTTGAATTTCTCGTACTATTTTGTGAACTTCTAGTTCCAAGAAAAGGCCCAAAATTGCATTTTTATGCTATTAGTGTTTATAGAAGTCAAACAGATTTATAAAGGGTATAAAGTATCTGGAGAATGCAAAGGTTGCAAATAACTATCTTTGCCCATTTGACAAATTGTGTATTTTTTCAAGATATCAATGAATGCCAAAGTAGCCCTTGCCTCAACGGAGGAACATGTATTGATAAAATCAACAAATACAGCTGCCAATGTGCTCCTGGATTCTATGGAGCAAAATGTGGTGCAGGTAATGATCAGCACTACTGTGCTGTTGTTTTTCACCTTAAGAGCATCTCTATCCTGCAGGCGTAAAGAGACCGTGTAATCGAAAGAGGCTCCTAATAGCTGTAAAGTTTGGATTTTGGAATGTACGGTTAAGGCAGAAGCAGAAATCATTCTTCTTGGGTGTTTTGATAGCGGCAGTAAAATCAAGACCTCTTTTTGAGTCATCAAGACCCTTATCTATTCCAACAATAAAAATACCAGAGTAAAGAAAAAAATTTCCATAGACATATCGAACTCTCCCGTTGTTCTGGGTTTTTTTCATATCAAATGGTCCTATTAACAATGAAATAAAATAGCATTTGATTCACAAACCTATTGTCTCTAGAACTTTATTTAAAAATGCTTGTCTGCAACATAGCGTGTCTTCCGTTACGATCCTTACTTACACCAGAGTGAGCGGTTGTCTGTTCAACCAATTCATTGGTTGGTTGTTCAGTTGTTCAAGCTGGTAAGTACAATGTTGCTTGTTAGTTGGTCGAGCGCGCTGTTTGCAAGTGACATCGAGTTTGGTTTCCTCAGAAGATAATAAGCACACAATTACACGCTTTCTTATAAGGAAGCACTTAACAAGGAACCTACGTGTAGAATGCAGTAAAAATAAAAGAACAGTTTGTGCTAAAGACAAATGTTTATCATAGCAACAAGAATGAGATAGCTAGTTCCATTCATTTAGTATTAAAAATAACAGTAATAGTGTGTTATGAAGTTAGCTATCGAGTGCTCTGTCGTGTAATTACGAGTGTTTCACTCTCCTTCTTGAGTGAATTTTCTCTTTTCCATTTATCAAACACAGGGACGTCACTTTTTTGGGGGGGTGTAAACACTATTGCCCTGCAAAATTTTTCCTGTAAAAAAAGTATAGATGCACTGTACTTATGCATATATTACATAAGTACATATATTATTTTCAAAAAGCAACACAAATCAACAATCGCAATAAAAAAAGTCAATAATTAGTCTACTTTCACACTAATTTACTTAATTGAAATTCTTCTCATTTTTTTCATGCCATACTTTTAATACTTCATCAAGTGGGATAGTGTCTGTTAGGTCTTTCTCACAAGCAAGTAGAATGAGATCATTCAATCGTTCATCTTTCATCCTTGATCGCAGCAAATTTTTAACAATCTTAAGTTTGCTAAAGGTTCGCTCGTCTTTAGCCACAGACACAGGTGCTGTAAGAAGAAGGCTGTAGCATTTGTAAACCGTTGGGAAAAGTCGTCTGTTTTCATATGAAAATTTGGCAGCCTCTTTGACGGAAGTTGGCTGGATCTGTTGCTGTTCAATCATTGACTTAAAAACATCTAGCTCACATAATATAGCCCCTGCTTCAATATGAAAGCCTGGTGGGAAAAGCTTTCAAAGATCGTGGACTGTTTCTGGGTTTATCGTTTTGAGTGGTGGCTGCAACGCCATTGCCAATGGCTCAATTTTTTTTAAGCATGCCTTGATATTTTCACCATACTCTGCTATCAGAGAATCGAGAACAACACACATTTCTGTTCTGTAGAAGGAATTAAATTTAAATTCCGCTGATGTTTCTGGGCCGTTGTCAATCTTTCTTGGCTGCAACCTGAGTCGATATTTCCACTAAACTCAGCCGCTGAATCTATTCCATGCTGTTTAGCGCACTCGTTTAGAGCATCCAACTCTTCATCCATAGCCTTGTTATCAATGCGAATCTTCTTAAGATTTTCTACTGTTGCTTCAATTAACTTCATCGCATCTAAGATGTTAAGCTCTTCTGCTTGGAGTTGCATCGTCAAAATCTTTGTTTTCTTCATAATTAATCTCATGAACATCAATGCAAAAAGAAAGTCAAATGACAGACACTTTTTCTTTATGTCTTTACCCTTCACTTTTACCCTTCATTTCTGTGCTGTCGTCACTGACAACTTTTTCAATTGCTTTGAGTATGCTTTGTAAACTTCGCCACACTGCTTCTATTGACTCTGAAGAGTAGACCCATATCGTTTTAGACATGTTGCGGAGTTTCAAGGAGTACTCATCAACTTCTTGAACTTCTTTATTGTAAATTTTGTTTCGTTTGAAGCTGGCACTGAAGAAAACATATATATCTTGAAGATTATCGTATATCGACGTAATTATGGCACTTTGTTTTGCACAATGCTCTTTGAAAGTATTAGATCGATGCCCTTGACATGGAATGTACGGGACTGGTCTTTCAAGAATATCTTGTAGAACCCTCTGTGCCCCTGCAATTCTCCCAGACATATTATTTACGAAATCGTATTTTTGGAAGCAGAGATACTTCACATTAATTTCATTTGCTTCCAGACACTTGAGAATACATTCTGCTGTCTCATCTCCATGTTTGTCATTGCACTCTTTCATTTCCACGACTCTCTCGCGCGCAATTCCATTTTCACCAATATATCTTGCAGCCACAACCATTTGATCCTTATTGCTAACATCGGGTGTTGTATCGGCCAAAACCGACAACATTTTTGCACACTCAATCTCATATTTTATTCTTTCTCTAACATTCTCCCCCCAGATCTCTAAAAGTTCATTTTGTGAACTAGAATCATGTATTTCGTACTGAAAGGCTTCAATCGTTTGCTATCAAGCCATTCTTTCATCTGTAGACAGTGCCTGGACAGAAAATTCACAAACTGGACAAAATTGCCGTTCTGGTCTCCTGCGGAGCCTCCGAAAGCAATTCCTTGCCTTGCCAATGTTCTAGCAATATCAAACAAAATGTTCATTATCGATTTGCATTTTTCTTCGTCAGCCTTCTCCTGAATGATGATGTCCTTCAGATGCCTATTCATTTGAATGTCAATATGTCCTTGTTCAACTGAAAACCTAGCAAAATCAGCCAATGCTGCTTGGTGTGCTTCAGAAGAAAAATGCTGAGGAAGCTTGCCACTTTTCATTTTATGCCATGATGCGATACCGTTTATCCAAGCAGTGTCACTTTTTCTTCGCGAGGGGCACGGAAATAAGAAACTCACTTTACAATACCACAAAAAATCGGAAAAACTAACATATGTTTTGGATTTGATAAGAAAGTAAAATGAACTAAGATATTTTGTGAAACTTGATTTCTAATCTCTTTTGTCCTGCGAGAACTACTAATTCCTTCTGCTTTGCCCTGCAAAATGCTGTTTTTCAGGATTGGGGGGGTGAAACACCCCCCAAACCCCCCCAATAGTTACGTCCCTGATCAAACATTCTTTCTAGTCTTCTTACTGTTTTTTCACCTTGTTTTATAGCTACAGTTAAGAATCTAACGAGACTTATTCGGCATTTTAATGTACTATGTGTAATTTTTATGTGCAGTTAAATTAAGAAACTCTTAAGGAACTTTTAGCATAACAATTTGATAAAAAGACGTTCAAAAAGAAGGAACTTCAAGAACGAAGTTCTTTATAAAAAAGAATGCAGTTTTCACGTGCGCTTTTCGTCCAGGAAAGTAGAATTTTGTCTTTCACTTGGTCTTTCTTTCTTCTTGGAATCATATTTCGTGTAGAATGATCGATTAAGATTAAGCTGCCACCATAATGCCAAATAAAAATCTAAAGATGATGTTTATATTAAAAAAATATGAAAGCTTGTTCTCAACCGACACTTTACTATTCATTAACTTGATTTTCGACAGAGATAAATGAATGTCAAAGCAGCCCATGCCAAAATGGAGGGACATGCAATGATGAAGTAAATAGATATTCATGCCGATGTTCGACAGGCTATACTGGCTATAACTGTGGACGAGGTACGAAAAAGTCTCATTGTAGCTGAAAATGATTACAAGTTTATTACCTTATAATCTGTGTAGGTTGCTAAAGGTGTTAATATCAAAAGTGAAAAAGCAGGGTTAAGAAGAAAAAGTATAGAAAAAGAAAGCCTGTCAAATTCAACTAAAAAATTGGTCATGAATTAAATTGAAGAATACCATACCTAACCTGGAGTCCAAATGTAAGAAAATATAGCTAAAAGGGCTCAAGTTCGAATCTTTTTCAACTCATTCTTCAGGGAGGTAATAGAAATGGAGAAGATTTTCTAGAAAGTTCAATAGAAACAACTACTTTATATATCAGTACAAAATTGACGATTTAATTGCGTCACTTACTAGGCTATTACAAAGCTTGTAAGATACAATAATCGAAAACGCCTGGGTGAGATACTGGAAAGGCATATTCTGCTAATCTAGCGAAGTTTTTATTTCTTTCTCAATATTTAACTTATGAAATATGTTTGATTTATATGCATCAAAATTTCTGTTTCTTATGTAGACCCTCAATCAAAAATTAAGGAAATAGTGAAAAATTTGAAAATTATCAGAGAGAAACCTATGAACCGTAACATATCAGGATATAAGCAAAGCTTATTCTAAAGCCAAATCTACCTTAAGATAGACTGTATAATCTACTTAGGGTAAGAAGTGTAATAAAAATAACATAATAAGTTAAAACACTTAGTGTCTCGTTTCTAGATGAAAATTTTTAAAAAGCCGCGAGAAAACAAATGTGATTTTTCTCATAAAAGGATTGCCACTGAAAAAACTAAAAGCAAATCTTTTTTTCTGACATTTTGAAAAAGGCAATAGCCCTTTTTATACAAGTTTCCCATTTCTTTTGGTAAGTAAAAATGACAAATACTAATGATCATTATTGACAAGGTAAGTTCAGATACACAAACACTTTCTGTTTCAATTCAATAGTCTTTAAATCAGTATCAGTATTTTCAAGCATGTTTGCTTTCTTATCTAAGATTATTAGCATAGAACAGGGAAGTTCTAAGGTGCTACTCTGAGTTTTAGGCTTAATGCGATCATCCGGTTGCGCGTACACCCCTGCGTTTACGGCATGGAACACTTTATGACTGTCTGATGAGCAGTACTTTGCATGACTTTAAGGCTGATTATTAAACTGAAAGCTCATCAATTTACGGCATCATTTATAGAAATCAACGAATGTGCTAGCTACCCGTGTCTGAATAGAGGGGTATGCACTGATCACTTCAACAGATATACCTGTCAATGCAGACCTGGCTTCACTGGAGTTCGCTGCCAAAAAGGTACGTTGACTGCTCATCAACTTGCTTAACTAACATAAGATCTTTATCTTCCGTGGCTTTGGTACGCTTGTTGAAGTTTAAAACAATTTTTTTAAAATACCTCAATTACATCATGAGCTGAAACATCATTAATTCTAAAACCTGATACATGCTAAAATAGACAAGATAAAAGTTGAGTGAAATATCTTTAGTACAGAGCCGGTGAAATATGCGTCGTACATATATTACATGATGAAACGCAATGTGCTACTAATCATATCGTAGCGTGATGCTAGGACACATTATGCCTTACAAATGGAAGCGTTTGTGTAACAGGACCGCCTTGTACACTAGATTTCACCATTCACTTTGGCCTGTATTTTTGTTTTTGCATAGGGGTTCGTTTTTGCATCACAATATTGTAATCAGTGGCGTACCCAGGGCCGCAGAAGCGGGGAGGGGGGGGTCTGGGGCGTAGCCCCCATAAATTTTTTTGGGCCACGCCCTTAAAACACTCGCAAATGCGGGGAAACGCCATTTTGCAAAATTTTCCCCCATTATTTGATTCATTTGAGCTACGGTAAATAGCAAAGTATTTTACAATTGTTATTGACACAAGCACACTGTATACTCCCCCCCAATGAGTTTTACATCGTTTTTGGACAAATCTCGAGGACCATATTTTGGAAAAGTGGGGGTCCAGACCCCCTATTCCCCCCCTTGGGTACGCCACTGATTTTAATGCGTTTCTGTACCCGGACCGAAACGCATAAAGTTACCGAAACGCATATGGCACCGGAAGTAATTTTGGCTACAGTCCAGCATTGTACCTGACTCTTAGAAATATGAAGGGAGCAAAACTCTTTGATTACCCTTTGATCGTGTCCGGGTACCTTGAAATCATTTCATGAGTATCTTGGTATGAGAAGCCAATTTTTGTTCCTCAAAAATTTATGACTGTTCCTTCGATAGAAATATTGCTCAAAAAATAGATTTGAGCCGTACCGCTTTTATATACCTTAAAAACTGGCAATAAGCACATTTTTCTGTTGAACTGTTACCTCCTGTATCAAAACTCTATTAAATCGTATTAAAAAGCTTCCGTGCCTTAATATTAAATTGTCAAAACCTTCTCACGAACCTTATTACTTCTTACGAACCTTATTTAACTTTATTACTTGAAAATCAATCATGGACCTGATCATTAGTATTGGGTTAGCTTCTCTTTGATGCCTTTTGAAATGTACGTTTCATATAAAATGCTTATGAATAGGTCACAAGGCTGTTATCTTCGCAAGCCCTCAAATCTAGGAAGCTCCTTTCCAATTAGCAGATTCACGTAAAAATGAGACACCGAGAGAAGTATGCTGTCCATTTCCTAGAGAAGATTGATTGCTAAGATCTATGCTAAAAATTTGGCTTCGACTATATTACAGGTCGTATGAAGAAAGTTATCAAAGGGGAAGATAAATATCATATTTTGGGAGTGCAAATTAAAGTAATACAGTATTTGTAACTTCCAATCATTGATAAACATTTGGAATTCATAATTTAACACATGTTTTCCAGTTTACATCCTATTCATTTTTGGTCGTGATTATAATGAATAAATTTTTGTCAGATATTGACGAATGTGCAAGTCATCCTTGTCAAAACGGAGGAACATGTCATGACTTGGCTAATTACTTCATATGCACATGCCCATTTGGATACTATGGGTCAACATGCTCCTTGTAAGTAAAATAGAGAAATTTGTTCGCTTGCATTTTGCTCTGTGTGGCGTAATCTTCAAGTCTATATAAGAACATTGAAACTTTTATAACTGAGGGACATGACGCCAAGATAATATCATTTCCAACTTCATTTTCACAAATAACTATATGATAAGATAGATAACAAAGGAATCAGACTCTCCCCCTCTAGAAAAAGTGTTTAGTCACTCAATTTAAAAAAAAATAATTTACTCTAATGATACGTAGTAAATACATCAATGAATGAACAAGGTGTTACACACAACACCACCCCAATCGCTAAGCACATTAGGTGAATGTCAGATGAAAGATGATTTTTTAACTTTCAGACGTTCCGGCAAAATGCTTTAAATCGCCATGTGCTTTGCCTTCATTTCAAAAATGCCCATGTGCCCCATTTATGGTTTTTTAAATTTATCTTTGTTCAAAAGTTGAAAATTGTTTAGCATATAATTTACAAAGAGGAAATAACATAAAAATTTTCATTCATCGATAGACTTTCAACGGCTCGAAGCCGAAGATGGAGAGGCAGAAGAACAAGAAGAGGAGCAAAGTAACTGCTTTGCGTTGTGAACTTTCCAAAAATGAATTGCTTATTGCAAATAAATATTCAACAGCGAAACTAAGAAACCTCAAATAAAATGTGGCCATTAATCTTAATTGCTGTACGATAGGATTGCACTAGGCAGGGCCGCCGAGAAGGGGGCAAGGGGGAAGTTCTCCCAGGGCCTTGAGGTATAGAGGGAATCATGAAGTAGTGAATCTTTTTTTTAAAATGGAATCGATTGAAAGTAAAGAAAAATTGTGCCTGAAGAAGTAAGATATTTTATTCGAATTAATGAATTTGAGCTAATGTGAAGGGCGTGCTTGCAGAAATTTTTAGGGGGCCTCGTTTTCAAGTTTTGCCGTCAGTCAAGTCAGGGTCTCCGAAACATCTCGGTAGCCCTGACAATTGTATGTATCACCTACTTTAAAATCAGACAGTCATTTTGACTTTTATCCTAATTAGTGAATCTTTGACACCAAGCAATGATGATCGCTCAACTTATGACTTTGAATATGGTAGATAAAAATGAAAACTTTTATTTCCTTTTTACACGATACCATTAAATAGAATATATGCATAAAAAACTTTGTTGAATGGTCAACATATCAACTGGAAGAAGGTACTTGCTTTTATTAATCTACTTCAAGTTAATGCATGATCTTGCAATACGATTCTTCATACCGATCAATGTTTATTATTTGTTAATGTTAATCATGCATAAAAATTTTACAGCATACCATTGTTAAATAGGACTGCCAGAGGACCTGAAAAATATGTCTTTTACTTGGCCAATGTCCTGTTAAGCGAATGTCCAAAGTTGATAATGGACGTCCGCGGGACCGGAAATATCTCCCCCACTCAACAAAAGTACCACATAACAAGTCCCACTTCTTCAGGGTCTCGCTTATCGAGAGTACACTGTACTATCAAGTCTAGATTAAACTTTAGTTACGCTACACTGTACGAACACACGAAGCAAATTTGTTGTTGAGATGTGAGAGGCAGTTTGATCAACTGTTGGCTTACCTGTTGCCCCCAAAAGTTGGTCCAATGTAGATAAATCTAGCTTTTCTTAATTTCAAAATTAATGTATATATTGTGCAAATACAGGTCTTATTGTGACCAACAATGCTATAGATCATCAACTCTTCTTTTTCGAGTTGTTGTATATAATGTGCACATTCAAGAGCAAGCTTACTTTACAAAAATATTAAGAAATATTGAAGTCGTAATATCTAGAGAAATAGTTGGGAATAGCAATGGAATGTTTAGAGAGGAAAATGTGCATATTCAACCCTATGTAAATTAAATATATGCAATTTTTTAATTCACCGTCATAACAAAGCATCTCATATGAAATTAACAAAGAATAAGATAAGCAAAAGAAGATTAACTAGAATTTTATCACAAAAGGGATGGCAGTGCGTTTTTGATGTATAAGAATGCTGAATATTAACTCAAAAGGAACATTTTGACAAAAGAAATAGATGTCAAAGAAGCTTTCCTGCAGTTTGAAAGAAGAAGGAAAAGGGACGTTGAAATAAAACGCTTATCATTACAAAAAAAAGTGAGAATCTAAGTTTGTTACGACCAGGAGCTAAAGTTTATACCGTAGACAACAGAAAAACTAGAGAGAAATGGCGATGTGCATGAAATTTATGATCTTTCAGCAAATAAGTTTATGCATAAGCATTGCATTTTGCTGAATTCTGGGATAGGGATTTTAAGCTGAAGAAACTTAAGATTAAGTTTAAGAAACTAATTTTGAAAATAGCCCGAAAGAGCGGACACTCTATATTATACTTATGCAATTTTCGTCCGAAAAAGTTATACCTAAAATCTATTAGGCACGGTGCCACTGAGGGGCTGGGAGAGGGGTCTGAGGCCGATGAAAATTTGTTGACCGGCTCTTTTATTTTTTTTGAAAATAGGTTATATAATAGAATAAGAACAAAAACTGTTTATTAAATTGATAATTAAGTAATTTATTTTCAGGCTTGGAGATGCATTTTTATCCATTCTAGAAGGCTTAACTTCAAATTTTTCTTGCGTGTTGGACCAAAACCCGGTAGGTCCACTATGTCTCTAAACTTGATTTTTAGCCCCCTAGGTTAAATTTCGTGGCACCGTCTCTGTTTATATTCAGGTGCGGATCGAGATTAACACGAGAAAGCGGAAGGCCCCATTTGATTCTTTGTTTTGGACCAATCACAACCGCTTCTCACATAGGAAGATTCCAAGAGAGAAAACAAATTTCTGTGTCAGCAAGAGTCGGAATCCCTTGTTTTGTTGTAAACAGATTCCAAAACTCCTAAATGAAAAGACTAAAATTGAATCCTTTTTTTCATTTGAGCACAAGAATTTAGAATAACAGGAAAATCCACCAGCATTTACCAGGTAAATGGATACTGAAGCATTGCATGATATTGAAGCATAGTTTATACTGAAGCATTAATAACAACTAATGTAAAAACATGCTTGTCAATATTTGTAAGAACAAGTGGTTCCAGTTTCAGCATAGTGTTTCTTATTTTTTTCGCATAAATGTTTTTTTTCCCCAATTTTTAACTATTTTTAATGGAATTTCCTGTGCATAGTAGCGTCCGGAAAAATGCTCGATTTAGTAATTAATGCTATTTTGCATATTGATTTCTGTTTATATCTTGCTTTATTTTCTTTCTTCAATTTTTGCTAGTTATTTATCTCTTGAGTTTTGTTGAATTTCGGCCTGCCTTGTTTCTTATGTTGTTCTTATTTTTTGAGCAAATCTCAGCCTGATCTTTCGCATAAAGGGCTGGTCTTATAAAAAAGCGTGTAAATGTTTCGCCAGGATTTAATCGCATTTAGTTGTACATAAAATGTACAAAATGAAAAATAGGGTTCAATATCAGACATCTAAACGAAGCAGACATTTATTGAAAATTCTTTTGAATGTTGATAGAGATCACAGCATAAAAGACAAGTGGGTTCAAGAACAGTGCAGAGATATAGATCCAAATATGTCCGTGTACTAAAAACTCTTCAAACAATATACTAGTTGATATACACATTAATACAATACTTAAGCTTGAGTAACAATGAACATGTTTTCAAAGAACCCTTTCGAGATATTCCTAAGCTTGCTGTCTGTGTTTTCCCCAAATTTTTCAGAATGATATGACACTTTTAAAGTGGAGGAAAATTTTCCCAGGAGAAAATGTGTTTCAACTAAAGCTTTTTCTCTCAATTATCTGTCACGCTAATTATAAACAAGCAGGGCCTTTTTTTCATACTGAATAGGGGACAATTGCCGCTGCAGCCCAAGTGACTTGCAATTGCTTTAAACAATAAGCAATGGTCCTCTTCTTCATATAAACAGAGAATATTGTCATTTGAGCCGAGGTGAATCCATATTGATTTGTGAACAACTTTTTTCAAAGTTAACGAGTAAAAAGTGGAAAGTAAAAGCATAATGAAAGTATCTAGCAAATAATAGCTGAGGAAAGGGTAGCGGATTAGGGCGAGCGTGGCACTGACGTGGAAAGTCACATATTGATGTGACTGTGACTTACAGTAGGGATGGTGCCCTTTTATCATCTGTGAATCAATGCTGCAAACATGTTGCACGGTGATGGAAATGTTGGATTAAATGTTGGGTGAAATGTTGGATGCGTTTGACCACCCGCTTAAAAATAGCAACGAATTTTCTAATTTTTTGGGAATAATTGTTGGATGGAAGCCCCGGTCAAACCCATCCAACATTTCATACAACATGCAGAAAACCAATGTTGGAGGAAATGTTGGATGCGTTTGACCACCCATGTTGGGTCACCCAACATTTGCAAACTGATGTTGGATGAAGTTTGATCACGGTCAAAAACAAATTTTGATTTTCCATGTTGGATGTAATGTTGGATGCGTTTGACCACCTATGTTGGGTCACCCAACATTTGCAAACTGATGTTGGATGAAGTTTGATCACGGTAAAGAACAAATTTTGTTTTTCAATGTTGGAGGAAACGTTGGATGCGTTTGACCACCCATGTTGGGTCACCCAACATTTGCAAACTGATGTTGGGTGAAGTTTGATCACGGTCAAAAACAAATTTTGATTTTCCATGTTGGAGGAAACGTTGGATGCGTTTGACCACCCATGTTGGGTCACCCAACATTTGCAAACTGATGTTGGATGAAGTTTGATCACGGTAAAGAACAAATTTTGTTTTTCAATGTTGGAGGAAACGTTGGATGCGTTTGACCACCCATGCTGGGTCACCCAACATTTGCAAACTGATGTTGGATGAAGTTTGATCACGGTAAAGAACAAATTTTGTTTTTCAATGTTGGAGGAAACGTTGGATGCGTTTGACCACCCATGTTGGGTCACCCAACATTTGCAAACTGATGTTGGATGAAGTTTGATCACGGTCAAAAACAAATTTTGTTTTTCAATGTTGGAGGAAACGTTGGATGCGTTTGACCACCCATGTTGGGTCACCCAACATTTGCAAACTGATGTTGGATGAAGTTTGATCACGGTAAAGAACAAATTTTGTTTGTCAATGTTGGAGGAAACGTTGGAATGGCGTTGACCCACCCATGTTGGGTCACCCCAAAAACATTTGGCAAACTGATGTTGCGATGAAGTTTTATCAACGTCAAAAGAACAAAATTTTGTTTTTCAATGTAAGAGAAGAAACGTAAAGCCGATGCGTTTGACCACCCATGTTGGGTTCACCCCAAACATTTGCAAACTGATGTTGAACATTTGATGATGTTGGATGAAGTTTGATCACGGTAAAGAACAAATTTTGTTTTTCAATGTTGGAGGAAACGTTGGATGCGTTTGACCACCCATGTTGGGTCACCCAACATTTGCAAACTGAAGTTGGATGAAGTTTGATCACGGTAAAGAACAAATTTTGATTTTCAATGTTGGATGTAATGTTGGATGCGCTTGACCACCCGCTCAAAAATATCAACGAACTTTCTAATTTTTTGGGAGTAAATGTTAGATGAAATGTTGGATGCGTTTGACCAGGGCTTAAGGTATATCTGCAATATATTTAGTTTCCTATCCCTTTCATATATTTTCAATTTATACGACACAAGTTTTCTGTTAAACGATTTAACGATATTTGTATTGTTCGGCTCTTGGCAACAGAAAATCTCCCAGCTTTTTCACTTCGGCTTCAAATATATCACATTTTTTGCAAAAAAGTTAATAGACTAGAAAAGGATTAAAGTTTTTTTTTCTCAGTACAATTAAGACAGTCCAACTGTTTACGATAAATGAATCCCTTCAAGTTTCTTTTAAATTTTTTTCTTGCCAGAAAAAAATTAGCTTTTTACAAATCAACTACTTTTGATAGACAGATTACGGGTTAATATTACGATAATTCAACGGGTCCGTTACATGAAGATAAAATCTACAATAGCCAATAAGAAAGTAAGGTAACTGAATGGGTTTTATGGCTTATAATAGATTATATCCGTGACACCAATAAAGAATAATTTCACCTGGTCTTTCACTGCAGCTGGTTTTAGTCTCATTTTCGTCTGGACCACCATTGATTTGGAGCTTAAAGAAAACGTACAAAAATACAAATGAAAAAAGGATTTAGTACCTTATTATACGAAATTACGGGCTCGACCAAATTAAGGAATTGGAAATTAGGGAAAATTAATTTGAGGAATTTTTTCAAAGAAATTGAGTTTTAATTACATTAATTTAGGAAATCTTTCCTCCCAAATGCATTCTCAGTTACACTAATTAAGGAATTTTTTACTTAATTTTTGTATTGAGGATTGATCATACAGAAGCTCTTATAAGAAATCGTAAATTTAGAGTTACCAAAAAATATGGCATGAGAAATGAAAGATATCAAAATTTTAAGGTGTAATTCTTTTAAGAAATGTTCATGGGAGTTTCATATCACTTTAAACAAGGTTTTCATAACAGTGTCAGAAACAAGAATAAGTTAAAGTCTTTCTCTGTTATGGAGAAAAATCAAGCATTTTCCTTTTCAATGTTACCTAGCATGAGATTTTAACCCCTTTAAAGGTAATGTGTTCATATAAAAGGGCTGCGTATACCAAACTTGTCAAGCCATCCATCAAAATAATGGCTTGCCATTGGTCAGTATTCTTGCAACGCAAAACTGCTCACATGAAAAGTTAGCAGCGAATTGTAGATAAACAGAACGATCGTAATGGTTGAGGCGATCACATAAAAAATCACATGTTTCTGAAAATCCCTGCAGAGTTGCTTGCTTTAGCTGGACACATTACCTTTAACACCAACATTTTACCATAATATTGAAAAACCAAAATGTTTCTATGCATTAAGTATTAATGTTCACTAAAACTTACAGAAAGAAGCTTTATAAATGATGAAAATTAATTGTATAAAGCACTCGGCAAAAATTATTTTTCAGGTTAAAGATTGTGGATTGAAAACAATGTGGATATTCATGGCAATCAACAGATACAAAAGTGTCTTATGCCATCCGTCAATCACATTTAGCCAATCAAAAAGCGTGTAAATGAAAGCATACTCACTGATTGGTCAATTCTTGATTGATAGATGGTTTAAGCTCCCTTAGTATCTGTGTATTGCCCTTAATGCATTGATACAGAAATATGGTCAAGGGGTATTTGACCGGGGGTGATGTGGTTTAAGTTTTTCATTAATAGGCAGGTAAAACCCTGAACTGTTGATGAAAAGCGGTATAAGAGTTGAAAAAACATAAATTGCTAAAGGTTCTTTACGTCTTTGTAATTTTAAATCAAACAATTACGATACATTCTATTTAGGAGTTTTGCTAACAGCACAGGTTTGTAATCATATGCTTGCTTTCTTAAAAGCACACAAAAACTCACTCTTACTTATGATTGAAAGGACCATCACAGATTAGCCTGCGCCCCAGTCCACAAATGCTGCCATATTTATGGAATGAGCAATATTGATAAATATTCTGTCCAGAAAGAGGGCTGGGTCTAGTTTATGAAAATAATTTATGCAATGAAACCATCGAAATTTTGCATGAAAAATCTTGGAAGAAATATTCATTGTAGCCAAACAAAACGTAGATAAGATGGTGCATGAAGAGTTTAAAGTTTTACAAGGTTGGAACCGTTGACAATTTCAGCTAGTTGCATAATTTTGAAGGGTTGCATAAATTACCACCAGATCCTGGTGAAAACTGTGCACAGTATATTTATCAATATTCACGTGGTCCATAAATGTATATTTATATATATATATACAGCAAACAGATCCTTGACAGAATCAACACGACCATCAGAAACCAAACTACCCTAAACCAATGGACCTGTGGCAAAAAGTGGACAAATGTTCAAAGTTGGATGCAGGAAAACTGCTTTCCCAAAAACTTTTGAACCAGCAGTTGTACCACAGCTTGCTTGCAAACCATTTACAAAGGTTATCCACTTTTGGGATTGGTTTTGAAGTTTTAAACCAATATACAAGATTATTCACTTCAGAGGTTTTGTATAACCCTTAAAGACTTGGTCCAACCTTTCCTGGAAATTGCCTATTTTTCGAGGCCCATATCGTCTTCTTGTTAGTCGAGAGTGAATTGCTTTTTTTCTTTATTTGGCCTAATCACAAGACCAAAAAGACTTTCTTCCGCATCAGTTCCCAGGCAAGAGCTTTCAGAAAAACTAGAGACGTGCTGCTAGGTACATTCTGCTGTATTTTTCACTATTTTTTGCCTATTTGAGCATCGAACAATAAAGTAACTTCTTTTGATCGCCGTACAAAACTTAATCAAATGTTCGCGGGTTTAACTACAAGTACCAGAATGCATTGTGCCATGACGTAATTAGGGGAAAGGTCTATTTAGTTTACGGACAAAAGTATTATTCTTGCCCTCAGTTCACTTGCTAAAAGCAATGGTGGTTTTAAGGGGGCCCCATGGGGCCATGGCATCAGGCCCCGCGCTTATGGTAGCCAAAATGGGCCCCACACCTAGGAAAAAAGAAAGAAGTTGTAAAGAACAAGGGCCCCGCAGATGTTTTTGGCCCCGCAGTCCCTAAAACCGCTGCTGGCTACTAGTCTTCGTTCTTAGTTCTTCCAAGGGTTATCTTCTTTGAAGGAGCAGAGATGAAAGGAGGGGAAGACAAGTTGAGAGTAACATTAGCCCTGTAGACAAATTTTATAATCTCTTTATAAATTCTATTTATTTACCTCCTTATCTATTTCATTAACTATATTCTCTATTGATTAATCAGTTTCGTTTCTGGCCTTTATAGAAGGCGTTCTTAAATGCAACGCTAGCCCTTTGAATCAACAAAAGGCGAAATGCAGCCCTGAGCCTTTGAAGAACAAGAGCAAAGACTTGTAGCAAGTCGAAGCTCTCAGTCATAAAAATAGATACTTACTATAGCAAAGGAAGCCTTCTGGAAGATTTAAGCATTCTTCACCCCAGTCGCAATCTGACGAAGCACAATAATTAACAGCTAGAATAAAAAGCAATTATTTTTATATGTTCTGTTTTATGTTAAACAGATATGTGACAAATATCTTTATATTTTATGAAAAGTTTCAAGCATGTAGGCTTTGGGAGAATGATTCAAACAATTTTTAAACATCACTACATTGCAGGGAAGGCTTGTTTTATTTTTGCAAAATCTTGAGTTTTCTAATTTATATTTGAGACTCTACTTTCAAAATCATTTTGGAGGAGCGCAGGATGTTTCAGTCAAATATGGGGGTCAAGTGATGTGAATGGGGGCTGACTCAGCACTTTCATGTATCTAAGAAGTGTCTTCTTGCCGGAAAAAGTGGGCCAAATAAAACTGACATTAGTAGGACAAACTTTTGCCTGGCAAATAATATATTGCTTTTCAGTGAGTGGAAGCATTTCTTACGAAAATTTCTCTGCCACAAATAGAAAGATGCAACATAGATTGCCAATGACAATTTGCCGATGAGAAAATGTGTAGTCTTTAGGGCTAATGATACCGTAAAACTTGTCTCTTATCGTTGTCATTTCCAAATGACGAATGGGAACAGGAATTAGGGTATGAGGGAAAAATAAAATCTGCAAAAATAGAACACAAAAAGAGCTTTTTATTTGTATAATCTGCAAATATCTTTGATGGGATCTATACAAGTAACTTCAAAAGTCTAAAATTAATATGAGGTTCATTAAACTAGTTTCTTACCTGCACAGTTTTCCCCGGTCCATGCAGTGGTGCAATAGCAGAAATAAGATCCAACCCGATCAATGCAGGTTCCTTCATTCAAACAAGGACTGCTTGCACATTCGTTGATATCTGTTAAATCGACATAGAAAATGTCCCTTTAAGACAAGAGCGAGCAACCTTTGTCTCGCGAACCTTATAGAGCCCTTCAGCAAATTTTCAATTGCCCTTTCCCCTGTAGAGATAATGCTGTGTTGAAAACTCATTAAATAGAAAGTCTTAAAAAGGATCGTTTCCATACAAAATGGATCAAAGCTCCTAAAGATAAATTCAAACATTTTCATATAGAAGCAGTTTTCAGCGTTTCCTTACGTAGCTTCAGAACTGATTTTGGCAAAGCTTCCTATTGTGTCTTTAGTCGGGATCCTTGTGTAATTCCGCTCGATTTGCGTGCCAAAATTGATTTTTTTGCATGAATGCCTACAAATATCTATCAATAATATAAAAATCATAGGTGCCATTTTTTTGGGTCAGCGGAAGTGGGTCTTACTGGGGTGCAAATCACGACCGGTCAAAGCAAGTGTCTCTGCGGAGGAGAAAAATGTCCCAATCACAATAGATGATTAAAACTAACTTTAAATTAACTTTAAATTGTTTTCAAATGTTAACTGGGGAAATCTATAAATACTGGGTCCTGGTTTTAGGACTTAATATGGTTAATCACGTGACTTTCTGCCCCTATTTCCATATATGGAAATTAATACTTTTTTGGTTTCTACAATGAGATATTCTGAAGAAAACAATTTTTAATCGCGTCAGAGTCATTTTTGCAACTTTTAAACATCGGAAGAGAGGGGCCTCATTTCAGGGGGATGCCATTAATGGCCCGTTGAAGGTGGTGTCCCTAAATTGCTAAAAGCAGAAATTTCTACAAAACATTTTAAACATCAGCTTTAGTGGATAACATGGAAAAGCTGCTGAGAATATAGGTGTATTAAGCCTGGTTTCCATATGATCGCAAAAAACGCAAGAGACGCAAGAATCGCTTAAATTTGTGACTTGCGATCCTTGCGATCCTGCGATCCTTGCGTATTAATGGAAACTGCTCTATTCCGTCTGTTGCGATTGTTGCGATTTTTGCGATTCTTGCGTTTGAGATAGAAAATTTTCTATCTCTGCGATTCTTGCAATCTTTGCGTCGATGGTTTTTTTAATGGAAACCGCTTGTGAACAACTTGGCGATCCTTGCGTCAGTTTATCCTCCGGGATGCTCTACCAAGCCTCGCATCCATTTATTTTTATCGAAATTTCAAGATGGCTTTTGCAACAGAAGAAGACCTTGCTTTAATAGAAAAAATACAACAGTACGACTGCCTTTATAATAAGAAAAGCCGGGCCTTTAAGAAAAAGTTCAAAAAACTGCCTGAAGAGGTAAAAACTAACAGGCACCGAGGTTACATTCATTCCAACCTGAAAAATTAGGCCTACCTGAAAAAGTACTCCCGATCGTGAATCCTCAGATCCTTTGTGAGTGTGTGAAACGCACCGTGTTTTTCTCTTCTCTGAATAAATTTTCTCACCCAAAACCTATGTTTTTTTCTTGCACGACGTTCTCTAACTCTTTTCAACAATGCAATAATAATAAACAAGCTCGATTGCAGCAGACATTGCTGGTTGATTCCAGCCATTTGAATTTTGGGCGCGCCCAAAGTCGAATCATTATTCGCGGGAATCGCAAGGATCGCAGTGTATTTGTTGCTTTTTTTGCGATCATATGGAAACCAGGCTTTAAGAAACAACGAACAGTTTAAACACGTTAATGAATTTCCACTCCCTCTCCAGAATCGGCGTCTGTCTCTTCACCTGCGGCGTGGTCTTTAATATTTTCCCAATCTACACATTTGCATAGTTCAGTCCATGACAGCCCATTCTTCAAACACGAAGAGCTTCCTCGTCCCTTGCACCGAACCTTGCATCCGCATTTGACAAGTTCAAGAACTGATTGCGGGGCTGGCAGCTCAAGGCACTTTATCGGTACTTCCATACCCTCATCCATTTGCCAACCGTTTCCCACAAGAGGTTGAATTTCATTAATCGCAGTTGTATATTCCTTTAAAATTCCAGCAATAAAACTTGCTCTTTGCATGTGGGGAATCAATGCTCCTAAAGTTGGAGGTAACTTTTCTGGTTCCATGTTTTTTCTGCTAAACTCTCATTTTCTCCTAAACTCACATTTTGGTACCCGATTATTTGTATATACATGTATCGATGTCACAAATTCAATGTATATCTATACACACTGTCTGAATAACCCCAATACCTATTTGCACACCGCTCTTGTACTTACGTATGAGTACGCAAGTATTTTTATATACATATATTTATGTCACTATTACATTTTCTTTGCCTAACCATTGTCCCTCCATTGGCACTACGAGCTCGTAGTATATTCTTTTTGAAAACATGAGATATACCTCTATGGTGAGGCTACATGGATAACCTGGATACACATGGACGTGGATATCCCGTTCTTTTCTATACAACGCTACGATTCAATGATACACCTTTGCTGGCATCATCCCTGGGCGCAGGGGTGAGGGGGCACCCAGGTGTAAAGGAGCATACTGATCATAAACCCGAAATGCTCTACCTGGTGGATTGGCTGATGAACTAGCAAGGACTCAGAAATTATAAAAGACAACTTATATACATGTTTATATATGTTATATGTAGCAGTATAGTATATCTATACTGACACACACCCCTATCTAGTTGGGTACACTAGGTACACTATTCTAACAACAAACTGGATCCCAGTTCTCCTAACGACACAAGATTTTGTGAGAGGGCCCAGTGTGATCTGGTTGAGGTTGGTATTACAGGATGGTTTCAAACAAAAATTGCATTAACACGTCATATCATCCCTGTTGTTTTAATAATTTTTTTGCTTAAAGATGTTATTCATACTAGCGGTCATGCTAACGGTCATGGACCCTCGTTAGGACTCTAAACTTCCTTGGACTCTAAACTTCAATCATTCATTTAATTTCATTCCTTGATTTTTTTGCCCCTCTTTATCGCTGAGAGGGCTGATGTGGCTTAGTCTACAATAAATCCCATAATGTACTTAAAACAATACAGTAAATACTGCTCTTATCTTTCAGCATCTTGTGGCCCCTAAATCTTTCTACCCCCCCCCCATCCCCAATATGCTCCAGGAGCCCTGCCTCTTGATGTTTCGCTTCGATATTAAAAGTTATAGAAATGAGTTTGACGTCAATATCAATGACGTTCATTCATAAACTTCATCCAGGATGAAGTTTATAACCAATTGGATTAGAAATCTCCTTACATCAATTTAGGAGGTAAGAAGTCACGTGACTATAAATTTCCATTTCTAAGTAAGAAAGTGATTAAAGACATGTCCCAGATAGCATTTTGAAGCAATTTGTTGAAGTTCGTTCGTTCAAAGTTCGTTCTTATCATCTATTACGATTGATAGTGTTTGCTCCTCCGCAGAGGAACTGACATTGACCGCACGTCATTAACGCCCCCGTTAAACCCCTTCCGCTTTCCTAAAAAAATGGCACCTATGATTTTCGTAATCTAGATGGATATTCAAATACATTCATGCAAAAAAATCGATTTTGGCACGCAAATCGAGCGGGAGCAATAATTGTGACACAAGCGACCGGACTACTTGTTGTTTATGAGTGTTATTGTTTTCGGTGTTATTGTTTTCGGTGTGAGCGTGTGTGTGATTGTTGTTGCGTGTGTGTTGGGAAGTTATATGCTTTTTGCTTGCGTTCAAGAATCGTTGCAAAAATTCAACAAAAAATTCAATCCTAGCAAGATGAAGCCCAAAGACACAGACTAAAACTTAATTTTCAAATTTTTCAGGAGATTTTCTGGTCAGAAATAGCTTTAAATCATTATTCAAATAGAGTTCTTTAAATAGCATTGAATATCTTTTTGTAACGTCATCACCTAAGAACACTTTTGTGGACATGCAAGTTCCAACAAAGTTTCATCGAAAACAAAAGTGCAGAACACGTAGTAAAGTATATCTTGCCACGAAAATTTAGTTCAAGCACTAGAAATCGGCAGTAATGACGAGTGAAACTTTTTCCCTATCAATGTTATACTTTAGGGTCAAATATTCTGAAGGTAATGTTATTTTTCACATTATGCTATTGCGCACTAGACATCACTCTGGAAAAGTGTTTGCCAATAACTAATTAACAACCTATCACCACGATACCAAAAAAGTTAATAGGTGTTCCAAAATGATTTTTAATAGGTGTTCCAAAACGAGGGGATCATCAGATTTTAGAATTGTAATTCAAAAAGCTTAGGCGTAAGATAATACTTTGATGAGATTTAGCGGATGAGTTGTTACAGGCAAAACCACTACACATGTGGTTCTTTATTAAATACAAAACAACTTTTTTTCCCCTGGCCGATTTGGTCCAAGCTGTAGTAGAAATATTCGTTGCAAATTCATTGTATCGGAATGTCTGTTAAATTTCTTCATTTAGACTTGAAGCAATGCTCTTACCATTGCAAATACCTCTTGATAGCCACGTTTGTCAAGAAAATATTATGCACGTAAGCCTCTTTTTGATCTACGGTAAGCTTAAATGTTTCTTGGCTTGAGTTAGTTTTACGTATCTAAGTTTTCCAATATCAGTTTTTGTATAGATAAACATTGCGTTCCATCTTTTCTATATTTTATGACATTTTCTTGAAACTTTTGCATGTATATGAGAAAGACATTGACATAGCTAATATCGCAGCTATTATTCACGTGTTGATTGTGATTTATAGATAAATGGGAATCAATCAAAATACATGTTTAGGTCATACCTAGGGAGCAGTCCACTCCACCGTATCCTCTAGGGCATGAACAGCTGTAGCTGTTTGCAAGGTCTGTGCAATTGCCACCATTCTGGCAAGGGGAGCTATCGCAATCGTCAAAATCTAAAAAATTTCAATTATTTGTTTTGACAAAATGTTTTTACGTGGAAGACTTCTTTGATCTAATCAAAACATAATACAATTTAAAAGCACTCTGCAACAGAAAGAGTTTCTCGCAATAAAGTTGCCCACATATTTGGAATATACGAGATATCTGTTTTTCCAAAGATATGGCAAAAAAGCCATACGCTTCATGCAAAAATGATCCTATTAGATGAAAATTTTGAAAATGACTTAACAACGAACGGCAAAAACGTTTCCTAAATTTATCTGGCAATTTACTGAAAATAGGCCTAAATTACCTGCGCAGGTACTTCCATACCATGGTGGTATGCAAGAGCAGTGATAAGAATTAACATCGTCCGTACATGTACCACCGCTGAGACATGGCGCACTTGCGCATTCATCGATATCTGAAAACGATAAACTCGTTATAATAGACGATAAACTATAAAATTCTATGCTTATACAGTCAATGACAAAATTTAAAAGAAATGAGGAAGCCGAGTAATGATGCAGTACAACGATTCACTCCAGATAGACACTGGTTTATTACTAAAAAGGTTGTTTCAAAAAGCAAAACTTCACCCTAGTAAAACTACGGTCTATATTTCAACAAAAGGATTCCTAAAATAATACTGTCTAATAATTACTAAACCCAGTCAGATAACATTTCTTGCACAATATCATTCAAATATCATTGCGATCACTTCAAAAATAAGCCCATTAATGCCCCTCAAATCTCAACCAAGTCCCATCATATTTAATCCATGAAATAGACAAAACAGTCGGAATTAATCATTCAGAGAACTTTTCGGTGGCTTCTTCCTTTAGATGTAAGTTCTTCCTTTAGGAGAAAACAAGAGATTCTGCTATCTGGCAACATTCACTAAATAAACAATATTGTGCCAAAACCATAGGGACAAGTTGCTTCCGATCATTTGTAGAGCAAGGTTGCTGTTTTAACCTAGCGTTTTAGAACTATTTACATAAAAATGAAAAGACTGCTATTGTGACAGACAGAGGGCTACAAATTCAGAGTGCTGGCTAAATCTAAACTTGCAGCTTTCTTAAATTTGGAAGTTTGATACAAAGTAAATACTTGTGTGAATGGCATAAACGGGAATATGAAACGATTAAAAGGATTAAATTAAATCGATTATACATTGGTTCTAAGCATTAGAATAGTCCTAAGCATTGGTGTGATTCAAAAATTAGAATGATCCCAGAGAAAACCTAGGGAAAGTCCGAAATTTGCAGCCTCAGAACAATATCATTGATCCGGGAAAGGTTAGAGTATTATGCTTAGATGTTGCTTTAGATCTTCAAGAGTGGGAAGATTGTGCTCTCAGGGGAAGAATTTAACTTCTTATATTGGACTAAGATGTTTTATTTTTGTTTTCTTTCTCCAATGTTTGGGCAGTGTGTCGTTCGTAGCCAGAATCTTTTGGGTGGTAAGAACGCAGTCCTGCTGGATAGATGAACAAAGTTGCCTTCTTTGCAATGTAAACAAACGATCAGGGCCTCCAATGAAGGAACTTTTGAAATCTTTTTTACATCATTATGTTAAATTGTCCCTTGCTCCCCCTCCCCCACTTTCAAACCTGCATCATAGCTCATGACGAGCAAAGAATAGGGTTGCGTGAATGCATTGAATTGTTCTCAGGTCAAAAGAACTTGTTGAATGCTCGTGGAAATAATTTTCTCGCGCTATTGAAAATTGCTAGTGCTATTATTATCTTTGAACAAAGGAAACTTATTGCTTTTTGGGGTTGGGACCTTCTTCTGTATGGTTTCGCTTTATTTTCCCATGGTCCCATGGTCTCATGGCTGATCATATACCTGCGAGAGTCAACAAATTGTTATGCCGATACCTGAAAAGTATTTATTTTTGAAATGCTGACATATTTTTGAAGATGGCTTGAGATATAAGTAATCACGTACCTGCACAGTAAACCCCTGTCCATCCATTTGCGCAGCTACAGGTGTAAGCATTAACCTGATCATTGCAAGAACCTCCATTCAAACAAGGGTTGCTTGCACACTCGTTGATATCTGTTTGATCAACATAAAAAGGATTCTTTAAGATAGGAAACATTGGTAAATTTCTTACGCAATAGCACAGCATTCTACCACTATTTGAAATAAACAAAGCCCAAAAGCATACAACTGCTATGAATTTGCATCTTGAATGAACCTTTTAGCTTCTACGTGTGTAGTAGGTTTAAAGCAAAGCAAAACGACTTTCATATGACCAAGAAATTCTAGTTGCAGACATAGGCTATTGGTTTTTTCAAATGTTATTATTAGTCTTATAATTATGAAAAAATTGAGTTTATGTCATTGTTAATGGAGCAATTGTTAATGACAAATTTGAGGGAATACCGTCAAAAAATAGATCTTTCGCCAATTATTCTACATTACATCGAAAAACTAAATCCTAAGAGGATAGTCTTGCAAGACGGTTTAAATCTGTGATTTGAATTAGATTGCATAATAACAGGGTGTGGAATTCTATCAATCTAAATGCTACAGCAAGATTGATACTCTTAAAAAGCTATTATTTTGGCTTTTCCTTTAAATAAAGCGCCTATAGAAAATGGTGGTTTGTAAACATACTTTGAATGAAGTATCGTGGCTCTTCCATGATCAAGCTTCGTGATCGTGAGAACACTTATTACGCGAACATACCAATGTTAAAGAAAGTTTCTCTTTGACATGACTCAAGCAGACTTAAAAATACCTTTTTAACAGACCCAGAGGTATATTTGCTTTATCTACCAAAATGATCAAATTTTTTAGAATAGAAATGGCTCAGAGCTTTCTAACAAACGATTGCTGGCGAAGACCCAGCGTTAATTCTTACTAAAGCATTTGAATTAATATTATAACCTTGCGTTAAGACACTTGTAATTGATAGTCTCGGAGTAATTTTTAAAAAGTTTCATCCCTAAGCCTTTAAGTTAGCCATGGCTAGCCTGGTTTAGAAAAATTTAGCAAATCCTTGTAGTTTGGTGGAAATCATTACAGGAGCTCTCAATTATTGCCATGATCTTAGTTACTTGATAATTGACAGGAAGGGATAATTTTTAAATAATATAACATTATCTAAATCAAAGGAAATGTTAATCATCTGACGACTGGCTTTACCTAGGACTTTGAAGTATGTACTTTTATATGAAACTCTCTTTTGGTAAGCTTACATCTTCCAATTATAAGGTCATATTATTCACCGTTTATAATTACCATTGTAATACCAACTCTACATCTAAACTTGGCTCTTCTCATTGGCTCTTGACTTTTTGATTTTTACTTTTTTTTTAAATTTTTCAATTTTTTTTTAATTTTTTTAATTTGTTTTCAATTTTTTTAAATTTTCTTTTCAATTTTCTTCATTTTTCTTAAATTTTCTGCAATTATTTTCAATTTTTTCGACTTTTTAATTTTTTAAATTTTATTGAAATTTGTTAATTTATTTCAATTTCTTTTAACTTTCTATTGTTCTTTAATTTGTTTGATTTGTTTGTAATTTTTTTCTAATCTTCTTAAAATTGTTTTTCAATTTTCTTTTATTTTTATTTATTTTTTTTTAGTTTCCTAAAATTTGTTTTTTAATTTTCTTTAATTTTTTAGATTTTCTTTAGTTTTTTTAATTTAAGGTTGTATTCTTCGTTTTTGTGTTTGTTTCTACTTTCGATCACTGCCAAAAGTCGTGGAACACTAACGTAGGTTTTCAAATGCAAATTCAGCCATCAAAATCCTCCCAGGAACAATGTTGATTTACTATAGAAAAAAGGAAGGGGTTATGGAGTATGCTTTTTCTTGTGGCTTGTTTGATGTTTTTCTATACTTTCAACATTGCTTTAGGGGGAATGGGGGACGGAAATGGTAGCATTTGGGAAAACAAATGAAAAAAAGAAAAGCATAGCACAAAGTGTTGGGTGTTCCAAATACTTTTGGCAGTGATTGTAGCATCAGAAGGTGGTTTTTTAGGAGACTGAAAAGAGTACAGCGTTAATTATTTGTAGCCAATTGAATTTGCAACCAAGACCCAGGACTTTTTTCAATTATAGCAGAATAGTGTTCGACAGCAATAAAAATTGTCTATCTCAAGATTTTTGTAAGTAACAACATAGACAACTAAATTACTTGTTGAGCATTCTGTTCCGGTGTATCCAGGTTGGCAAACGCAAGAATATCCATTCAACATTTCTATACATCTACCACCGTTTTGGCAAGGAGAGCTCTGACATTCCATAATTTCTGAAAAAAAATTTTTAACTGATGATATGAAAACAATTCAGAGTTCTTGCAGCAGTTCACTTTCTCACGAATAGTTACTTATTGAAAATTGGTAAGATGATAATGCTCGAGTTTATAAATTTTACTTGTCTTGAACAAAAGTCTGTTTTGTCTTGAAAAGTAAATTTTATTCAGGGTATAATTTTTTGAGGAAGCAAGAGAGTATCAGCACTTTTGTGTAATCTCCAGTGGTGAAAGAGGTTGGACTGGTAAACATAGGGACAAAAAGACGCGAATGCTCCTTTCAAAGTGCTTTCTTTATTCCGAAATACGAGTTGTATGTATACATTGAACAATTGGTTCAGGAACCCGGAACTATGGGTGTAAATTTTGTACCAAAGAAGAAATAAAGAAAAATAGTAATAAAGAATAGCTTCAATTCAAAACTTTACCAAGGATATTCCGCCCTTCGGGCAGGGGAGGGGGGTCTACACCGAGCGGTGTGGATCCATTGTTCGGGCAAATTTGCATGTTAGCACTTTAGTATAGTGATAAAGATGGTGTGGAATGAAATGTCGTTTATATCACAAACAAATCAGAATAATGACGATTTTAGATTTTTCCTTAGGGAACATTTATTATCAACGCTTCTTTTTTACATAAAATATAGTACTAATTTTAAGGGTACCCGACCAAAGATTAAACTGCTAAACAAACAAACCTTTCAAAAAGTCATTCTTTGAATTATTCAGCATTTTTTTGAAAAAGAAAAAGGATTATTTCTTTTTTCGAAAGCTACCTGATTCACAATGTTTTCCTTGGAATCCAGATTTACAAGTACATTCGAAGCTATTCAGCTTGTCAACGCAGGTCCCGCCATGAAAGCAGGGAAGACTGGCGCATTCGTTCATTTCTGTTGGAAGTAAATGAAGATTTTAAATGTTATCATCTATATGCAAAACTGATATACAAAAATTTAAAACTAGAAATAACAATATTTTAACATATATCCACAAAACTGGCTGTTTTTGTGATATAAACTTGGTAAACGAAAATCAGTAAGCAATGAAACATTTCGCTTTTACTCAACTTCAAACTATGCTCTAAGAAGTGAGACTCAGATTTTCGAAGTCTCTTTATAGAGATGGAAAATATTATAAAAGTCAGCAATCTTTAATACAAAACTAAATGTACTAGCCTTGTTCACATGCAGTGCCTGTGTATCCAGATGCACACGTACATTTGTAGCTCTCTTCAGTATTTGTACATGTTCCATTGTTCAGACATGGATCACTTTCGCATTTATCTTCATCTACAGAGAAAGATTTCACTTTTAATTTTAATATTAGATATATAAAATTTCTAGCTGCAAACTTTCTAGCAATTAGATATTTAAAAGAAAAATTTTCTACTTTGTTTGAAAAGTATTTAAAAAGAAAGATTATACACCACTCATATTTCAATAAAATCTTTTCACAATATCTAAACACACGACTATCATTATTAAGTATTTCATGCTATCAAAAGCCAGACGTATATTTTTCTAATTTTATATGCAGGGGCGGATCTAAGCAACAGTGATTAGGGGGGGGGGGTGTTAGACACTAATTTTGTTGTCACCCCTTTCAGGTCACTGGTAAATTATGGAAACGCCCATTTTTAAAATTCCGTTTTATCTTTAAGGTAAAGATGATAAAAAGTAGTGGCGTAGCCAGGTTTGGAAGATTGGAGGTGCAAAGAGGATTTAATGATTTCATGCTATCAAAAGCCAGACGTATATTTTTCTAATTTTGTTTGGTAGTTACTCTTGAATATTGACAAAAACTGACAAAAATGTCATTTAAATATTTTCATTTGTCATCATGTAGGCATTGACTTAGATGAAAATTTGTGAGGTATGTCAACCGCTATACCATCAATTTAAGAAGCAATGCCGGTGACCATTTCAGAAATAAAACAAAAATTAAAAATTTTTCCTCAGAAATCCTTTTAAGCCCAGCTATCCATTTAAGAATTTCTAGCAAGACAATTGTATTTATGCAGTAAGATATTTCTGATGTTGGGAAACCTTGCAGCTTGTCGCAATGTAAGCCCGTTTGCTTTTCATCACAATGAATGCATTCGTAGTAAGGATGGTGACACGTTTCCCTGCAGAGGACGTTACTTGCACACGGATGAAGCTTCTGGCATGTCTCTCCAACCTGGCAAAAGATTAGATTTATCAGTATGCAAATGTCAACGATTCCTTTTTCTTCTATGAACATTCAACATTTGTGAGAATTCCAATTAGTTTTACATACTTTCTTCAATATCTATTTTCCATATGATTTAGTTCCTATCGGCAAAATTGCATGGATTAAACATCTAACTCACCTCTGTCTGGTTGTAATCTGTTGACTTGTAAACCCAGCCAGGTCTTTGAACAAGACTACTTCCATTTTCACCAGCAATCTTACTGTTCAGCTCACAAACTGCTGTGACATTCTGTATATTGTATGATTTACATTTAGGATGCTTTACACATTCCAACGTGCAGTCTGCATCATGGATACCTTGTATTGTTGCCAACAGGCTTCCTTGTAGGGACCAATCAATTTCGAATATCGTGAAATCTGCATGGACCAGGCAAGGGAGGCGAAGAATCAGCCCATTGCAATAATTCCATAGATTTGCAAGCATCCATAATCTAGAATATATCATATTTTTCATGAAACTTTAAACGTCGTATCGTTAAAATTTATTTTATATTGCAATTTATCCTTGATTTTCTGAAATTATTTGAAATCTGTTGGTATGAGTTCCTTCACGGAAAGCTCATACCTATTGTAAAAAATCTGTTCAATATCTTTGATCAATTAGGCAGGAAAGTCATCTATCTGGTTGAGTAATACAACAGGAAGTCATTCTGGACCCCTATTCTCACCTTATTTATATAACACTTAGCTCTAGCCAAGAGGGTTTTAGATCCTCTGAATACTGTAATTATTCGAATTAATGCCAGAGCTCGAAAAGATGCCGGTTTTGAGTAGACGCCAGACAAATGTTCCTAGTTTTGAACTGCCGAGGGCGGTCATTCGAGGTAGATTATAGTCAGATATACAGAAGGCATTCAGAAATAGCAAATAATCAAGATTTCTGTTTCAAAATTGCAGAAAATATTAAAGTTAAATTAGCAGAAACAATTAACTTTAAAAAGTTTATTTGGTGCTGTCAATTTATGTACGCCGGGTCTCAAATAAACGCTGGTTTAAAATAAAGCCAGGGTGAAAAATAAGCTTTAAGAAAAATCGCCGGGGCGTCTTTTCAGGCAAATGCTGTATCCAAAAAAAGCTATGTAAACCTGAATTCTTCTCTCTTGATTAATCGCTCATTTGTGCCTTAAGAAATGTTAGTTTTGCTACCTTAATAAACACTAACAATTGTAAAGTACCTTGCGTTATAATTGCATTTTACAATCAAACCGCTGATAAAAGGAAAAGCTAAAGGACTTTCATTCAGATTCATTAGATTTATATTGTACGTACCTTAACAGCGACGAAAGCCCACGAAAGGCATTGAGTTTGGCGTTTTCTCTCTTTAAATTAACTTTGTTCAGCATCATTTTATGTACTTCAAAGCAAAAATATTCTTTTATAGACAAATGCATCAAAAAGATTATTTTTCACTTTGTGAATTTTCTGTAATTTTTTTTCTCGTTCTGTCATCCTAAAACCGTATCATTCCGTCGTTATGTCGTTTGCTGTGGTGTAGAGAGGGAGGATTTGTTGGCGTAACCCTTCGAAGTCGTTTCAGGCCACATCCTTCATCTTAGAAAAGGGACCTTCTACAATTGTAGTGCTGCACCTTCTAATAGATCCTATTTTTCAAAGGTATATTATTCAAAGATGTTAGCTCCCTGCATATTTGCGCCACAAATATGCTTCAAATTGGTAATTTAGTATTTATCAAAGAATGCATCAGATGAAAATGCAAAGAAACTAGAAAAAGTTTCTTACAGCGTTATTTTAATGCTCTTAACGCAACGCTGTGGAACTGTAAGCACAATTAAAGCATGTTTTTATTGTCGTGTGAACACCTGTTGAAAAGGTTCATTAAATTCCGTTCACGTTTGAACTCAGGCTAGGGTTCGCGGCACAAATAAACGACTCTAAAAATGTACGAGTATAAAAATAATCTAGTATTAAAGTAAATACCATCAGTACGATGTCCGCATCTCGAGTCTCTTCTGTTCTTCTGGATCATTAAAGACCTAAAATTGGTGGGTCTAGCCTCTTATAAAAGCAGGCCTATTGACATCAAATGACATTCATTTTAATTCTTTGGAATAAATTAGTGGTAATATGAGTCATGTTTTGTTGGCAGGTTCCTTCCAAAAACTAATCATCTGAGGTTTTTGCCTATTATTTTCAACTTTAAGTATCAATTCTTTTTTTCGTGTCAACATTCGAAATGAATCTTCATAGTTTGTCTATTATTTTATTATTGATGTCATTTTTTTGTATCACCTTACCCGCAGTTTGTCTTTGCATTTTACCAATAGTTTGATTGTTGTTATTTGAAATATCTCGCTACATGTTATGCAATTTGACGGTGTTGGACCCAAATTAAGTCCGGTCAGGCTGATACCGAAAGAAGTCCGGTCAGGCTAGTACCGAAAGAAGTCCGGTGAAGCTGATAGCGAAAGATATCCGGTCAAGCTGATACCGAACGAAATCCGGTCAAGCTGATACCGAAAGAAATCCAGTCAAGCTGATACCGAGAGAAGTCCTGTCAGGTTGATACCGATGCAGATGCTATACCAGCTATGCAAATGGCTCCCTCGATGCCGATATTCTTGTTAAACTAATAATACCATATTTTTTAATTAAGTAGAATGTTACAAAAAACATCATGAAAGTATTACAGATATCGCAGATTTTGCATATTTTGAGACATTTTGCCATGCTTTTTCGCTCATATGATAAAAACTTAAAATTTAAAAATAAATGTTTATGATGTCAACACTTTAGCACTCCCCTGTCAATCTGCACAGTTCAGCAAACTTGCCCTCTAATCTACTAGTTTAATCAATTTTCTGATTTATCCATAGGCCGTTCCTGCTTTTCTTTCACAATTCAAGATGCAGCATTTTTGGCAAAAGTTATTCTGCTCAATACAAGATATCGTTATTCGAATAGTTGGTGAAATTAACAGTAAAAGACACGAGACAATTTCTTTAAAAGGGGATGTAACACATCTTTCGTACAATCAATTTTGTTCTAGCATAATGTACAGGCAAGATTAACTTTCTCGGACATCGAGCTTACGTTGCATTATTCTGTGCTGAGAATGATGTGAATTTGCTAATGAGGACCAAGTAAATTGCTGCAACTCTATAAGTTATATGTAAAATGATAATATGTGTACATGAAGGATGCAATGACTGACCATGTGGTAGAATAAACCTTAATGTCCTTCAAATACACAGAGAAAGTTTATAAAATATTTAACTTGGAAACAGTTTTTACAGCTATAAGGAAGAAGTTGAAATAAAGAAAAAGCCTAGAAAAGCTTTAGGAAGTCAATTTTATCGTATCATATGTTGAGGGACATATACCAGAGGCGACAGAGAAATTGTCTCTCTGCTGAAACTAAAAGAACTAGAAACAACTAAAAGAAAAGTTGGGTAATTAATTGAAAAATGGCAAAGCGTATTGAACTAAAGATTCTTTGTTAAGTATGAACATGGTCACCAAAGCCTGGTTTCCTCATGATCGCAGAGGATTGCTAAGGATCGCTGAGGACCCTTTGAGAATCGCCAAAATTCTGTAACGATCCTCAGCGGTCGTGAAAGATCCGATCGCTGAGGATCGCTGGAATAGAAGTGAGTTCTATTCCAGCGATTGTGAACGATCCATAAAGATCCATGACCGTGAACGATTCATGATACAGTTGAGGTGACAAGAGAAAAATAATCATTAGCAATTGTAAAATGGCTGGAGATAAGAAACTTGACAAAGTGAGATTTATGGAAGATTTGCAGCAGAACGAGTAACTTTATATTAAATTTAGCCGAGAATTTAAAGATAAATACACAAAGATGAATTGCTTGGCAGCAAGGGGGAGAAGCACAAAATTGGACCTGAAGAAGCTGGGCTCATATTCAAAACTATAAGGACGGACTATGGGCGATCCTCAGCGATCTTCAGCGATCTTCAGCGATCCTCAGCGATCCTCAGCGATCCTCAGCGATCCTCAGCGATCCTCAGCGATCATCAGCGATCCTCAGCGATCCTCAGCGATCATATGGAAACCAGGCCTAAGATTTCAGCTTTAACGAGGGTACCCAATGTGTTTTCGGGAAAGAGGGAATTGTCATTGTTGTAGTTGCGAATCGAGCACTGTCTAAATTTCGTGAGCAGGATGGAGGAATCGATATTACCGGGATTCGGAATTTGATGCTTGGAACTCGGAAATCGGGCGAAAAGGCACAAGGAATTCGGGAATCAGCGGGCCTAGTCGGAACCCTCATCGAAATTCTGAATACTTTCCCATTCACAGTTCAAAGTGGAAATCTCGCGTTTTCTATTCAGTCTTGACTGAAACTGGATCGGTTCCATACATTGACTTCAACATTATTTACTAATAACTATATGCATTAAAAGCAAGTAGCTTTATTTACTGTTTCGTTGTGCTCTAGATCAAAATTTTGTATCAATCTCAAAGAAACAAGAATTTGTTATAAATCTGTTTGATGGTTGAACTAATCAGAGAAAAAAGGATGAGAATCAGAGAACGGCGTAGAGGTATTTACCAAAAAATGTCCGTGTGCTATAACCTTTGAAAATAATTATATTATTTAAATGTACATTACTACAACAACCAAGAAGAAATGCTAGAGAACATATAATAAGTTGATAATACAAAGTATTCCTCTACCAGTCTGATCTGATGTCGGATCATATTTATACTGTTTTGACGTTTATGTTTTCAACGTTTTTGTTAACTAATTTCTTTAATAACAAGGTCTAACAACCATAACCTCAACCCTAACCCTAACCTTAGCCCTTACCCTAACCCTAACCCTAACCCTAACCCTAACCTTAACCCTAACCCTAACCCTAACCCTAACCCTAACCGTAACCGTAACCGTAACCGTAACCGTAACCCTAACCTTAACCCTAACCCTAACCCTGAAGAAAATCAAGCACTCCTTATGAACTGGCAAGGAAAATATATACTGAGCAAAATAAAAAGCTTACTTGAGCTGACATTTGGAAATGCTTTGAATCCCTCCCCCTCCCCTCTGTTTACTTTTCTATCATAATTCCTCGACTTATTACCTTGAGGGCTTATCAATTTAGAAAGCTCTTAGAAAAGGGGTAATTAAAAAGAGGGGCTTAATCGAAGGAGAGGCTTACCAGAATCACTTTCAAGTTATTAATTAAATAGAAACTAGAGTACACAAATATTGTTTTACTTTATAATATTTTTAAGTATCAATTAAAGCACGAATATAGAAGGTGGAAAATAAAGCTATGCTCAATTTCTTCGGGGACACTTCGTCAATGTCTTTTCATTCACCACTAAATTTGTTATTAATCCTAACAGATCTCAATTAGGCCCCCATAAAGGTTTATTAAAACGCAAAAAAATTGTCTGCAAGGGAAGGGCTTTTTTTCAGGTTGTAGGTTTCAAAGATGGTTTTATATGTTTTTAACAATTCTAATCCGACTCAATTTTGCGCTGCTATCTATAGCATTTTGGAAATAACATATCTGTTAGCCTTATGGCCTAAATTGCAATAAATTAGCATAACACGATAAGCAGAGCCTTAAGGTCTACCCAAGGTATTACGAAATTTTGCAAACTTAAGACACTTTCAAAAGTTCAATTGTTTCATGCATATCACTTCTCCGTGAGATTCTGCAAGCGCTTCTTTCAAAAAATATCAAGATACGAATTGTCCAGCTTCTCTGTTTTCAAACATGCTGTAAATGTTTGAGTTTGTCAACTTTTTAATTTCAATTTACCTGGAGATGTCAACTGTTTCTTGGTGATTTCAGACTACTGCGTCAACTTCGGTCATGAGTATTCTCATTTTCGATACTTCTACCACCACCCTGATGATTCTTGAGAGAAAAATGCAAAATTAAATGTTGGATTGAGTGTTTTGAGCCTTCATACCTCAAAAAAGTTTACCGCAACTTGAAAAATCATAATCAGTTCAAAAACTTTAATGCACCCATTTTTTTCTAATAATAATTAGTTGCAAAGAATTTAGTTATAATTTTATTGAAAACCATGATATTAGTAAAAAATATTGTCTAGATTTTGCACTAAATTAGGCCAAGGATTACACTATCTTGCAGTATCAGTATGTTAATTTCAAACTGATTGAATTTCCAATTTGATATCCCTATAGAAACAAATATTATCTATCCTAATGCTACCAAGGGCTTTAATAGAAATCTGGTCAGACATCTTGTGAAAGGTAGGGGAAGCCGATGCCAAAAATGCCGATGCTGATGCCGATGCCGATAACTTGGGCAAAGGCGGAGACCAACAGTGCCTTGCCCACGAATTTCAAAGTCGTAAAAAGTGAGCTGAAAATTAAATATCCAGGTGTGGAACCAAGGTAACGTGGGAGGCAGAAAGACTCCTCGCTGGAATAAATTGGAACCTTTTTCCTCTAATGTTCACACTTGGATACAGGTTTTCTGTATGTCTTGGATACAGATCTTGAATATAGACTTGAATATGGACCCGCAAAAAACTTCAAAAATATTTAATTTTTTCAAAAATTATTTTTTATTCGAAGCAGCCAAGGAAGTCTTAATATACGTTCCAAACACCATTTCAGGTAATTTGAGTTAATTTTAGACTTATATTATGGAAAAAAGGACTTAATCATTTATAAAAAAATTCACGACCCCGGACCTGCAAAAAATTGAAAAAATCTTGAATTTTTTCAAAAAATATTTTTTACTAAAAACAATCAAGAAAGTCTTACTTTACATTCCGAACACCATTTCGGGTAATTTCGGTGAATTTTAAGCTTATTTTACCGTAATGAGTTTTATGCTTAAATAAATAGATCGCTTCCAGAAGACTGATACTTGTACCCAAACAGGTAAATGATATGGGAAGATCCCTAATTACATGCTTTTGTCTGGTTAACAAAACACCGTCGAGCGATTTTCCAGTAATTACAAATTGTGTTAAAATAAGGAAGGTTGAGAGCATAAATTTCAGGTTGGAGGAAGGTCAACAACTTTTCGCATCTCTGCATAGAGACTCTCAAAATAACTTCTTGAAAATAAGTATGATTTCAACAATTTGTGGGAGGGGGGCTCAAGCCCTTTAGCCTTTGCTTGCAAAAATGACTTAAAGTATCGCAAAAAATCCATGCAAAATCTTTTGAAGTACCAATTACAATTATAAGACACCTACCTTCCTCGCATATGTCTCCGCTATAGCCAGTAGCACAATCGCATTGGAAGCTTGACGCATAATTTGTGCACGTCCCCTCGTTCAAACAAGGGCTGCTGTGACAGTAGTCATTCTCTAAAAAAAAATCTAACTAAAAAAACATGCTGTAAAATATTGGAAAACTGAAATTTAAATATTGTTAAAATTTGTTGAATAGCTTTTTCAGAATGGATTCAAGTTAAACTTTTGCTTAGGATTCTAGACCCAGCTATTGCTTCAACGCTCGTTGTAACAAATGCCATTCAACAATGCAACTGAAATTTGCCTGAAAAGATAAAGTGATACATGCCTAAAAACTATACCCTATACCAAATTGTAAAGTTTAGCTAGCCAAGCAGGGGCTAAAATGCTGTAAGTTTTTGTGACGCCGTTTACAAACCTCTTGGCCATTAAAAAAGGTATAGGACTATATCAAAGTGTGAACTTTTAGTTAGATTTTATGCTTACTTTCGGTCATTATCAGGCTTTTATACTATGAAAAGTGTCGGATAGAACTATTTCGTGCCATCTTCACATTTTGTGGTACCAAAAACCTATTTGGTCACATATTTACAGCAAGTTCAACGCAGCATTACAAGGCAGGCTTTCTACATTTATTAGTATTATTGTGATAACCATACTACCTTGGCAATTATCTCCGCGGTATTCACTTGCGCATGAGCACCTGTAGCCCTCTATTTGATTTGTGCAGTTGCCATTATTTTGACATGGGGAGCTAACACATCCGTTGTAAACTAAAAATTTTCAGTTAATATTATCAACAAAATGTGACAAAGCGAATTTATTCTTTCAACCTTTCCAAGTACAATACAACGATTATTATACTTACAATATTCTTCGCTTCTGAGGTAAGAAGAGTCTATTAGAGATCAGAGTTTCAATGCCAGCATGAAAATTGACGATTTAAAGTAATGTTAGAAACAAATAGAATCATTTGAGGACTTAAAGATATGTCTGTCCCTCTGTCATGTGGCAGAAAATCTTGTTGTTTGCTTTTAGCTAAGTGGAATTCTAATTCAAGTAACAAAACTATGTCTATCGATGTGGCAAGCAAGGTTGTGTCCACCAATCAGAGCCGCCGGACGCAGATTAAATGACAGCGTAAATGGCTATGTGCTCCATTTAGAAGTCATACACTTTTGGGCATACCTAATCGTATAATTCCTCATGGACGTTGAAGTTTTTCGTTTGTTTAAATCTTACATCAACGCATGATTAATTTGGAAGCAAATGTGGCCTGTGACCAGTCAAGAAGACCAGCTAGTATTTGGGCTGTCTGGTTAGAATCATCATCAATGGCCTGTTTTCCGAAATGATTACCAAAAAGAATAATCCCCCATTAATGCAATCAAGTAACAAAAACTTAAAGACCCCTTCGCAGTAGATGTTGTTAGAAATTGTGAATCACTGGAGCAACGCCTTGATTTAAGTTCTTTTGCTTGGCGTCTAAAGGAAAAATATTTGGCTTTGAAAATAGTACACGCAATATTTTTCTCCAAAAAGGGCACTTTTCACACTTTTTCCAAACAGGGGGGGGCTGTGCCCCCGTGGCCCCCCCGGCTCCAGCGGCCCTGCCAATTGTATACGGATTTTTAAAAAAAATGTTGCCAAAAGATTAGTCTCGCAAGCCCTTCAGATTTCCTTAATTTGAAAAAGGCTTGCTACTTATGCTGCTGGTAGGAGAGGCAGAGATTCTCGATCTGATTATTCTGAAGTGCATATATCTGTAGAGATTGTATGTTAACTGTAAAGCACATGTTTTTGATATAAGGGTACCATGATCAATTTCGTTCTGCAGTCAAACAAGAGGATAGATTACTGTCTGTTTTTAATCCAATCGTTATTGCGTAGGCTTATTTGATAAAACGTCTTCAGAATCTGCTTTTTCGACCAGTTCCTGGCATGTTTTACGTGCAATAAGTCCAACATTGACTAGAGGCTACCACTAGTCACAGCCATTTTGAAGACGTCATGCAAGTTTGGAATAGCTGCTTCTCGTTACCTCTTGATAATTTCTAAATGCGTTTCTTATTATTTGAAAAATGAACATCCGTTGCTTGATGAATTGATATGCTGAGAAAGTAAGAGGTATGGTGAAAAATAATATTGGATGCCCTTAATTGAGATCCAGGAATGAATTCGTGTTATTATTTGCTCTTACATATATCTGCCGTCGTGTTTGTATATGTTGTCAGTCTCTATTACCAAAAGTTCTAGTGGTTACAGAAAATTCTTACCATCACAGTTTATCCCAGCCCATGCAGTGGTGCACTCACAGGAATAATAGCCAACCTGATCATTGCAAGTTCCTCCATTCGAACAGGGACTGCTTGCACATTCGTTGATGTCTGTTTGAATCGAAAATTGTTCTTAAATATAATTTTCAAAGCAAACATGACTTTTTTCATAGATATTGGGAAGATTCGTTTTCAAGATCCCACACTATTGGCTTTGGAAATTATCTCTAAATACTCATTTGTAAGAACCTACTATTTTCAGAGTTCTTAAATTCCTATGTTACTGCACGCGGGTTTTTACTGTATCGAAAATGATTTTACTTTTATGTTGGCGTGTAAAATTGAAGCAGAGTATCTTCAGCATTCCAAAGAATGAAGAGTACTTTTCTATTGAAACAAAGCAAACATTTAAAGATGCTTTGGAATGTTTTAAAATTGTTCAAAGCCGAACGCTTCCAATCACAACAAACAAAGCAATTCACACATTTTGCTATATCATTTTTTATAAACATGCTGTTTTCTTACCTCAGGTGACTTACGCTACGTTAAAGATGTTTGAAATTTTATTCTTATTGGATTGATAATGAGAAAATTCATTTTCATTTGCAAGTCAACTAGGTTTTCGAATATCATTGTGAAATGTCATACTAGTCGAGCAGTCAACTCCACTGTATCCCCTGAGGCATGAGCAACTGTAACCGTTGATCAGATCTGTGCAACTGCCACCATTTTGGCAGGGGGAGCTACTACACTCGTCAAAATCTAAAAGAAAATGCATTTGATCTTATTGATAAAATTTCACAAAGTGAATGATTTCTTTCAACTATTCAAAGTACGCTAGAATCTTCATTATATCTTTAAAAAAATCTTGCAAGAAATCAATTGAGAAATAAGATTTTGATTGCAAGCATTTAATTTATAGCTATGAAGAAAAGATACCATTCTAGTCAATTTGGATACAGTTGTTTCTCTTTTATTTCTCTTCTGTGTGGCAACAATGTTTACGGTCTGCTTTTAGTTAGGAAGGACATTGATTTAAGCTTTAGTAAACCAATAAATGCTAACCAATGTAGCAGCTAATATTGTTTCAGCTACCATTGCACTGATTGCTTACAAGCAAGGGCCAAGATTGGTTTTGAAATGTTTGAGGGGGGGGGGGGGGGGAAGGCTTTGATTTCCACCATTCCATAGAACATAGAGATTCTAAAAATTACTTTGTTACTATGAGATTCTCAAGAACTTTAGCCCCTTTGTCACCTTGGCCTTTCATTGCAAAAAAGACATATGGTACCCAAAAAAATCTATGCACCTATTTTTAAGTAACAATTACAACTATAAAACACCTACCTGTCTCGCATCTGTTTCCCTGAAAACCAGCAGCACAAGAGCATTGGAAGCTTGACGCAGAATTTGTGCAAGTCCCTTGGTTCAAACAAGGGCTGCTATGACAGTAGTTGTTCTCTGAAAAAAACATTTCTAACTAAAAAAGCTTGCTGTAAAATATTGGATATCTGAAATTCTAATATTGTTAAAAATTCTTGAATAGCTTTTTCAGAATAGATTCAAGTAAAACTTGCGCTGAGAATTCTAGACCCAGCTATCGCTTCAACGCTCGTTGTAACAAACGCCATCCAACAATGCAACTGAAATTTGCCTGAAAAGATAAAGTGACACATGCCTATATACTATACCCAATAGAAAATTGTAAAGTTTAGCTAACCAAGCAGGGGCTAAAATGCTGTAGGTTTTTCTAACGCCGTGTACAAACTTCTTGACCATAAAAAACGTTGGAAAATGCGAAAAAAACGGTTGCTCAAAGTTAGATGAAACGAAATTGATAATGAAGAAGCTTTTCAGGATGGTAATTTGAGAATGTGACAAGGCAAGGATAAATGAATAGTAAACTCCTTTTACCCGCACAGGTACTTCCTTGCCATTGTGTTGGGCAAGAGCAGTGATAAGAATTCAGTTGGTCCGTACATGTACCACCGTTGCGACATGGCGCACTTCCGCATTCGTCGATATCTGAAATAGGTAAATTCGTTTTCAAAACATGCCCTTTGACATTGTAAACTATTTATTCATCAATACTAATGTTATTTTAATATCTTTTCTAACCTGCCCTCTTGAATGAATCAAACTTTAAACAATTTTGTTCAATTATTATAGAAACTATTATTATATTATAGAAAACTATTATTATATTATATTTTACAATTATTATAGAATTATTATAGATCATTTTTGCTGTCAACCCTTGAGTACTCCCGCGTTTTTATTACTACAAATGTAACAGTTTATTTTGTAAAAAGGCTAGCCAGTTGCCAGTTACAAATATTCTATGCAAAGGAGAGACTTGCAATTGCAATTTTAGCTGGTATTCAAGATTAAAAGTTTCTATAATTATTTTTATTATTTTTGAAAGCACTTAAGCTAATTCAGATAGGCAAGCTAAATAATACCTTAACAACAAGTCATGTAATTGTACACTTAGATATGTTTTAATTAAAATGAGATGATTTATTTGGTTTTCTTAAAATGTAGTTTTAAAGGTCTTTTAAGAAATTTGTTTTTGGTTTAAGCTGTCTGCTGTGAAATCCAGATTAAAGAACAATATTGAAACTGACGGGAAACAAATGCCAGTTCCTTTTTTTCGTTTTTTTATGTTCAATATGCGGAGAGAGAAGCCCAAGTGCCTAAAGTTTTTTGCTTTTTGGTGGCTAAGTGTCGAGACCTGAAAGTCGAAGGAGAGTTTGCTATTAATATGCACTCCAAGGAGTTCTCTTCAGAGTTGTTTGTGAAATCAGCATTACCCTCGAACCTTAGCAAGTGACTCAAATGCATTTATCTGCATTTATTTTCAAGGAAAACAATTCTAAGACTAAGTTAAACTCTTTTTCAATTTTGCTGGTTGTATTATTTAGGTTCTTATTGCAAGGTGTTGGTAAATTTAGAAAGCCAAGGTGTTGATAAAAGGTTCCAAGCTTAATTGATTTATTACTTTAAAGAAGAACGTCAACTTTAAGCAGCATTGTGCAAAATAAGATTACTTGTCAAGCATTCTGTTCCTGTGTATCCTGGTTGGCAAACGCATGAATATCCATTCGTTGCTTCTATACAGCTACCACCGTTTTTGCAAGGAGAACTTTGACATTCCATAATTTCTGAAAAAGTATTTTGCAAGGAAGAAATAAAAATGTCAGACGTTTGTTAGCAAATTTATTCCTCGCCAGAAGTTACAACTTGAGAATATAGAAGTTAGTGTCTACTCAGTGGAAGTGTCTACTCGGTGGGGATGCTAGGTGGCAAGGCATGAGCAAGCAAGAATGTGTCTTTCAAAGTCATTCATTCTTATAAACTATGATTTATAGTATGATTTGTTTGAAATCTACAAATTCACTAGTAGGTAATAAGCCAAATTCCACAATTTCGTATTCAATTTACAGCTAAGAGAAAACAAGATTAAACGTAATAAGGACTTGGGGGTCTTCTATTTTACATTTAAATCCGAAATTAGGACTTCATGTCTATTCTGTACACGGCAAATCCAATCTAACTTGAACTCTAAGTCAAGAAGCGTTGGCTACTTCTGGCCACAAAATCCAGTGTAGAGTATATTTAATTAAAATCTTAATATCTGATCAAATCTACTATAGATAATGAATGTAACCAAATAATCCCACCTCGATTGCTTCCGTTACACCTCAAATAAGACATATTCATCAGAACTTTATGCATTTTTAATAAATATAATTGAGCCATGTCTTTTAGGCACGATACCTGATTCACAATGTTTTCCTTGGAATCCAGATTTACAAGTACATTCGAAGCTATTCAGCTTGTCAACGCAGGTCCCGCCATGAAAGCAGGGAAGACTGGCACATTCGTTGATTTCTGTTGGAAGTAAATGAGGATTTTAAATGTTATCTTCTTAATTATTAAATGTTATCAGTCATGGTGCAACTGACATGCAAAAATTGAGAACTGACAATAGCAATATTTCAACATATATCCACAAAACTGGCTGTTTGTTTGATCTAAACTTGGTAAACGAAAATCAGTAAGCAATGAAACATTTCGCTTTTACTCAACTTCAAACTATGCTCTAAGGAGTGAGACTCAGATTTTCGAAGTCTCTTTATAGAGATGGAAAATATGATAAAAGTCAGCAATCTTTAATACAAAACTAGATGTACTAGCCTTGTTCACATGCAGTGCCTGTGTATCCAGATGCACACGTACATTTGTAGCTCTCTTCAGTATTTGTACATGTTCCATTGTTCAGACATGGGTCACTTTCGCATTTATCTTCATCTACATAGAAAGATTTCACTTTTAATCTTAATATTAGATATATGAAATTTCTGGCTGCAAACTTTCTAGCAGTTAGATATTTAAAAAAAAAATTTTCTACTTTGTTTGAAAAGTATTTAAAAAGAAAGATTATACACCACTCATATTTCAATAAAATCTTTTCACAATATCTAAACACACGACTATCATTATTAATGATTTCATGCTATCAAAAGCCAGACGTATATTTTTCTAATTTTGTATGCAGGGGCGGATCTAAGCAACAATGATTGGGGGGGTGTTAGACACTGATTTTGGTGCCACACCTTTCAGGTCACTGGAGAATTATGGAAACGCACATTTTCAAAATTCCGTTTTAACATTAAGGCTAAGATGATAAAAAGTAGTGGCGTAGCCAGGTTTGGAAGATTAGAGGGGCAAAGAGGAGAAAATTTTTGCTGACCACACCCTTAACAATTTAGAAAAACACCCCATTTTGCGAAGCGTTTGGAAAAGCTATGGCTTTTTTACGTGGCAATTTCGCTTTATACAACGTCATATCTGGCTTTTTGTGGCTGACCCCATTCTACAACTGCCTAAGTCCGCCCCTGTTTATATGGTAGTTACTCTTGAGTATTGATAAAAACTGACAAAAAAGTCATTTAAACATTTTCATTTGTCATCATGTAGGCATTGACTAGGATGAATATTTGTGAGGAATGTTAACCTCTTACCATTTCAGAAATAAAACCAAAATTACAAATTTATCCTTAGAAATCCTTTTAAGCCCAGCTACCCTTTTTAGAATTTCTAGCAAGGCAACTTTATTTATGCAGTAAGATATTTCTGATATTGGGAAACCTTGCAGCTTGTCGCAATGTAAGCCCGTTTGCTTTTCATCACAATGAATGCATTCGTAGTAAGGATGGTGACACGTTTCCCTGCAGAGGACGTTACTAGCACACGGATGAAGCTTCTGGCATGTCTCTCCAACCTGGCAAAGGATTAGATTTATCATTATGTAAATGTCCACAATTCCTTATTCTTCTATGAACATTCAACATTTGTGGGAATTCCTATTAGTTTTACATACTTTCTTCAATATCTATTTTCCATATGATTTAGTTCCTATCGGCAAAATTGCATGGATTAAACATCTAACTCACCTCTGTCTGGTTGTAATCTGTTGACTTGTAAACCCAGCCAGGTCTTTGAACAAGACTACTTCCATTTTCACCAGCAATCTTACTGTTCAGCTCACAAACTGCTGTGACATTCTGTATATTGTATGATTTACATTTCGGATGCTTTACACATTCCAAAGTGCAGTCTGCATCATGGATACCTTGTATTGTTGCCAACAGGCTTCCTTGAAGAGACCAATCAACTTCAAATATCGTGAAATCTGCATGGACCAGGCAAGGGAGGCGAAGAATCAGCCCATTGCAATAATTCCATAGATTTGCAAGCATCCATAATCTGGAATATATCATATTTTTTATGAAACTTTAAACGTCGTATCGTTAAAATTTATTTTATATTGCAATTTATCCTTGATTTTCTGAAATTATTTGAAATCTGTTGGTATGAGTTCCTTCACGGAAAGCTCATACCTATTGTAAAAAATCTGTTCAATATCTTTGATCAATTAGGCAGGAATGTCATCTATCTGGTTGAGTAATACAACAGGAAGTCATTCTGGACCCCTGTTCTCATCTTATTTATATAACAGCTCGATCTAGCCAAGAGGGTTTTAGATCCTCTGAATACTGTAATTATTCGAATTAATGCCAGAGCTCGAAAAGATGCCGGTTTTGAGTAGACGCCAGACAAATGTTCCTAGTTTTGAACTGCCGAGGGCGGTCATTCGAGGTAGATTATAGTCAGATATACAGAAGGCATTCAGAAATAGCAAATAATCAAGATTTCTGTTTCAAAATTGCAGAAAATATTAAAGTTAAATTAGCAGAAACAATTAACTTTAAAAAGTTTATTTGGTGCTGTCAATTTATGTACGCCGGGTCTCAAATAAACGCTGGTTTAAAATAAAGCCAGGGTGAAAAATAGGCTTTAAGAAAATTCGCCGGGGCGTCTTTTCAGGCAAATGCTGTATCCAAGAAAAGCTATGTAAACCTGAATTATTCTCTCTTGATTAATCGCTCATTTGTGCCTTAAGAAATGTTAGTTTTGTTACCTTAATAAACACTAACAATTGTAAAGTACCTTGTGTTATAATTGCATTTTACAATCAAACCGCTGATAAAAGGAAAAGCTAAAGGACTTTCAATCAGATCAATTAGATTTTTATTGTACGTACCTTAACAGCGACGAAAGCCCACGAAAGGCAGTGAGCTTGGCGTTTTCTCTCTTTAAATTAACTTTGTTCAGCATCTTTTAATGTACTTCAAAGCAAAAAAAATATTTTATAGACAAGTGCACCAAAAAGATTATTTTTCACTTCGTGAATTTTCTGTAAATTCTTTCTCGTTCTGTCGTTCTTAAACCGTATCATTCCGTCGTTATGTCGTTTGCTGTGGTGTACAGAGAGGGGATTTGTTGGCGTAACCCTTCGAAGTCGTTTCAGACCACATCCTTCATCTTAAAAAAGGGCCTATCTACAATTGTAGTGCTGCACCTTCTAATAGATCCTATTTTTCAAAGGTAAATTGTTCAAAGATGCTTTCTCCCTGCATATTTGCGCCACAAATATGCTTCAAATTGGTAATTTAGTATTTATCAAAAAATGCATCAGATGAAAATGCAATGAAACTAGAAAAAATTTCATATAGCGTTATTTTAATGCTCTTAACGCAACGCTGTGGAACTGCAAGCACAATTAAAGCATGTTTCCATTGTCGTGTGAACAACTGTTGAAAAGGTTCGTTCCATTCCATTCAAGTTTGAACTTAGGCTAGGGTTCGCAGCTCAAATAAACGACTCTAAAAATGTACGAGTATAAAAATATTCTAGTATTAAAGTAAATACCATCAGTACGATGTCCGCATCTCGAGTCTCTTCTGTTCTTCTGGATCATTAAAGACCCAAAATTGGTGGGTCTAGCCTCTTATAAAAGCCGGCCTATTGACATCAAATGATATTCATTTTAATTCTTTAAATTAGTGGTAATCTGAGTCATGTTTTGTTGGCAGGTTCCTTCCAAAAAGTAATCATCTGTGGTTTTTGAGTATTATTTTTAACTTCAAGTATCAATTCTTTTTTTCGTGTCAACATTCGAAATGAATCTTCATAGTTTGTCTATTATTTTATTATTGATGTTTTTTTGCATCACCTTACCCGCAGTTTGTCTTTGCATTTTACCAATAGTTTGATTGTTGTTATTTGAAATATCTCGCTACACGTTATGCAATTTAACGGTGTAGGCCCCGAATAAAGTCCGGTCAAGCTGATAGCGAAAGAAATCCGGTCAAGCTGATACCGAAAGAAGTCCGGTCAAGCTGATACCGAAAGAAGTCCGGTCAGGCTAGTACCGAAAGAAATCCGGTCAAGCTGATACCGAGAGAAGTCCTGTCAGATGGATACCGATGCAGATGCTATACCAGCTATGCAAAAGGCTCCCTCGATGTCGATGTTCTTGTAAAACTAATGATACCACATTCTTTAATAAAGTAGAATGTTACAACAAACGTCATGGAAATATTACAGATATCGCAGATTTTGCATATTTTGAGACATTTGGCCATGCTTTTTCGCTCATATGATAAAAACTTTAAATTTAAAAATAAATGTTTATGATGTCAACACTTTAGCACTACCCTGTCGATCTGCACAGTTCAGCAAACTTGCCCTCTAATCTACTAGTTTAATCAATTTTCTGATTTATCCATAGGCCGTTCCTGCTTTTCTTTCACAATTCAAGATGCAGCATTTTTGGCAAAAGTGATTCTGCTCAATACAAGAAATCGTTATTCGAATAGTTGGTGAAATTAACAGTGAAAGACACGAGACAATTTCTTTAAAGGGGATGTAACACATCTTTCGTACAATCAATTTTGTTCTAGCATAATGTACCGGCAAGATTAACTTTCTCGGACATCGAGCTTACGTTGCATTATTCTGTGCTGAGAATGATGTGAATTTGCTAATGAGGACCAAGCGAACTTCTGTAACGGTATAAGTTGTATGTAAAATGATAATATGTGTACATGAAGGATGCAATGACTGACCATGTGGTAGAATAAACCTTAATGTCCTTCAAATACACAGAGAAAGTTTTTAAATAGTTAACCAGGAAACAGTTTTTACAGCTATAAAGAAGACGTTGAAATAAAGAAAAAGCCTAAAAAAGCTTTAAGAAGTGAATTCTGTGTTGTTCTATGTTGAGGGACATATACCAGAAGCGACAAAGAAATGGTCTATCTGCTGCAAAAAAGAGAAAGAGATTTCAAGGGAATTGAATCAAGACAAAACAATGGTGAGGTAATGAATTGAAAAATGGCAAAGGACATTGAACTAAAGATTCAATGTTAAGTATGAACATGGTCACTGATGCCAAGATAAAGCCTGGTTTCCATATGATCGCTGAGGATTGCTAAGGATCGCTGAGGATCGCCGAAATTCTGTAACGATCCTCAGCTCTCGTGAACGATCCATGTTACGTGACAGTGGACGTGACAAGAGAAGAATAATCATTAGCAATTGTAAAATGTAAAAAGCTGGAGATAAGAAACTCGACAAGTTGAGATTTATGGAAGATTTGCAGCAGTACGAATGTCTTTATAACAAATTCAGCCGAGAATTTAAAGATAAATACAATTGGACCCGAAGAAGCTGGGCTCATATCCAAAACTATAAGGACGGACTATGGGCGATCCTCAGCGATTAGCAGCGATCCTCAGTGATTTTCAGTTATCCTCAGCGATCGTCAGCGATCATATGGAAACCAGGCCTACGATTTCAGCTTTAACGAGGGTACCCAATGTGTTTTCGAGAAAGAGGGAATCGTCATTGTTGTAGTTGGGAATCGGGCACTGTCGAAATTTTTGTGAGCAGGATGGAGGAATCGATATTACCGGGACTCGGTAATTGATGGTTGGAACTCGGAAATGGGCGAAAAACGCACAGGGAATTCGGGAATAAGCGGGTCTAACCGGAACCGACATTAACATGCTGAATATTTTCCCATTCATAATTCAAAGCGGCCACCACTAAATTTTTTATTAATCCTAACAGATCTCAATTAGGCCCCCATAAAGGTTTATTAAAACGCAAAAAAAATTGTCTGCAAGGGAAGGGCTTTTTTTAGGTTGTAGGTTTCAAATATTGTTTTATATGTTTTTAAACAATTCTAATCTGACTCAATTTTGTGCTGCCTTTTGTAGCATTTTGGAAATAACATATCTGTTAGCCTTATGGCCTAAATTGTAATTAATTAGCATAAAACGCTAAGCAGAGCCTTTATGAAATTTTGCAAACTTAGGACGCTTTCGAAGGTTCAACTGCTTCATGCATATCTCTTCCCTGTGAGATTCTGTAAACATTTTTTTTCAAAGAATATCAAGATAAGAATTGTCCAGCTTCTCTGTTTTCAAACAGGTTGTAAATGTTTGAGTTTGTCAGCTTTTTAATTTACCTGAAGATGTCAACTGCTTCTTGGTGATCTCAGACAACTGCGTCAACTTCGGTCAAGAATATTCTCATTTTTCTATCAAAACCACCATGAATAGAAAACCATTTTGCGTTTTCTATTCAGCCTTAACAAAAACTGGATCGGTTCCATAAATTAACTTCTACACTATTAACTAATAACTGTATGCATTAAAAGCAAGTAGCTTTAATCACTTGTTCGTTGTGCTCTAGATCAAAATTTTGTATCAATCTCTAAGAAACATGAATATATCATAAATCTGTTTGATGGTTGAAAGAATCAGAGAATAAATGATAAGAACCAAAGAAGGGAGTAAAGGTATATACCAAAACATGTCCGTGTGCTATAGACTTTGAAATAAGTATATTATTTAAATGCACATTACTACAACAATAAAGAAGAAATGATAAAGAACATATCACAAGTTGATGTTACAAAGTATTCCTCAATTTGCTACCAGTCTAATCTGATGTCGAATCATATTTATAATGTTTTGATGTTTATGTTTTCAACGTTTTTGTTCATTAATTTCTTTAGAAAACAAGGTCTACCAACCTTAACCCTATCCCTATCCCTAACCCTAACCCTAACCCTAACCCAGAAGAAAATCAAGCACTCCTTATGAACTGGCAAGGAAAACATGTACTAAGCAAAATAAAAAGCTTACTTGAGCTGACATTTGGAAATGCTCTGAATCCCTCCCCCTCCCCTTTGTTTACTTTTCTATCATAATTCCTTGACTTATTACCTTGAGGGCTTATCAATTTAGAAAGCTCTTAGATAGGGGGCAATTAAAAGAAGGGGCTTAATCAAAGGAGAGGCTTACCAGAATCACCTTCAAGTTATCAATTAAATAGAAACTAGAGTACACAAATATTGTTTTTACTTTATAATATTTTTAAGTATCAATTAAAGCATAAATATAGAAGGTGGAAAATAATGCTATGCTCAATTTTTTCGGGTACACTTCGTCAATGTCTTCCCATTCACCACTAAATTTGTTATTAATCCTAACAGATCTTAATTAGGCCCCCATAAAGGTTTATTGAAACGCAAAAAACTTGTCTGCAGGGGAAGGGCATTTTTTAGGCTGTGGGTTTCAAATATGGTTTTATATGTTTTTAAACAATTCTAATCTGACTCAATTTTTCGCTGCCTTCAGAAGCATTTTGGAAATAACATATCTGTTAGCCTTATGGCCTAAATTGTAATTAATTAGCATAAAACGCTAAGCAGAGCCTTTATGAAATTTTGCAAACTTAGGACGCTTTCGAAGGTTCAACTGCTTCATGCATATCTCTTCCCTGTGAGATTCTGTAAACATTTCTTTCAAAGAATATCAAGATAAGAATTGTCCAGCTTCTCTGTTTTCAAACAGGTTGTAAATGTTTGAGTTTGTCAGCTTTTTAATTTACCTGAAGATATCAACTGCTTCTTGGTGATCTCAGACAACTGCGTCAACTTCGGTCAAGAATATTCTCATTTTTCTATCAAAACCACCATGATGATGATTCTTGAGAAAAAAATTTAAAATCTTATGTTGGATTGAGTGTTTGGCAGAATTGCCTTTATACCTAAAAAAGTTAATCGCAACATGAAAAATCATAATCAGTTAAAAAAACTTTAATGTACCCCCTTTCTTTTTCTGCGTGCCAAAGATAACTTAATCAAAGGCAGAGACCAACAGTGCCTTGCCCAAGAATTTCAAAGTCGTAAAAAATGAGCTGAAAATTAAATATCCAGGTGTGAAACCAAGGTAACGTGAGAGGCAGAAAGACTCGTCGCTGGAATAAATTGGAGCCTTTTTGCTCTAATGATGCTTTTAGTTCACACTTGGATATAGATTTTATGCTTACTTTCGGTCATTATCAGGCTTTTATACTATGAAAAGTGTCGGATAGAACTATTTCGTGTCATCTTCACATTTTGTGGTACCAAAAACCTATTTGGTCACATATTTACAGCAAGTACAACGCAGCATTACAAAGCATGCCTTCTACTTTTATTAGTATTATTGTGATAACCATACCATCTTGGCAATGATATCCGCTGTATCCTCTCGCGCATGAGCACTTGTAGCTGGCTGTTTGATTTGTGCAGTTGCCATTATTTTGACATGGGGAGCTAGCACATCCGTTGTAAACTAAAAATATTTCAGTTAATATTATCAACAAAATGTGACAAATTGAATTTATTCTTCAACATTTCCAAGTAGAATACAACGACTAAGGTTGTGTCCACCAATGGTATACGGATTGCTTGGAATTTTAAAAAAAATGTTGCCAAAAGGTAAGTCTCGCAAGCCCTTCAGATTTCCTCAATTTGAAAAAGGCTTGCTACTTATGCTGCTGGTAGAAGAGGCAGAGATTCTCGATCTGATTATTCTGAAGTGCATATATCTATAGAGACTGTATGTTAACTGTAAAGCACATGTTTTTGATATAATGGTACCATGATCAATTTCGTTTTGCAGTCAAACAAGAGGATATATTACTGTCTGTTTTGAATCCAATCGCTATTGCGTAGGCTTTGAAAGCTAAAACGTCTTCAGAATCTTCTTTTTCGAACAGTTTCTGGCATGTTCTACGTGCAATAAGTTCAACATTGCCTAGGGGCTACCACTAGTCACAGCCATTTTGAAGACGCCGTGCAAGTTTGGAAGAGCTGCTACTCGTTTCCTCTTCATAATTTCTAAATGCGTTTCTTATTATTTGAAAAATGTATATCCGTGGCTTGAAGATTTGATATGCTAAGAAAGTAAAGGGTATAGTAAAAAATAATATTCGATGCCCTTAATTGAGATCCAGGAATAAATTTGTGTTAATTATTGCTCTTACATATATCTGCCGTCGTGTTTGTATATGTTGTCAATCTTTATAAACAAAATATCTAGACAACTCAATTTAAAAGAACAAAATTTACATGATAGTTGAAGAAAATTCTTACCAGCACAATTTACCCCAGTCCATGGAGTGGTGCACTGACAGGAATAATAGCCAACCTGATCATTGCAAGTTCCTCCATTCGAACAGGGACTGCTTGCACATTCGTTGATGTCTGTTTGAATCGAAAAGGGTTCTTTAATATAATTTTCAAAGTAAACATGACTTTTTTCATAAATATTAGGAAGATTCGTATTCAAGATCCCACACGTCTGGCTTTGGAAATTATCTCTAAATACTCATTTGTAAGAACCTACTATTTTCAGAGTTCTTAAATTCCTATGTTACTACACGCGGGTTTTTACTTTATCGAAAATGATTTTACTTTTATGTTGACGTGTAAAATTGAAGCAGAGAATCTTCAGCATTCCAAAGGTTGAAGAGTACTTTTCTATTGAAAAAAGCAAACATTTAAAGATGCTTTGGAATGTTTAAAAATTGTTCAAAGCCGAACGCTTGCAATCACAACAAACAAAGCAATTCACACTTTTTGCTATATCATTTTTTATAAACATGCTGTTTTCTTAACTCAGGTGACTTTCGCTACGTTAAAGATGTTTGAAATTTTATTCTTATTGGATTGATAATGACAAAATTCATTTTCATTTGCAAGTCAACTAGGTTTTCGAATATAATTGTGAAATGTCATACTAGTCGAGCAGTCAAATCCACCGTATCCTCTGAGGCACGAGCAGCTGTAACTGTTTATCAGATCTGTGCAATTGCCACCATTTTGGCAGGGGGAGCTACCACACTCGTCAAGATCTAAGAAATTTATTTGATCTTATTGATAAAAGTTTACAAAGCGGATAGATTCTTATGCGAATTAATTGAGAGATAAAATTTTGATTGCAAGCATTTAATTGAAAGCTATCAAGAAAAGATACCATTTTAGTCAATTTGGATAAAGTTGTTTCTTTTCCATTTCTCTTCTGTGTGACAACAATGTTTACGGTCTGGATTTAGCTAGGAAGGACATTGATTTAAGCTTTAGGAAACCAATAAATGCTAATAAAAATGGCAGCTAATATTGTTTCAGCTACCATTGTACTGATTGTTTGCAACCAAGGGCCAAGATTGGCTTTCAAATGTGGGAGGAGGGGGGCTTTGATTTCCGCCATTTTAAAGAACATAGAGATTCTCAAAATTACCTCTTGATATAATAGGTATGACTTCAACAATTCTTTGGGGTCTCAAGAACTTTAGCCCCTTTGTCACCTTGGCCTTTGTTTGCAAAAATGACTTATGGTATCCCAAAAAAATCTATGCACCTATTTTTAAGTAACAATTACAACTATAAAACACCTACTTGTCTCGCATCTGTTTCCCTGAAAACCAGCAGCACAAGAGCATTGGAAGCTTGACGCAGAATTTGTGCAAGTCCCTTGGTTCAAACAAGGGCTGCTATGACAGTAGTTATTCTCTGAAAAAAAACATTTCTAACTAAAAAAGCTTGCTGTAAAATATTGGATATCTGAAATTTAAATATTGTTAAAAATTGTTGAATAGCTTTTTCAGAATGGATTCAAGTTAAACTTTCGCTTAGGATTCTAGACTCAGCTATTGCTTCAACGTTCGTTGTAACAAACGCCATCCAACAATGCAACTGACATTTGCATGAAAAGATAAAGTGACCCATGCCTCTAAACTATACCTAGTACAAAATTGTAAACCTTAGCTAACCAAGCAGAGGCTAAAATGCTGTAGACGCCGTTTACAAACTTCTTGACAATAAAAAACGTTGGAAAATGCGAAAAAATGGTTGTTCAAAGTTAGATGAAACGAACTTGATAATGAAGAAGCTTTTTAGGATGATAATTTTAGAATGTGACAAGGCAAGGATAAATGAATAAGAAACTCCATTTACCCGCACAGGTACTTCCTTGCCACTGTGTTGGGCAAGAGCAGTGATAAGAATTCAGTTGGTCCGTACATGTACCACCGTTGCGACATGGCGCACTTCCGCATTCGTCAATATCTGAAATAAGTAAATTCACCAAAACATGCCCTTTAAAATTGTAAGCTATTTATTCACCAATAATAATGTCATTCTAATATCTTTTCTAACCTGTACTCTTAAATGAATCAAATTTGAACAATTTTGTTCAATTATTATAAAAGTTATCATTTTTGTTGTCGACCCTGAGTACTCCCATTCTTTATTACTACAAATGTAAAAGTTTATTTTGTAAAAAGGCTAGCCAGTTGCCAGTTACAAAAATCCTATGCAAAGGAGAGACTTGCAATTGCAGTTTCAGCTGGAATTCAAGATAAAAAGTTTCTATTATGATCTTTATTACTTTTGAAAACACGGATAGAACTTGGGGAATCCTAAACATTTAAGCTAATTCAAATATGCAAGCTAAATAATACCTTAAAAATAAGTCGAGTGATTGTAAACTTAGATATATTTTAATTAAAATGAGATGATTTATTTGGTTTTCCTAAGATGTGGTTCTCAAGGTCTTTTCAGAAATTTGTTTTTGGTTAAGCTGTCTGTTGTGAAATTCAGATTAAAGAACAATTTTGAAACTGATGGGAAACAAATGCCAGTTCCTTTTCTCGTTTTTTATGTTCAATATGCGGAGAGAGAAGCCCAAGTGCCTAAAGTTTTTTGCATTTTGGTGGCTGATTGTCAAAACCTGAAAGTCGAAGGAGAGTTTGCTATCAATATGCACTCCAAGTAGTTGTTTGTGAAATCAGCATTACTAATCTCAAAAAACCAAGTGGACCCTCGTACCTTAGCAAGTGACTAAAATGCATTTATCTGCATTTATTATCAAGGAAAACAATTCTAAGACTAAGTTAAAGTCATTTTCAAGCTTGCTGGTTGTATTATGTAGGTTCTTATCACAAGGTGTTGATAAATTTAGAAAGCCAAGGTGTTGGTAAAAGGTTCCAAGCTTAAGTGATTTGTTGCTTTAAAGAAGAACGTCATCTGTAAGCAACATTGTGCAAAGTTAGATTACTTGTCCAGCATTCTGTTCCTGTGTATCCTGGTTGGCAAACGCATGAATATCCATTCGTTTTTTCTATACAGCTACCACCGTTTTTGCAAGGAGAGCTTTGACATTCCATAATTTCTGAAAAAATATTTTGCAAGGAAGAAATAAAAATGTCAGACGTTTGTTAGCAAATTTATTCCTCGCCAGAAGTTACAACTTGAGAATATAGAAGTTAGTGTCTACTCAGTGGAAGGTTGTCGGTAGGGATGCTAGGTGGCAAGGCATGAGCAAGTAAGAATGTGTCTTTCAAAGTCATTCATTCTTCTGCAATATACGAAAGAATGTGTATACATTTTTATTAAGTCTTTAAGAACCCAGTGCCAAGGAAAGGTATTTTCAAAAACTAAGCAAATAGAAAATATACGGTTATATTGTGAAAATACTTTTGATTTATACAAAGACTTGTTTGAAATCTAAAAAGCAACTGGTAGATAATAAGCCAACTTCTACAATTTCGTATCAGTTCACAGCTAAGAGGAAATAAGATGAAACGTGATGCGGAGTAACAGGTCTTCTATTACACATTCAAACCTGAAATTAGGAATTCATATCTTTTCTGAAAACGGCAAATCCCCACTAATTAGAACTCAAAGTCGAAAAGAGTCCGCTACTTCCAACCAGAAAAACCAGTGTATTGAATAACTAATGATAATGAGTACAACCAAATAACCACACCTCAATTGTTACCGGTACACCTTGAATAAGACATATTCATCAAAACTTTATGCATTTTTAATAGAGAATTGAGTCATGTCTTTTAGGCACGATACCTGATTCACAATGTTTTCCTTGGAATCCAGATTTACAAGTACATTCGAAGCTATTCAGCTTGTCAACGCAGGTCCCGCCATTAAAGCAGGGAAGACTGGCACATTCGTTGATTTCTGTTGGAAGTAAATGAAGATTTTAAATGCTATCTTCTATATATTCATGGTGCAACTGACATGCAAAATTTGAGAACTGGCAATAGCAATTTGCAGTTCATTGGTTGCTTGTAAGGCCCTAGACGCACCGAACAAGATTTCAGGAAGAACATCTGACACTCTTAATCTCATTGTTCATAGAGGAAAGAGATTATAACTGTTAGTAAACAAATGCTGAATTTCCATTGCGCCCACCCGCCATTTAACCAAATTCACTAATCCCTCAAAGGTTCAGTTGTCTTGCCCCAGAGCAGGACGAGCTCGGTAAAACGAAAATGATTAGCAATTAACGCATTTCTCTGGGGCTATACAAAACCCAAAGTCAAATCGTTCTTTGATTTAAACAACATTTCATTAGCCTAATAGCAAACAACTACTTCACATACGAACTGCAGCGCGCTCGAATTTCCAAGCGGAAATCGGATTTTCTTTGTCAAACTTGAAAAAGGGTTCTCGATTCTCCACTTTGACAAAGATAATGAGTTTTAAGTCAGAAATTAGTGTATCTAGGGCCTAAGACCTGTATTTGTAAAAATCAGCTCGCGAATAAAGATATCACTTTTTCAAAACTTCAAACAATCTTCTATAGCCCACCGCACACAGCAGACTTTTTTTTTGAAAGACGAAGATTTTTGTCTTCGACTTATCCGCACACGACAGCTTTTGGTCTTTGAAAGACAAAGGTTTTTGTCTTAACAGATTGAAGCACAGACAGAAAATTGCTTATGTTTAGTTTTCGATGACGGTCTTTGAAAGACAAAAATCTTTGTTTTTGACAAGCGCATACGGCAGATTTCTGTCTTTGGAATGCTAAAGACAACAATCTTCGTCTTTCAAAGACAAAAGTCTGCCGTGTGTGCTGGGCTTATGTGATGAGATCGATAATTATCAAAATCTTCTATAAATGACGATTAAAACAATTTAGCTTTTAGATAAAACTAGATGTACTAGCCTTGTTCACAAGCAGTGCCTGTATATCCAGATACACATGTACATTTGTAGCTCTCTTCGGTATTCGTGCATGTCCCCTTGTTCAGACATGGGTCACTTTCGCATTTATCTTCATCTACAGAGAAAGATTTCACTTTTGATTTTAATATTAGATATATGAAATTTCTAGCTGCAAACTTTCTAGCAATTAGATATTTGAAAGAAAAATTTTCTACTTTGTTTGAAAAGTATTTAAAAAGAAAGATTTTACACCACTCATATTTCCATAAAATCTTTTCACAATATCTAAACACACGACTATCATTATTAATGATTTTATGCTATCAAAAGCCAGACGTATATTTTTCTAATTTTGTATGCAGGGGCGGATCTAAGCAACAATGATTGGGGGGGTGTTAGACACTAATTTTGGTGCCACACCTTTCAGGTCACTGGTAAATTATGGAAACGCCCATTTTTAAAATTCCATTTTACTTTAAGGTTAAGATGATAAAAAGTAGTGGCGTAGCCAGGTTTGGAAGATTGGAGGGGCAAAGAGGAGAAAATTGTTCCTGACCACAAACTTAAGAATCTAGGAAAAAACCCCATTTTGCAAAAGCGTTTGGAAAAGCTATCGCTTTTTACGTGGCAAATTTTGCTTTATACAACGTCATATCTGGCTTTTTGTGGCTGACCCCATTCTACAACTGCCTATTTCCTTGACAATTCATCTAACGCTTACATTCTGAATTCTGTAGGGCGAGGAAGCACTACGTGTAAAAGCTGATTCTCCACAGTTTTAATCAAATATCTAAAAATAACAAGCCAGACGTATATTTTTCTAATTTTGTATGGTAGTTACTCGTGAGTATTGACAAAAACTGACAAAAATGTCATTTAAATATTTTCATTTGTCATCATGTAGGCATTGACTTAGATGAAAATTTGTGAGGTATGTCAACCGCTATACCATCAATTTAAGAAGCAATGCCGGTGACCATTTCAGAAATAAAACAAAAATTAAAAATTTTTCCTCAGAAATCCTTTTAAGCCCAGCTATCCATTTAAGAATTTCTAGCAAGACAACTGTATTTATGCAGTAAAATATTTCTGATGTTGGGAAACCTTGCAGCTTGTCGCAATGTAAGCCCGTTTGCTTTTTATCACAATGAATGCATTCGTAGTAAGGATGGTGACAGGTTTCCCTGCAGAGGACGTTACTTGCACACGGATGAAGCTTCTGGCATGTCTCTCCAACCTGGCAAAAGATTAGATTTATCAGTATGCAAATGTCCGCAATCTCTTTTTCTTTATGAACATGCAACATTTGTGAGAATTCCACTTAGTTTTACATACTTACTTCAATATCTATTTTCCATATGATTTAGTTCCTATCGGCAAAATTGCATGGATTAAACATCTAACTCACCTCTGTCTGGTTGTAATCTGTTGACTTGTAAACCCAGCCAGGTCTTTGAACAAGACTACTTCCATTTTCACCAGCAATCTTACTGTTCAGTTCACAAACTGCTGTGACATTCTGTATATTGTATGATTTGCATTTAAGATGCTTTACACATTCCAATGTGCAGTCTGCATCATGGATACCTTGTATTGTTGCCAACAGGCTTCCTTGTAGGGACCAATCAACTTCGAATATCGTAAAATCTGCATGCACCAGGCAAGGGAGGCGAAGAATCAGCCCATTACAATCGTTCCATAGATTTGCAAGCATCCATAATCTGGAATAGATTATTTTTCTTATAAATCAAAATATTTCATATCGTTGAGTTTAATTTTATATTAAAATTGGACCTTATTTTTCCCTTTTCTTTGAAATCTATTGATTTTTGTTTCTTAACATTAAGTTAATATCTATGGTCAAATGTCTCTTTTCTCGCTTTGATAAACTAAGGTGCCTAACATGAAGCCACAAAAATTTGTTGAGTATTAAAAATAGGTCATTCTCAAATGCTATGAGCATTTGAGATTCTCTCAATCTATGGTTGTCTATTATTTTCACGTTTTTTGTTTGCGTATCTACAATGCCTGCCAAAAGTCTTGGAACACTAATGTCATTTTCCAAATCAAGTCAAAATCAATCATCCCCCTCCCCCACGGAACATTGTTGGTTTACTATAAAACAGGTTTGGATTATAGGAAAGACTTCTTTCATTATATTTCTCTAAATTATCAAGATTGTTTTAGGGGGAAGGGGAAGGAAGTAATAATTTTTATTTCGGAAAAGAAATGAAAGATGTAGAATGCAGTGCAAAATGCTGGTTGTTCTAAGTTCTTTTGGCAGGCATTGTATGTTGCTCCAGGTAAGGCAGGTGCCTTGTGTGCCACTTTAAGGAAGGAGGCTACAGTGATCGTAGAAGCGAGGGCTACGAAGGCTTTAGCCCCCCCCCCCCAAAAAATAAAATTCCAAAATTTTCTTAAAGCCATATCAAAATCATCCTGCTCTTGGTTTTTAGCATGTCTAGTCTCTTCAAAACTGTTCTGCCCCTCCCCCTTCAATCTATAATATGCTCCCTGGTCCTTGGAAAGTTACACAGTAGGTATTTTAGTACCACATTTTAGCACATTTTAATGGTTAGGGTTTGTGGGATTAAAAAGCAAATCACCTATGCTCAAGTAAAACACTATTTTATTATTGTCAGCTGCATTAACGCTGCTATATCACAGTTTTTTTTAAATCTGTAGGATATTTGCATGAACTTTCATGTCACTGCTTATGGTTTGAAAGCCCTTGAGACCATTTTGATCATAAATGAAAAGTGTAAATCAGCGTGTCAATCGAAGAAGTGGCATGTTGAAGTAGAAAAACGCCTGAGACGGAAAAAGCAAGTGGTTGATAAGAACCCAATAAATGCTGGGTTAACAGACAAGGTGGGGAGGGAAAGTGTTATGAAGGTAACATTCGACCATTTTAACAGAGAAATCGATTAAAGATTTACTAGTTCGATTACGTATACATGCATTCAGTCATACATAATTATCAAATAACCCATTCTTACCACTTTCATCTTGTAGGGTTTAGATTTTTAACTTTATATTTTCTAATGCTGAATTAATGCCTCGACTGGGTAACAATACCCTAAGAACTTATCAATTTCACTGCTCAGTATGGAGATGACTGTGTCATTCTAAATATGCTAGCCATTGCAATTTTTTTAGCCAGCTGTGATAGATTATTTGGCAAGTTGAAAACAATGCCTTCATTATAGAAAGATTCAACGGGGCAAGGAAAAATCTGTGATCTTGTTTTGCTCAGTGCAGACAGAGACGAAGCTGAAAAATCTGACTTCCAACGCATCATAGACCAGGCCATGGAAACAAATGCAAGAAACGTGTAGTTGTTTTTTTAATCTTTTTTTATGATTTTAAAGCCTTTGGCCTTCTAATCTCATTTGAAAAAAGGAATGAGTGTGCCCTATATTTTAAACGGAATACCTCTAATATATTTCCAGAAATTATTTTGCGCTACATATATTTTATATTCACCATTTAAAGAGATCATGGTTCCCGTTCATTATGTCGATATGGCTTTGCTAGATCCTACAATCTTATTTTTATCCATAAATCACTTTGGAATCTATTGTAGTCCAATTTTTTGTTATGGAAACCAGAATTGTGGCAATGATTCAGAGATTCGGATTAATAAGAAACAGGTCGATTAACCAAGTTTTAAAATTTGGAGTGTTGAATAATCAAAATTATTGGTTTGAGAGATCCTTGAAGAGGGGCGAATTATCAGTGGTTACAATAGGTACTTTTCCCCTAGATACTCCATTGCTTTTTGGTTTTATCAATTGTACTTTTGCATATATTAGTCTTGTCACCCTATAAATATAGTCAAGGTTGGAAATGAAGATATTGTAGCATGACAGAGAATCATGAACTCATTTAAATCATGAATTTCGACAATGATTAACTCATTAAGCAATCATTACAAATAAATTATTAAATGTAAGAGACGTACCGTAACAACGATGAAAGCCTATATAAAACACCAAGTTTGGGGTTGCTATTCTCCAAATGATGTCTGTCCAGCATATTTTCATTTGCTTGAACATAAATAGAGATTGTTCATGGAAATCTTATACTTAAAGTACAAGACTTTACTTCTAATGCTCCTCCCTCGCCTAATATTAGCCAAAACTCTGAAAGTATTAATTTATAACGAGCTTCCACTACCCAATAAGCCCCCATCCTGGCATATCAATCTCATTTCTTGAGTCCATGACAAACACCGTTTCGAAGAGAAAATGAAAAACGAAGCTTTTTTCGTATAAACTTGCTAGTTGAATGGTGACATCACTTACTGTAGAGAATGGAAAGGAGGACGAGAGGTTAGATCCTACCCTCAAATAAAATCCTTTGCTTTTTTCGTCTTGCATTTATGTGGCAAACGAGCCAGCCCAGTTAGGTGAGATGCCACCTGGGTGGGGGTGAATTTTTTTCATATAAACGCCGAAAGGTGGCCTAAAGCTGGAATGTTGAACGATTCTTTCCATATACAATGAAATGAAATGGTAGGTTCATGTATACATGGCATTAAATTGCTTCTCACTTGTCAGGAAATACGCTGGAAGGTGGGACGAAATTGTCCATATATAGCAGGAAAGATGGATAGAATGTGCATGTGAACATTTGATAATTTCGTCCCACCTGCCACATCATGGGCTGCCAGGTGGGATACATTTGCTTATAAAAGAAAACCCTAAGTTCCCTTTAGCCGCCTAGAACGTTCTTTGAACTCTTTGAAAACTGAATTTTGAATAAGCCGCAGTTTTTGGATTAGGTGTTGAGATATATACCCACAGATAACTGATAGCTATTTTGTTTTTTGTATTTCATCGCCACTTTTTATTGAAAATCGTTAGTACTATTGTCTTTGTTGCAGGAACAAGATACGAATCGTAGCCTATCGTATTTTTTGTCCGACACTCATCAGAGATTAAACTTCGGATAATGACTGAAGACAGGAAAAAAGTTCCTGGTTTTACAAATCAGTGACTGCTTAGCCTGTGTTAAAGAACCCTAGCATGAGAGAAGAGGTATTGATCACAGGCCACAACTCTTTCTGTCATACATCCTGCGTTCTAAAATAGACTCTTACATCAGAATCCGCAAAAGGTGCTTCCAACATAAAACCTTCTATTTATTGCAATTAAAATATTTAAAGCTAATCGATTATACTAAATAAAATTAAAGGCACTTAGTAACGTCTAGAAGGAATATGTGTAGGAGGGTAATTACCCCCTCTCCCTATTTTTGTCAAACATGTTTTGCATATTTTTTCTAGAAATTCATTCTAAGACGTTAGGAAGCGGTAGATCATATTTCAAACTAAGGACAATTTATCTGGTACACTGAAACGAGGGAAAAAAGCGGGGTCTCACTGGTCACGTCTTTTGAATTTCCATTCTGCAGTAGCTGGCGCCGCCCATTGTCCTCCCAACTTTTTGGACTACCACATTTTTTATACATTCAAGTCACCCCCTTCCAGACACCTTCTTTTCCATGTTCCGTGAATCCTGCTTTAAGAATGACCATTCCAAGAAAGAAACATGGCCTCTCATTTTAAAATAATGCAGTAAATACAGTCTTTCAAAGTAAATACAGTATGTGGAAACTTTCTACACCATGATTTAAGTTTTTACGAGAAAGGAAACGAAATTGTTAGAGGACAAAGGTGTCAGGTCGCGGGACACTGTTGTTTTGTTGATGCTCGTGGATGGGGTGAATCTACCAAAGCAACTGAAGTAAGATTTGGTAGGACAGAGAATCGCAGCGAATCATCTTTTAATAGTAAAAATATTTTTTGTCATTGTTCAAATCTTGAAATTCGATTTTATAAGTACATTTTAACATCATTTTTATTGATCAGCCCATGAAAAGAATCCGTTTCCACTGAAGCGGGAACACCAGAAGTGAACATCTGTTTGTGCTGTTTGGCCGAGGGAAAGCATAGAGACATCTGTCTGTGGAAGCCCAGGTTTACGAAAAGTAAATATTGCTGAAAGCCAATTGTATAAGAACGATACAGACCTGCAGCATTGCTGCTCTGTAGGGTAAAAATTCCAACAGAAAAAGGTCATAGACATCAGGAAGTCAATCGTGGGCTACGTCCACACATTTGGACAAAATTGCTCAACCTACCATAAACTGATAAAGGGGAGGAAATGGAAAATAAAGTTGTCTTTTCCCCATTATGAGCCGAAGCACCAGCGACTAAAAGACTAAAAGCCGGTGACTAAAAGAATCAAAACATCAAATAGCTTAAAAGATGCCCTTAGGTGGGAGAAATTTTCATAATGCTTGAAGAACAAATAGAAACTGTCAGAGTTAAACCGAAAAGCAAATTTTTATATAGAGAAACAAAATGATAAAAAGAAATTAACTCTCTAGTAGCAAGGTTTCACCAAGCAAGGTGAGACTCACACATTGACCCAGCCACCCCCCTCTTCCTCCAAAGATGCAAATGAAGCATGAAGAATCACGTCAAAAGAGACAATAACGAATAGTAGACAAATATGGATCAATCAAAGGACAAATATCCCTAGTGAACTAAACTCTGATTAAATTTCTTTCAAACAATCAAAACAATCTTAATTTTTGTTTGAAAAGGCTCCTTCAATTCCGTTCTCATTTAACTTGTGCCTGAGATTTTCTTTTGAATTAAACAACTCTAAAAGTAAACAAGTATCAAATAATTCTAGAATTTAAGTAAATACCATCATTAAGCATGCCTGCATCTGTCCTCTTCTCCTGTTTTCTTAAACAACCCATGATCACCGCCTTATAAAAAACAAGCTTATTGCATATCAAACGATATCCATAGCAATTATCATGAAACAAATTGAAGCCAGGGGACAAGATGAATCTTGCCAACGGGTTCTTTGCAAAAGCAAACAATAGTGGGTTTCTCTTTCTTTAGTTCATTACATTCGTCGTGAATAGTGCTCTTCGCATCATCAATCGAATCAAATGTATTTATGGTAAGTTTTTTATGCAGGTATTACATTTTATGCAGTTCCATCTATTGATTTATAATTAATATTATGATTCATTTTTGGATGTTTTGTCAGATTTGACCTGTTTTCAAATGATTAAATAGATTATAGGTATTATGCAATCAATACAGAAGTAAATGAATGAATGATGTTGCCGAAGTCCATCAAGATTGGACCATTGACCTCCTCTTATAAGCATGTCTATAAGCTTGCTTCATTTCGCCTTGCCATATTATGGTTTTTGTCATCCATTCTTCTCTCTCTCTCTCTCCCTCTCTTTCTTTCTCCTTCCGTCCCCCCTTCAATGGAAGAAAGTACCAAGCTGTCACCTCTCCTCTTCCAATGGCCATATTCTCTGAATTTTCTTTTTCGAACTTCACGCGACACCCTATGATTTATGGTTACTCCTACTTGTTCTATTACCCACTCATTTTTTCCTCTCTCTGTCCATCTAACTCCAGGAGTGGTGGCATGGGGGGCAAGGGGGGGCTTTAGCCCCCCCTAGATTTTTGTTAGCCCCCCCGTCGGCAGCCAATCAATTTTTGCTTTCTCAATACCGTCGGCACTTGATGGATGTCACCCGGTTTACATGTTTTTGAATGACATAAATAATCGAGGAGAAAACTGCACTGGCTGGTTTATGGTTTTCTCAATGGCTTTTCTTCGGCAATTTTATTATCATAGTGGCATTATATCCTGTCGCTCCCGTGAAAGCTGTGACTTAATTTCATGGTGCTCCCTCGCATGACCCACCATGGTGCCCCTCTCAGTTGAAATCCCTGTTGCTGCTTGGAATTCATGCGAATCGTGCAGAGATGCTTGATTTGAATCATGTTTTGGACCGTTTCAAGGAAATTTACCCTAACAACAGCAAAATCACGCTGTCATAAATAAAGTCTTTAATGAATTTTAGGGATTCTCTTTTCGTTTCAAGACATTATTATTGCCAATGAAAACATTTCGATCATGAGCACATTTTGCGTAATAGATTTTTCAAAAAGCATTTCTTTTCCTTTTTCATCAACTATTTTTCAATAGCATTGTTCACCGCATAGCTTGTGACAAACAAATGGTTTAGAGAAAACCATCGATTAACTTCTTCCACCATAGATAGGAAGAAATATTCAACTATAGGCAATATTTGCGCATTAAGTTTCTTACAAGGCACAAATTGCCGAGAAAATCTCGTGGACTCCGACACAGGTTGGAAAGTGGGGAGTGGGGAGGGGTCAAGGGAGAATTTTGCACCCACAACAAAAGATTTTGGAAAAATGCTCTATTGCTTTGTAAAAAAGTGGGGGCCATGACCCCTCGGTGCCCCTTCATTGGAGGTGCTGCTCAGGGGCTTCGCGACTGGGGGGTTGTCACACCCACCCCAATAGTATCTCAATAGGAAATTTCAGGTAAAATCCGCTCGGTGGAAGAAACGCTTTAGGTATTTCAGAGACTTTCCTGTCATAAAATCAATGAAGGATCAAGCTATCTTAGGTAAAATTGTGCCTCGTGTCCATTTCTCCTAAAGTTTCCCAGTAGAAGCGTCAACTGCAATTCACTATGAGCTCCATATTTTCCTTAACATTCAAAAGGCATGCTAAGATGGAAAGAGGGATCTAAATTTAGAAGTAACTGACAACCTGGTATTTTTCAAGACCACGGCAAAGATGTTGTTTTTAACTGCTGTAAAAAAGTTTTGCAAAAAGACAATAATTTTCAATAGGATTAGGAGGATTGCTTTAGTGAAATCTGCTTAAAAGAGTGCATTTCCTGTCCCTTCGGCGGCAACCATGGTGCCGCCTCAGGTAGTAACTATATATTTTGCCCGTCCCGATATAGAGATTTGACAAGACTATTAGGAAAGTCGGTTATTATCATACAGAGTTAGATTGACAAAATGTATTGCAGAGGTTTGTGACACCAGCTAAAAAGTTTAAGGCAATAATTTTTTAATCAGGTAAATTTGCATTACACACCTCACCCCAAACAAGGCTTGCCTCGCGACGGCCCTGCCTGTCGGCAATTTGACACATTCAGCGTCGGCAGTTACGGAGAATATAAACTTCGGCACCTTGAAGGTTTGTCTCTAGCGCCACCCCTGTCTAACTCTCATCTTTTTTCTCCACAGGCACATCTCAAAGGCATTGATCTTTATCTGTCTTACTTATTTATGGTTCACGTTTCACAACCATACAAAACTATGCTCCAAACCATCATAGTTTAGTCTTACTTTAAGACGAATGCTCAATTCTCCTGACTGCCACATTTCTGCCATTTTGTCTGCAACAGTTCAAGAAATGAGAAATTCTACTCTTTATGATCCCCTGAGTTTCACCTTTTTTCACTTCCTCAATCCTTTCACCATCGATCTCCAACTCTCCACCTCCGTGCACTTTCATTGCAAATGGATTTATTGATGTAGAGGTCCACTTCTTTGCTAACGGTCATCATTTCCTCGCCCATCTCTTTGCATTCCTTTCTGGACCTGAATCGTCGTGTCGTCCGCATATTTGAGGTTCCAGACGTTTCTTCCTGCAAGAACTTGCCAGAACTATCTTTGAGTCTTTCTAGGAATTCTCTCATGATTTTCTCCCGAATGGTGTAATAGTGCTAGTTTGGATTTCGTTTGTTTTACAACTTGTAACCTTAGTTATTTAACACCTTTTGTACATTCGATTGTTTATAATTCCTTTTATTATCTAATTGCACCTTTAGGCTCATTAATTATTTCATTTGGGATTTTTGTATCTTCATTCAATTTATCTAATTAATCTTGGGAGTAGTATCTTTTGTAATCACTATTATTTCGTAAATACCTAGCTATATAGTACGGACAATAATAATTAACCGAAAACTTGAAATTAAGATTCCATGCATCATTTTCTACATTATATCAAAAAATAGTTTTGCGTGTCAGCGCAAGGAAGTTTATTCTGTTTTCCGCAAACCCGTATGCCTTGAACTTATCGAGTTGAGAAATCTTCAACTTTTTTTGCCTTCCGTACGGAAAATGTCTTAGCAATGGCCGACTCTGAAAGAAAACTTTGTGAAGAGATACAAAAATACCCCCACATGTATGATTCCTTACTAGAGGAGCGTCGGTCTGGAACCCAGGGTAAGGAATCGGCAGAAATATTTAATTATTGGACAGGAGCAAGAAAAATGGCTATTTATACAGGAATCATTGACATCAAACGCGACTCGTTGACAATAACGGCACAATCCCCCCCAAACGGTTCGCAAAGTATTTGTAGGTAGAACATACCAGCATGTTTTGCTGTTCCTTTTAATTTTTTCTCCGTACAAGTAGAAGGGCAAGAGGAACATTCCTCGACGGCATGTCTGGAAACTATGAACTGAAAAAGCTTATGGCATATTGTTTCAAGCTTCCCGCATGGACATGCGGAAAACGTACGTGTTCACGTTGTCTGGATATGCAAGATGAAAAGGCATATGCTTCAAAGCTTACTCTTGTGCAGAATTTAGCGTAAGCTAATAAGTTCAGAACTATGAACCCAATTTGAAATACTTGAAATAATATTACCTATCATCGATGGAAGCAGGCAGAGCTGTAGAGCCCCCCATCACATCTAACTCACATGATATCACATTTAGAAGCATCATCTAACTGTCTGGAACTGTCTGGAACAACTGCCTTAAATCAAAGTTGATTTTACCACTTTTTTACTGAATGCACGACAGTGTTATTGCCAAGTGAAAACCGAACGCATTAATTGCATCGATCGAGGAAAAGTCGTATTATCAAGTGTCTTTTTACTGACAAAGCGTAAGACCAAACCATAAATAATTTACTTAAAATCAGTTTTTAAAACTTTTATTCATAAGAGACAAGTAAAACTTT